CACTCGGGGGCGTGAACACCTGACACAGTGCAGTCACTCGGGGGCGTGAACACCTGACACAGTGCAGGCACTCGGGGGCGTGAACACCCTGACACAGTGCAGGCACTCGGGGGCGTGAACACCCTGACACAGTGCAGGCACTCGGGGGCATGAACACCCTGACACAGTGCAGGCACTTGGGGGTGTGAACACCTGACACAGTGCAGGCACTCGAGGGCGTGAACATCTGCTTGTGAGCAGGTGCCCACTTACCTTCCTGCTGGTTACCTAATAATGTGCCTTCTTTGTCTGGGCTGCATATATATCTAAAAGGCCCATGGAAGGACTCAGGGGGTTGGCTGGGTCTACTGCCCCACTGCGTCTCACCTCTTCGGCCACCTGCCCGGATCCTGCATGTTTCCTGGGCCCGAGCCTCCACCCAACGGTGTCCTTGGGGAAGTTACTGAGCCTCTCTCAGGTGCTCATCTAAGAGATGGTAGAAACAATACCTGCTTCACAGGGGGGCTGCGGGGATTCCATGAACGGGGTCTGTCAAGTTCTTACACCAGAATCCGGCAAGGTGTTCTACGTACCAGGAAGTACAGCCTAAGCCTTCCTTAACTAGCCAGCAGCCATTGCAGCCCTGCTCTGGCCTCCCTCTCTAGATGCCTCTTCTCCTCCTCTGTCCTCAGGCCCCACTTCCCACCCCAGGCACACTCACCCTCCGACACCTCCCCAGTCACATTTGCTCACTTCCCGTCCTCACCTGTCCTCTCTCCCCTGATTAGCCCATTGGAAAGCTTCTACTCCAGCCTCAAGGATGCGCTGCACCGTCAGCTTCTCTGGGAAGCATTTCTACGGCCCTCCGAGAGGTAACTACTTCCCCTTCCGCACTCGGCCAGCCTGAGTTCCCCTTAGCAAACCCTGGGTCAGTCCTATTTGTGTCTGTCTTACCCACCGGGGGGCGGGGCTTGCCTCTGACTGTGCCTCACGCTGTGTCTCTTCTCCTGAACGCCAAGTCTAGTGTCCAGTGCGAGCAGGTTTTGATGTGGAGAGCAGGCCGTGCCTTGCTCTGAGTGCCACCGCTGAGAACAGGAGAGCGGTTTCCAGGCTGTGCCTGACCCCATGCTGCTCCACTTCATAAAGCAGTAGTTGGCCATTCTGAGTATCTCTGCACCTTGTTTATGCAAGTCAACCACCACCCTCTGCTTAGCACAGCCACAAGGCACAAACTAATAAAAATGTAACTGTGCTAATAAAGAGGGCCACCTGTGGACCTGTCGAAATAAGTCAGAAGCACATAGCTTCAAACCTACACCACAAAACCCAGACCAATGAGCCACACATCAGACCAGCAAAGGAAGCAGCCCCTCATCCGAGACCCATCAGAGGAGGAGCACCCCAGGCTGGACGCAAGAGCACCCTGACCTATAGCCTTGTCACGAGCCTGGTCCAGAAAAAAGCACCTCAATGTCAAAATTCTGACTCTCTGTCCCTGGGCCTCAGCTCAGTGCAGCTTTTCCAGACTTGATGTCACACATGGCCCACTCCAAGATGACACTGAAACTGCCATCAGTCTGGACCCTCACCTGGACCATCTATAGAACCGCTCATCTACAGTGACTCTCTGCATCCATATCTGCTCTCCGCCCTTGCTCGGGAGAACGAATCCTGTAACCCCGAGGCCACCTTCACCCTTTCTGTAAATACAAAGGCCTACATATGAACACACACACGTGGTATAGTGTGCAGTGTGACYCGAGGGTCAGAGACAGAAGTGATTAGGAGTAGAGGATAAGAACTGTGATTGCCGGGCTTGCGGCTGTCAGCTGACCCACGAGCATGGGCTGAGTGGCCACTGGTGAAAGCGGTGTACCTGTGAGCTCACTGCTATTCAATAAACCCTGCCGTCACACAAAGACGCAAGCACGTCTGGTCCATGTTAACAGCACGTCTCGCTCACAGCATCGGATGGTGACCACCGAGTGATGCATGACTGAGCGAGTGGCAGACGCCTGTTTCCTCCCTCCCCGCAGCTCAGAYGCTCACGGCCTGGCTGGAAGCAGAATGGGATTCGGGATTCTTACTCCTCTAAGGCCTGCAGCATGCTCCCAGGGTCCTCGGAAGTCAGGATGTCCACCATCTGGTCGTTGAGGGAAAGGTCCTCATTCACTCCGCCCGCCGAGGTGAAAGGCGAGGGCTCCAACTTGCTCTCGGCTCGCTGAACCTTCAGGAGAAAGGCAGAGGCAGCAACTTAGTGGGCCTCCGCAGGACCTCCACACGACGGGAAGTCGGCAGGGAAGGCTGGCGGTCGGCAGGCAGGGGACAGGGCTGGCCTGGCCACCGTGGGCAGGTGAAGCTCTGCTCTTCCTGGAGCCTCCACTGCTCAGTGGAGAAGTGGGATCATGATTCCGACGGCCAGCTCCCGAGGGCTGTGCGCCTACGGCACAGCAGAGCTGGGAAGGCCTTGGGGACCCACGGAGATCTGTGCTGGTGTTGTGCCACCCTCACCACCATCGCCAGGGGAGGGGACCCACACCTGGCAGCAGGACCGCGCGACACGGCTCTGGTACCATTCTCATTAGAACACGGAATTGAGGTGGAAGTGACAGTAGACATCACCAACCCCAACTCTGATGGGACAGAGGAGATATTTGTTTTGTCCCCAGGGTCGTTAATTCCACAGAAATGGGCAGCAGCTCTAGCTGACATCATTCTGGGAGCCTGGCACGTGTGATGTCATAACACTCAGTGCCCCACTTGACAGATAAGGAAACTGAGGTTCAGAGTAGTGAACAGCACATGATGGCCACACAGCTCAAAGGAGCCAGGCAGCCCGAGTCCCAGGCTGCTCCACTGGAAAGGCCCCCGTGTCACAGCACATTGTCTCCTGGGTTACCACCACTGGCAGATAAATAAAGAAAACGTGAAGAAGGCTGGGGYTGTGGCTCAGYGGCAGAGCACTCGCCTTGCATGTGTGAGACCCTGGGTTCGATCCTCAGCACCACATAAAAATGTGTGAATAAAATAAAGGTATTGTGTCCAAATACAACTCAAAAATAAATGGTTTTTTTAAAAAAAGAGAAAGAAAACGTGAAGAGACTCCACTGCGTGGTGCTGGGCGAGTGCTGCAGGCCTTCAGACTCCACCCCTCTGCGCTCCGCCCGCAGCTGCGCCCAGCACAGCACATCCGCTCCCTCAGCAGGTAGAGCTGGGTCAGTGACACGAGGTGCCATTACGTGGGCCGCTTTCCTCCTCACTTCTGCCACCAGGAGACAGAGGCCAGCCTCGCTTTGTGATGGCGCCTCTCCTCCAGGAGATGGAGGCAGAAAGAGCAGCAGGCCCCCTCGGCCGGACAGGACTTCTACCTCCAGAAAGGCAGGGCTCCAGACACTGGGTCCTGGCCTGCGCTGGGCCACCTGCAGCTGCCCAGACTCACGAACCTCAGTTTCCCACACAGAGGAGGAGGGGGGCGGCAGACGTTCCTTCCCAGGGGCTGCAACTAGGGGTGGCGCTGAGTCACAGCGGCTCCAGCCCTCGATGGCCCTGCACAAACCCACCCAGAGCCCAGGGGGTGCCCTCCCACCCCCGCCACCTGGCTTTCCTTCCTGTCTGTCCACCCATAAACTGGCCAAGTGCTCACTCACCCCCTGGGCCCTGGAGTGGTGCCTCAAGCACAGGTTCCACCCAGGCAAGGGCCACATGGACACCACCTGGCCCCGCTAAACCCCTGCCCCRACCCTGCAGTGGCCACCAGACAAGGCCACCAGCCGACACATGCCTCTTCCCTGGAGGGTCCTGCTGGCCTTCAGATCCCATGCCAGGGCACAGTGTCATCCTTTCTCCTTGCCTCCTGGCCTCAAACAGTCACTGGTGGGACTTGGAGATAAGCACCCTGGGCTGCCTCGTGCCCTGGGCAGGAGTCAGCTGGTGCCACGCCCCCCCTCCCGCCTTCCCGCCTTCCCCTTCCCTCACCCCATGGGGATCACTTCCACGTAAACCCTGAATCCTGGCCCCAGGATGTGCTGTGGAGCCCAGACCAAGAGACGGAGGGGTGCGGCCAGGCGACGGGACTGTGAGGAGCGCTGGGTGGTGTCCAGTGAAGGCAGGGGGAGCCCAGAGAGCCCCTCCTCCAGGAAGTGACCAGCGATGACTGGCAGGGGCAGACTGCCAGGGAACAGCACGGAGCACTGGGCAGATGAAGCGTGGGCAGCAGGAGCTCGCCTCCCAGGACGTGCGTCCCGAGGAGCCGCAGAGCAGAGAGCGCAGGGAAGGGGCAGGAACCCAGCCAGGAGCCTGGGCTCCCCCAAGGACGACAGCAAGCACCAAGGCCACCAGCAGGCAGTGTGGACCAGGGCCTGAAGTGGGTGGCGAGGACACACCTGCCCGCAGTGGGTGCTGGACTGCAGGGCCCTGAGCCCGGCCACTGTGGAAACCAACCAAGGAGTCAAAGACAGAACCAGCTTCAGTGACCACGAGGGGTGAAGAGAGGAAGGAAAGGTGGCACACGCCCAYGATGGAACAGAGTTCAGCATCAGCAGATGATGTCCTGTCACCACCTGGGTGACCAGGAGGACGTCACGCTGAGTGACATGAGCCAGGCACAGGAGGACATGTGCCACATGCCCTCCCTCATGTGCTGGAGCCATAGAGGCTGATCGGATAGAGGCAGAGAGCGGGCTGGAGGCAGTGCTGCTGGTGGACGGGGTCTGCTGCTAACTGCACAGCCAGAGGCTGCAGACGACTGCACAGACAAAACAGAGGATGGACAGGATTTTCAATGTTTTCCCCACAAATAAATGTTCCGTGTGTGAGGCAATGATGTGCTCAGGACCCTGATCTGATCACTGCACACTCTCCACAGACATCCAAATACCACGCTGACCCCATGAACTCGTACGACTATTCTGTCAATTAAAAATAAAACGAAAAAAAATTTTTTAAATGAATCACTCAGGGAGGGTTTTAAAAGCATTAGTGGTGAGGATGCAGTCCAGGACACACGGTCAGTGTCTGGAGGAGCCGGGGGTGAGACACCCACAGATCTCAGCYGGCTCCCATCTGGTGCTCATGGGGGCCACCCGCTCGGCATGAACCTTGTCCCACYACCAATCCACTGCCCCAGGAAGAAGCTCACCCGGCGTCTGGCCAGCACGCCTCCCTGCAGACACTGGTATCGTGCAAAGAAGAAGAGTACCGTCCAGCTCAGTGCCAGGGAGACCAGGAAGGCAGTGAAGAAGGCCGCGGCGTGGAGACCATGGTTGGGTAGAACCTGCAGGAAACAGGGAGAGTCACCTGCGGTCACACTTCCCATCTGCCAAGGTCAGCAGATGACCAAGAGTCTCAGCAGAACACACAGGGAGTCAGGAGGGCCAACTGGGTTTGGACCAGCTCTCCCAGGGCCTGGCTGGTTGCCTTGGGGTCCTTGCTGGCCCTCTCGGAGCCTGAGTCCCTCCTGGTGTTAAGGCTCGCCACTCAAGAACGTTCATTTCCAAAGTCACACACATATCAAACATSAGGCAGCACTGGAGACCTGGGTATTTCCTAACAGTAAGGGGCAGAATCTTGCAGGGGCCAGTACCTCAGTGCACTTGAGACCCCCAACCCAGGAGGTCCACCCATCAGGGGTGTAGCCAGGACACAGGAGAGAGAGGGAGGATGCCCAGGGCAGCAGACATTCCCACAGGAGGCAGGTGGGCACCAGGCCATCCTGCCACTCCACGATCTAGGCAGGAGCTCGCGAGGGCTCAGCATGACTGGCAGACAAGGAGCCGCACCACCCAGATGCCAGAGGGACTTGGTGTGCAGCTGCGGGTATGCAGGCAGTAGACAGCCCCTGGCTTCGAGGTCAGAATCAGAGGCAGAGAGCCACCTCACTTGATGTCACAGTCTTTCCAGAACTGCCTGCACCTAGCAGCAGAGCACAGTAGGGCGTGAMGGCCAGCAACTGCCACCCGATGAGGGACACCCTGATGGCCACACAGGCTCCAGGGCTTCCCACCAGGTTGGCTGAGGATGGCGACCCTAACTCCTCCTCTGCCCAGTCCTGGCTCCTCCTTATCCCCCTCACTGGGGGCGTCACCTACAGGTCAATAATGACCACAAAGATACAAAGCAAAATCAGAAGTGGAGGAGATGCACCCTGCAAAGCCCCAGGAAGACAGCACACGTGCTTCCAAGAGCCCCCTGGGTGCAGCACGAGGAGGTGCCCAATCCCAGCAGGGAGTCGGGCTGCTTGTGAGATGCTGGCTGCCTGCGAGGCTCAGTAGGACGCAGCGTCCCAGTTCTCACCCAGGGGTGGGGACGCAGGTCTCTCTGCTTGGCATGAACAGAGTTCCTGAAGGAAAGAAGGTGTTCAGTACCAACTGTGGATGTGTTTGTGAAGCCAGCCTAGTCACAGCCAGCCACGCTCACCAGCCTGGCGGGAGGAGGAACCCTCCTGAGACCCAAGGAATCAGACGCCAGCTCGGGCCGACCCTGCAAGCCAGCCTGAGAGCAGCCCCCAGCCCCAGGGGCCACCCTTTCTGCAACCTGGAAATACACTGCGCCCCCTCTGTCTCAGCAGCTGCTCCAGAGAAGCCAACCCAGGAGGACAAGTCTCATGCAAAACAGCTGCAGACAACAGGGACACTGACTGCTCAGGAGCCAGCAGACAAACAGCCCACCCCTCATTCCTGCAGCCGCATGCAGGTGACACTCAAGGGCAAGTCCTCCCGACAGACCAGGCCACCCCAGCCGTCCTGCTGTCAAAGCTGAGCCCCATGCAGGGATTCCCCTAGACGCTGAGGGCAGCTGAACCAAAGCACAATGGCAGGCTCACTGCCCCGTGGCTCAGCTGTCTACCAAGAGGGTGRGCAGCCACTCTGCCTCCCACTTGGACCTCCTAAATCAGGACTTTGATTAACACCAAAATGAAACCCAGGGTCCCCTACATTTTTTGTGCTGGAGTATCCCTCTGAGCCCTAATTGTGTACCCACTGGACAAGAAAAACGTCACTAAGCTAGATAAACGTGAATAGTATTCCATGGAAGTGACATTAAAATATTGATAAATAAGAGACCCCCCCCCAATGTCTCTAAAGAGGCCAAGGCGCTGGGGTTGAGCTTACCAAGGTCTGCTCTTCAGAAGGGGCAGCCTGTTTCACAGCTTTAGGAAGAGGGAGGGAGGGACCTGGCACTGGCCCTGTGGACCGCCTAGACAAGGTGTCCGGGCGAGGCGCCAGGCTGAGCTGAGCTGCTGTCAAAGCTGAGCCCATGCTGAAGTGCTAACTCCCAGGATCTATGAGGGATCTTATTTGGAAATATGATCTATGATGATGTGATCCAGATGCAGTTGTGTTGAACTAGGGTGGGCCCTGAGTCCCCTGGCCGTGTCCTCATAGGAGAGGAAGATGGACAGACACAGGACACACAGAGAAGATGGCCCTGTGAAGACAGAGGCAGAGGCCAGTGTGCAGCTGGGAGCAGGCGAAGGCTAAGGGCTTCCTGGGCCACGTGAAGCCAGGAGGCACGAGGAAGGTCGCTTCTCCAGAACCTTCCCAGGCAGYGTGGCCCTGCCAACGTCTGAGACTCCCGCCTCCAGCCTGAGAGAGCAAGAGCCTGCTGACTAAGGGGCTGAGCTGTGCAGGTCCCCCAGGGCTCCCAGGACATGGAGCCAGTGTGTGATTGACCTCCTCGCACTCAATGCCCAGCAATCCTGCAGAGATGCCCAGCAGACAAACAGATGAGCAAAGAGATTCAGTAACTCATGTCCACGGCTGAAAAATGCCAGTTGAGCTCTGCTGGCCGCCAGTGCCCATGTTCTCCCCTCAGGTCACACCAACCACCATCCAGGTTGCTGTGAAATTCCTAGTCCCACTCTCCTAGTCCAGGGGAGAAGCTGCTTGACTGGTGAGAACCACAAACAAGGACTGGGCCAGAATCACAGGCAGCAGGTCCTGTGCTGTGCACACACTCCACACTCCCCCTCTCCTCCCTCCCCGTCACCCTCTCTCCTCTTCCCACCTCCACCTTCTCAATCCGAATCTGAGGTCCCACGTTCCTTTGGCCAGGAGAATGGCAGAGATAACTGGAAGAGCAGAGGTGCCGGGCAGTTCAGCGAGGCGGGGTCTGGCTGGACRTGGCACACAGCCAGGATGCACGTCCACACCCACAGAGCAGGGCGGCTCTGTGGATCCTACTGTCTTCTCACTTGCAAATTTTACTTCTGACACCAAACAACAGGCACATCTCGTAGGCAGAGCCTGCCTCCTGGGGAAGACCACCTTAACTACCATATTCATCTATCTGCAGTGCTAAATCACACTAGGCCCTGTCCTTTCCCTGCCCACAGCACCTCTACTCTTCAACTTCCACCATGAAGATGGACAAAGAAGAGCTAGGTCTCAAGATGCAGCTTTCTGGGAAGGAGAAGAGGCCACCCAATCACCACCATCATCATCGTGCTCACCACTACTGTTGTTATGGTGTGGATACGAGGTGCCCCCAAAAGCCCATGTGTGCAATAATACAGGGATGTTCAGATGAAAAGATCAGACCAGTGGATTAATCCACTTGGAGGATTACTATTCTGAAAGGATTCATGGGTGGTGTGGCTGGAGGAAGTGGGTCACTGGGGACATGCCTTTGGGGCTTAGTTTTGTCCCTGGAAAGTGGAGTTCCCTCTGTCTCTCCCCCGCCCCTTCTCTCTGTTTCCTGACTGTCATGAACTTAGTAGACTTCCTCTGCCTGCCATTCCACCATGATGCTCTTGTCTCATTCGAGCYTAGAGCTATAGTTGGTCAACCATGGACTGAAGCTCTGAAACCATGAGCCAAAAATAAACTTTCCCTCCTCTAAGGCGTTCTTGTCAAATATTTTGGTCCCAGGGATGAAAAGTTGTCAGAAACAACCATCAACATTCATCACTACCATCATTATCCTCACCATCATCATCACCATTACCATCACCATCTCCCTCATCTCTGCCACCATGACAACTACCACCATCACTATCATCACCATGACCACCACCACACTGTAGCTCAGTGGTTCCATGGCTTTACATATTTTAATCCGTTTGATCCTCACAATACTATGATGTGTATGCTATTTTAATTCCAGTTTCATAAAGCACGATACCAAGGTCTAAATAAGTTAACTAAATGGCCCAGGTTACAAGGTAGTAAGTAGTGGCTCTGACATATGCAAAAGACATAAATCATTTGTCTTTTGCATACTCTACAAATTCTTTCCCAAGTTTCTCATTAATCTTTTTTAGTGCTCTTTTTAAATGTCAAGTTTTCAATTATTTCCAACTATTTATATACTCAAATCCATGGTTTTCTTTAGACCACATAATATTAGCTCATATTTACTTTTTACAATAATTTTAGCTATTTAGACTTTAATCTCTTTAGGAAATTGATTTTTGTTTTTCTTCCAAAAGATCTAGTCATTTCCCCAAAATTTACACATGGCATTTTCCCTATGATTTAGAATGCCATTCTATTGCACACACTAGACCTTTCTCATCCTCAGTGCTATACACAGCGTTACTGTAGTTCTGTGATATTTTTAAGGTCTGATAGGGTACATTTTCCCATGTTACTCTTGCTTTTCAAAATCTTCCCATCCAGCCTCGTGAACTCAGATTTTCAGGCGAACCTTGACTTGATCACATTGCCCACAGAGTCTMATGGGAATTATTACTGGACTCGCAGTGGATGATTCTGGGTGCCGTAGCCACTGCTGTAAACGTCTCGATTGGACCTGAGATCCTTGCAGCAGAACACTGCATCCGGGTCTCTGGTGCCTGGTCAGGTRCTGGCCCCTTCACCTGCATGTCAGGGAGACAGGGCACAGGTGAGGGCTCTTGGTATCCGAGCCCTGCCCCCCAGGTAGGGCACAGTGTGATAGTCTTTTTCCCTCAAAGACTACTCGTCCTGGAGGAAGACAGGGTCAGACAACATCTTGACAAAATGGAAAGAAATTCCTGAGGCCTCCTTTTCCTTGAGTGATATGTGTCAGTTTTCACGTCAAGGAGAWCAAGGAGATGGAGGGTCCTCCGCATGTTGCAGGAAGAGCAACTTCCTGTCTTTACTGTGTTTTTCAGCTGCCTGATGAAGACTGCAGGGGAGCTGCCGGCCTCCCTGGGCTCCTTTTCATGCACTTGCAGCTTCCTAGTGTAAGCTCAGCGTCTCTGCAGGTACCAGGCAGCCCTGTGGGGCACACCTGGTTTCCAAGGGCACTGCCCTGGGTGTCTCCCCAGTGGASTCCAGTTCCATCCAACCAGCAGTTGGCAACCTTCAGCTGCACACTTCAGAATATCCCTCCCGTCTTTAAGCCTCACCTCCTCCAGGAAGCCTGCCAGTCTACCCAGCCAGAGCTCTCCTTCCCTGTTGGGACCCACAGGACAATTTATATTCAAGTCATAAACTCAGAAATTCAATCATAACTGTGCACCGTTTGGTCTTTTTTGTTTTTCATTTAATGTCTCAGTGTGATGTGGGGACAGTGGCGTGAAGAGGTTGAGTCCCCAGATGGCCCCAGACTCCATTGCTACTTAAAATCTTGCACTGGGCCAGACCCACTCTCTAGCACCATGTGGGCACCTGAGCCTGGGGCCCTAGGAAGCRGCACACATTCTCAGCCATTGCAGATCACCTGGCAAGGCTGTCGGAGTCATGCAGGTGTGTGCTGAGTACTGTGAACTGCCAGGCCCTGCACAGGGTGCCCACCTGCTATCCACCTACCTTGACAACCACCCAGGAGGTGGGTCCAAGGATCACTCTCATTTACGACTGAGGGCCAGAGAGGTAAGCCACCCTCCCAAGACCACAGTCAGTGGAGGGACAGGGACTCGAGGCCAGGCCTTCTGGTCTGAGTGCCCGCTATGCCCACAGCAAYGTAGGGTGCCATCTCTGTATTCCTCACATCAATAGGGTGCTGCTTGAACGTGGCAGCAGGGCAGGCTGCACCCCAGAGGGGCACTGCTCCTGCTTCCCCAGAAAGGCAGCCGTAGGCCCTGGGTGGGCTCAGTGCCATCCTCCCAGAGGGCTGGGCACGAAGCAAGGACAGCCGTGAAGTGGATGCAGCCACGCAGCACCAGCCCTCTCCCCAGAGCGGCRACCACCACTGGTGACARTCAGCTCAATCAAAGGATGCTGACCTATTCAATGCCACCTGCAAGGTAAGGCACTGAGGACACAGGAGCTCACAGCCAACAAGGAGAAATGGTCACCAGTGTCCCTGAGGCCCACTAGACTGTGGGCTCGTCTCACTCTCCATCTCGTCTGCACAGGGCTCCAGCTCACCAGCAGGTGATGTGGCCTGCTGCCTGGTGACCCTGCCTGGCTTTGACTGCTGACCTCCACCCACTGGCCATGCAGAAGGGTTAAATTTCCAACACTGCTAGCCTCAAAGGGCTGCCTGAGGGGCTGGGCCGTGGATGACCTCTGGGGACATGGGCTGGTGGGGTCCTGGCCTCTGGGGACATGGCCTCCCACCACTCACTGGTGAGCGTGGCTCTGCTCTCAAATGCCCACACAAACAAGGGGGTTTGTGCCCAACCCTGTTTTCCTGCAGGAGCCTGGAATCCTGGTACTTGCSGGGCAGAAGGTGCCCACGTGGCCAGCCCCCGACACCCTGCCAGCGAGACCCTCAAGCTTCCCTAGAAGATGCTACACCCCACGTGCTACCACAGCACTGGCTGAGGGTTTGGCGCACCCCGAGCTGCCCCCATGCGGTGGTCTTGGTGGCTTGTGGCTGGTTTGCTCCACCCCCTCCGCCTCTCCCCTCTGCTCCTCTTGCTTTGGGTCCTTCCCTGGAATCACCTGTAGCCCTGTATGACTCYGTAAGTCCTGCGAATCCCACGAGAGAGCATCAGGCCTGGAGGTGGCCTGGGGACCACAACGCTCCAACCGTGGGACCTTGGGCAATCACTTGACTCGAGTTTCCCTGGCTGGGCAATGGGGTGATTTCAAGCCAGAACCCATCTCCCAAGATGGTGGTGAAGATGACGGGAGTCGGTGTCTGTCAGCTGCTTAGGACAGCTGGCACCAGCAGGCACTCAGGAAGTGCTCCTGGAGAGGGTGGGGGGTCAGGTAGGTGACCTCGATGGGATAAGGACACCCAGGGGAGCACTGTTTCGGAATGCGTCTGTGAGGGTGATTGGGGGCAGCTCTGAGTGGACCCAGGAGGGAAGACACACCCTCAGTGAGGGCAGGCACCATCCACCCTCCTGCGTCCCAGTCAGAGAAAGAATACGGGGGGCACACACACACCCCTCTTCTCGGACATAAGAACTCTGGACTCTCTGGGCCTGGATTGAGAGGACCAGCAGCTCCGGGAGCTGGGACTTGGGGCCTTGGACTGAGATGCATGTCATGCMCGGGTTTCCTTGGTCCTGACCCTTCAGATCTGGACCGTGTCATGCTACGGCAYGCCAGGGTCTCCGCTCGCTGATGGCCTGCCGTGAGGTTTCTCTGCCTCCAAGATCCCGAGTCCAGCTCTCTAACGAATCCCCTCCTGTAGCACCTACACACGTCCGTCCGTTTTTTCCCTCTGGAGAGCTCTGACACGCTTCAGGACACAGTGCTCGATGGACACGTGGATGTGCGCCCTGGTAGCCACCAAAATGATGAACGGAAATGGGACAGTGAGGGTGGTGATCAGCAGAGGCAGGAGCCAGCTGCCAACCACAGGGCTCTGGGATGATGTGGGAAGTCACCAGAAGCTGGTGGCAACGTGAGACCAGGATTAGGGGCAGCACAGGGGGACAGGTGGCACTTTGGCCTGTCCAGATGGTGGCTGCCCCATGGGGTGTCACCTGGGGAGGCCAGCCAGACAGCCATGGCCATTCGGAGGAGCCGCAACACCACACAGTCCCCAGCCTCCACCCAATCTGGGCTTTGAGGCCCGTGGCTGGTTCCTCCCCTGGCTCCCAGGACAGGCCAGAGGCCGACACCGTGGCTGTGAGGGACATGGGTCACGTGTCTCTTACCGTTACCTTCTCTTCTGCTGTTATGGTAAGAAGGGCTTTCAGCTGTGTCCTGTTCTGGAAAAGAAAAAAAAAACACTCTGGTCACTGCTCCCGGAGTCTGGTCCGCAGGGTAGCACTGGTGTCATGTTCAGCCCACCAGGCACCCGCCCCACAGCTGGGCAAGGAGGAGCCCGCGGGGTCCTGCAGTCCCTTGCTGGGAGGTCTGTGATTTTGGATCCTGCTTTCTCCACCAAACGCTCACGTGCAAACCCAGCACCAGGTTCCTAGACCCAGGAGAGCCCGCCGCACGGCGTGTGGGAAACACAGGTGGGGGCCAGGCCTCCCTGGAGAGGGGTGGGCCCAAGGCTGCCAGCTGTGTGTCCAGGGGAGACCACCCACTCTCTGCCTAGGGTCACCTCTCACTGTGACACACCCTGTGGGCCCACCTAATGGCTTCAATGTCCCTCTGATGAGAAGACACCAGACCCATGAAGGGTGAGTGTCCCCACACCCTCTGCAGCCATGGGGCACCCAAGAAAACCCACCACGGGACAGGCCTGCGGGGTGGAGGCAGGACCCCCCACAGCTGGAAGGACACAGGCCAGAGCACAGCTCCATGCCCAGCAGGRGCGACGCATAGCCCAGCTGGGCTCAGTGGGGAGGTGGGGGGAGTGGAGAGAGCGGTGGTTGGAAGACAGGGTGAGCGACCCCGATCCGAAGTGCTTGAGTGAGAAGTATTTCAGAGTGTTTTCATATTAGGAATATCTGCATGTTCATGAAGAACCCTCTTGGGGCTGAAACCCAGGACTAAATGCAAATTCCAGTTAAGTTCCGCAGACGCCTTCTGCACACACTGGAGAGGAACTCTATACAACACAAAGTGCAACTGCATTTGACCAGAACCCATGCCCTGAGGTAAGGTACGGAATTCGGCATTTGCGGTGTCATGTGGGTGCTCAACCAGTTYGTCAGCATTTTGGATTTGGGGGTCAGGGATGAGCAGTGCTCCCCTGTGGAATCCCGGCACATCACCTTGGGCCTGGAGCTTGAAGTCCCGTGAGCCATTCGCACTGTGCAGCGGTCATCAGGGACACTGCTCTCTAACCTGACCTGTGCTCCAAGGCAGAAAACCCCCTGGCCCGTGGGCCCCCACTGTGACAACAGCCCAGRAGGCATGCAGCATGCCAGGTCCAGCTCGGGCAGCAGGCAACCTGTCAGAGGCTTTGAAAGAAACCAACTACCATGGCTCATTTTCTAGGGGCTTAGAAACAAATTTAAACATGAGTCTTAAAAGAAGTGACAACTAGAGGGCGATTGCCCTGCCCTTTCTGCTTGAGCAGCCGCTGCTCTGGTGTATTTATGATGTTCTGTGGGTTTCAGGTCCCCTGAGCTGGACAGCTAAGGCTAAATTTGGAAGGCCCCACCTGGAGCTTTCTGCCCTGCTCTCGTCCCCCACAGCACCCCTGCCTCCTGTGCTCCCTGACACACAGGCCTAGGCAAACAGGAGTGTCCCTGTGCTGTGGAGCTCGGATTCAGACCCTAACCCCTGGCTTACTGCGTAAACTCAAGGCTGGGAAAGATGTTTTGAACCTTAGCACAAGTCAGAAGACATGGGCCAGGGGACTGCAGCGATGGCTTTCCAAAGTGGCCGTGACGTTTACATGACACACTGACCTAACTTTCTCCTTCCTGATCTGACTTCGTCTAGGATCAGTGACCTAACCCACTTGGGTTTGGTGTGTGTGTGTGTGTGTGTGTGTGTATTTATGCACCCGTGTGCAAGTGTGTACGTTTGACAAAGCAATTCTGACGCTTCTCCCCTTGCTCTGAGGGTCACACATGCCGGGCACCCAGCAGGCTCTCAGGAAGTGGAGATTATTTTCATTCTCTCCTCTGTTGCTCCCAGATGATTCTAAAGTGGTGGAACTAGACGAGACTTGGGGAATCTTCCCACTGCTCTCATCTTTCAGATGAAGAAACTGAAGCCTGGTGAAGTCCCACTGAGTGTCTGAGTCTGGGTGAGCACGCAGCTGGCACAGTGGCTGCAGCCCCCAGGCACCGGAGGTGGTGCTGGACAGGCAGAGTGACCCTCATGGGGAGCTCACGTAAGTCTCACTCAGACTCAGGGTCTGATCATCTTCAGTCCCAAAGACACACCCACTCTCCATAGCATTTAGGAAAGCCCAGGAGTCACCCAGACTCTCAAGTCCACCCAGTGGAACAAGCTGAGAACAAGGGACGGGGACCTTGCCGACTTCCAGCACTATTCACTCAACAAACACTGACCAAGCACCTTCTACACTGCACTTCCAGGACAGGTCTGAGGCTAAGAGCTCAAGACAGCAGCAGGAGGGAGCCCGGAACTCAGCTCTTGAAGCTTGGAACTCTGGAATCTTCTGCCGGGAGGTAAGTGTGCTTTCTGCCCTGACTGTCCACAGAACTGCCTCGAGTGCCTTAAAGGCTCAGAAAGGGAGGAAACTGCAACCCAACACAYGCACACAAAGACTGCAGACATTGATACAATGATTTCCTCCTACAGATGAAAAACCTGAGGCTCAGGGAAGTTAAAAAAATGCTCAAGATTCATTAGCTCATTGATCTGTTCATTCTCCTGCTCTGTGTAGGGTTCTTTCTGGCACTGGACACAGCTAAGATGAGGACAGAGGAGTCCCTGGGTTCATGGAGCTGACATGCTAGTAGAAGCAGGAGACAAGGGGCAGAGTGAACGTCACAGTCAAGGACAAGCAGTACAGACAGGAGCACAGCAGGGTGTGGCAGGGCAGGGACAGTGACTCAGGCTCAGTACCCGCACCTCTGCCGCCCCAGCCCGTGCCAGGTGCGCTGGAAGCCTCAGGCTACACTGTGGACCTGGCTCGAGGTCCTGATTTTCCTGCCAGAGGACATGGAAGAGTCCAGTGTCATTTTATTTTGAGTGTCTGACTCTTTTGTCTTAAATTTTTATGTTAGCTGACTTGTTCCTGTCCTCTGAAATTGTTGATGGCATTCCTTCTGGGCCGTCTGAGCCTTATTTCTTATCTCTCTGTGTCCTATTTTTTGACTTTGTACCTAATTACTTCCTGACGGATGGATCTGTTCCGACAGCCTCACGGTTTTTTTGATTCTGGTCTTTATCCTCCAGCATCTTTCATCTTGTCCAATTTTACCTGCAGCTTTTTTTTTTTTTTTTTCATTTTCCTGTTGCAGCAGAAATGCTGCCCAGGCTCTATGGCCTCAGGGATGAAGGAACTCCCGGAAGTTGCCAGTGGCTGCAGCCCCCCCCTTCTATCACGTGACCTGGGGCCATCTCAATAGCACTCTAAAGCACATTTCCACATCTATGAAAAGGGACTTTATCCAGGGACTAAGATCACAATAAAATGGCAGAAGRAGCCAAAGCATCCTAAGCTCCCTGAGAGCAAGGCCATGCCTCCTCCAGCTTGTACCAGGGTGCACAGTGTTGCCCAGGACCTCCAACCAGGGTATTCACTGCACAAGTGGATCCACAAAATGGAAAGTGAGCAAAGGAGAGACCAAGGATAATGGTGTTATGGGCTGAATCACGCCCTGAAAATGCAGATGCAGAGGTCCCAAGCCTTAGTGCCTCAGGAGGTGACTCAGAATGTGACAGGGGCTTCAAAGTAAAATGAAGTCATTAGGGTGGACTGTGGTCCACCTTTAGGGTGGCCTGGTATCCTCCTAAGAGGAGGAGATCAGGACAGACATACACAGAAGGACAACCACCATGTGAGGACACAGGGAGGAAGCCCTCTGCAACCTGGAAGCGAGGCCTCAGGAGGAGCCACCCACCAGCCCCTGTTCTCAAGCTCGGGGCCTCCAGGACCTGCATCAACGTGTTGTTTTCTCTGGAAGCCACCCAGTTAGTGTGCTGGGTTTGGCAGACTCACATCGAGGGCACCCACTGGGGAAGTGCCCACAAGATGAAGAGTCAATAGTAGTTCAAGCTGAATACCACTCACGGCACACCCTTAGGGTGACCCTGGGTGAGGCACTAGGTGACTGCCCCAAGTGACAGGAGGTTTCTGACCAGAAGCCACTGCCCTGGGTGAGGTGCCACTGAGAGCAGGCAGGCAGGCACTACTGATCTGTGCCCTTCGTGTCAGTGTTCCTAAAACCTCCCACCAGTGACAAGACAGAAAGCCAAGTAACAGAGGAGATACCGGTGAGGAGCTCTGAAAGGTGAGCTGGGCAGGAAGGGCCAGCCTCTCTCCGGTCCCCACAGCTTCCGAGTCCAGCGAGGCCGTGTAGGTCACCCAGTAGGAGTCTCCAACTGCGAGGAGAGAGAAACCGGGCATCAGGGAGGCGCCGGCCACGCCCCCTAGGCAACCACGCCCACCAGGCCACGCCCACAGCCGGCCACGCCCTTCGCACACAGGCACTACCAGGCTCAGCCAGCAGGAACTGGGTCTGTGGGCTCCACGGGTGGGGCGGTCTGGGAGTGGTCCGCTGGGCATGGGCTAGCTTCACTTGCTCCTGGACTCCCAGCCATGAGCAGGTGCGCCCTACCCACGACACGCCCGGCACCCCTTTCTCCCTTGTGCTGCACCTCATCTTTCCCGTGAGCGTGGGAGTGCAGTCCCCACCCACTGGCGGCAGCCTTCTGCCCTCTGGAGGGACCCSGGCTCCTCCACACCGAGGGGCACTCTTCCCACCTAAGCCTACCCTCCGACTTCGCCTTCATCCCCAACAGGACTGGAGCTTGGCCCTAACACAGCGTGCTTACTTCCCAGTTCCTGGCGACCTCAAAACAGTGTAAAAAAGGAGGAAATGAGCACTGATCCTAAGAACCTCGGGCTTTTGTTGTTTTTAAAATCTTCAACAGGTTCATTTTACTTTTACATAAGGATGAAGCCAAGATTCTGAAGACAGGTGATAAAGGGAGAAGACCACCACGAACTTTGTCCAGAAACGGCCGTCCTGGCCTGACCCCACTTGGCACAGCCAGGTCACACTCTCCATGCACTCCCAGACCTTGGCCTGGCTCATCCCCAAGTCCCTGGAGGCCGGTGGCTAGGAAACAGGTTATTTTCTGCAACTTCGAGGAGAAACTGAGACTGATCTGTGTAGGAATGATGAGTRGACACTGTCTTGTCCCTAAATGATGCTGGCTTTCATAAAAGAAAAGCAGCACATACTACCACTACTCATCATCATCATCATGAGGTCAGAGTGTCAGAGGACTCAAGTCTGCTGGTCATTTGATTTTATCGTCATCTAATTATTCTTTGAGAAAAACAAAGTTGCCTGTCCCCTAAGTTGAAAATCAGTGCCACCTTCCCTGGCACAGCGGACTTCACAGTAAGCGCTATCAACATGCTGACCGGAGGGAATGCAGGGTGCTRGGCAGAGTCTGGATATGGGCTTCAGAGCCACAAGAAGAACCTAACAAGAACAAAACAGCAACGAGATGCCCACCAACACCAGGCGCACCCCCACGGCCTGGCCATCCTGGAGTTTTTCAGGGATTAGCTTCCTCAGCCTCACCATGACCTTGACCTCRTGTCCTGCTCAGTGCAAGGATGAGGAGATGGGCAGGAGGCATCCCCAGAGCAGAGTGAGATGAGCTCAGGTGAGGAAAGMGCTTGCAGTGGCCAGGGCTCCCAGCAGTGAAGGGAGGGACAGGTRGGTCCCTGCAGGGTCTGGGGGCAGGAGGATGCCTTTGGAGTAGGGGATCAGGTCATACTTCCTGGAAAAGGTCACCCCAGGACCAAGCCCCAAAGGATAGAGGAGACATGTGCATTCAGAGTCAGAACAGGAGAGCTCTCAAGTGGGAAGCCTGGGCAGTGTGGGAGCTGGAGTCGGTGGCAGGTTTGTCTGGCAGAGCGWGGACGAGGAAAGGCAAGGGGAAACGGAATACACGGCGGGAAGTGTGGTGGGCTGGGGAGGGCTCTGCAGGAGCCCGCACCCTCCCCTTACAGRCGGAGTCCAGGCCACAGGATCTCCTCCACTCAGTCCACAAGGAGGCATGGGAAATGTGGGATCTCAGGACAATGCCTGGCTCAGTGGAGCAAACCCAGGGCTGTCTGTGCTCTGCTCGCGGCCTCATGCRCCATTCTCTGAACACAAGCTTAAGAACTGAGGGACTTGTTTTTATATCATTGAAGGATGGAAAACCCTAGGGGTCACTTTTAGGATATCACTGAAACCAGAGCCAGCAAAGAGGTCACAACTTCTGAATCAGCTCCACTAGTAGATTCTGTCAACAAGATTGTATTAAGAAAGATTCTGGGTGGGCTGGGGTTGTAGCTCAATGGTAGAGTGCTTGCCTTGCATGTTTGAGGCACTGGGTTCGATTCTCAGCACTGCATATAAATAAATAAATAAATAAATAAATAAATAAATAAATAAATAAAGGTCCATTGACAACTAAAACATTATTTTACAAAAAAAAGAACTGGGCACGGTGGTGCATGCCCGTAATCCTTGCAGCTCAGAGGCTGAGGCAGGAGGATTACAAGTTCAAAGTCAGTCTCAGCAAGAGCAAGGCGCTAAGCAACTCAGTGAGACCCTGTCTCTAAATAAAATACAAAAAGGACTGGGGATGTGGCTCAGTGGTTGAGTGCCCCTGAGTTCAATCTCTGGTACCAGAAAAAAGAACCTGCTTCATCAATCAATGCCAGCTCCCTCAGGAAYGGGCCCCTGACAGCCAGCCCAGACGGCAGCACCCCAAGCAAAACAGCCATTCAGCAGCGTCCCAGGGGAACATGCCCAAACACCGTGAACCCGCTGGAACGCCCAGACATCTCATGAATGTGCTTCCGAGGCCAATGACAACATCCTCCCACCTTGCCCAGCGCACACAAACTCTCTGCCTTTCTGAGTGATGGCAATTTTGGTCATCAGGTGATGGGGGCACCAGAGTCATTGGACTCCATCACTCAGAACATGTCTGGCTGAAATTTTTCACAATTAAAATTGAATTTGTATTTTTTTTAAAACAACACAGGATTCTGCCATCACCTTGCAAAAACTTCTTTCTGAAAGCCTGGAATCCATCCTGGGTCTTGTTCCCGACCGACTCCCTGAGGGTGAGGCCTGTGATGTCATCCAGCACGAGCAGTTCTGAGAGGTTGGCTGATGAGGGCGTCTTGGTGTTGTTCACAAACAGGTGAATGAGCACCGTCTGTGGTTCACTCTGCCCCGACACCTGGRACAGGAGGAGAGGAAGGGAGGGCCCGTGGCTGCAGGACCAGCCTGACCTCTGCACGTCAGGTCTCACAGGGGTCCTGTGGATTTACTAGGCTCCTCTGGTTTCCAAGCCCCAGAGGGTGTTGACCCACACTGTCAAGCTGTGGCCCAGAGAAAACTGCAAAGAAGTTGGGACCCTGAAGTGCAAGGAAGTCATCCTGCTAAGTGTCCTGGAAGGAAAACTACCCCAAGGTCAGGCTGGGGAGAGGGACTCAAAAGAGCAAGCGACAGCTCTTTGTCCTGAGTTATTCTAAAGATGCATCCCCAGCTCAGAGCCCAGGCAGAATGGCTATTTGGTGCCCCAGGAAAGACCTGATCTGGTCATCTGCGTCCTGGTCAGTCATGTGTCCATGGCCCATGTGGCTGGTGGACTCGACAACCGTGYCCTACTGCCCTCTAGCCTTATCTCCCACCACCCTGCACCCCCTCTGCCCAGCCCTGCTGAAATAGATGCGGGAGCTGAAGAGAAGGAAGCAATGTATGTCCCGAGCTGAGTGACAAACAAGGTTCAGAAATGTGTGTTTAGTATTCCACCACGTATGTGTACCTGCATGCACACAGGCGCTCTCTCTCTCTCTCTCTCTCTCTCTCTCACACACACACACACACACACACACACACACACACCTGTGCATGTTAGAAAACACCTCTAGAAGGAATGTGAGAACACACTGCACTGATTGCACCCAGGAAGGTCAGCCAGGTGGCTGAGGGCCCCGTGAGGGCAGTGCAGTGAGCAGGAGCCCGCAGGCCTGGGCTGTCCAAACCCTGCACGTTCCAGAGGGCTGGCCTTTGACCTGCTTGAGRGAGATAACCTCTCGGGCTCCTGGAATATCCTGCCTGATAAGGAGGTTTTACACCTGGGGCCTGGGACCACACCTGCTCAGGGAGGTCAACAATGTGATCCGTGGTGGGTGCCATGGGCCACACAGTGGCAGTGTGGCCTCCAGGGGGCAGAGGACTGAGCATAGAGGTCAGTCTTGCAGGGGCCCATGCCTGACTGAGCCCTGAGGAAAACTCTGGAAGCTGGTCTCCAGTGAGCCTCGCTCTTGGCCAGACTCTGTAGATGTTGCCACACACGGTGCTGGGAGGACCGGGTGACTGGGCCACACCACGGCACTGCACAAGGACACCAGAAGCACCTGCCTGGTCTTCCAGGGCTCCCCATTCGCCTCATTGCTTTCTCTGCAATACACCACATCTGGGAGCAGCAGGGCTCCACTGCCTTCTGAGCCCTTCAGCAATCCCTGAGCTGAGGGTGCTCCTGGGGCCCAACTCAGGCTGGTGTAAAACTGTCTCCCAGGGTTAGTAAGATGGAAGACCTAAAACAGTAAGCAAATTTTTGAAACTATCAAGAACCATATTTTTGTAATCTGAATATAAATATATAACCCTTTCTTCCCTATTCTAAATGATCACTGTTATATTTTTTTTTAGTTCTTGACAGACCTTTATTTTATTTATTTATATGTGGTGCTGAGAATCGAACCCAGTGCCTCTCACATGCCAGGCAAGTGCGCTTCCACTGAGCCCCAGCTCCAGCCCTGATCACTGTTATTTTTATAAACAAAAATTTAAGTGTTCCCACCCACCCTCAGTCTCAGCACTGCCATCTAGGGATCAAACCCCTGCTGTCTACAGCATCACCGTGGGTCCAAACAAGAGCGGAAAAGCCCACGATTTACAGCCCGTGGGCCGACTCTACCAAGTGACCTGGGAAAAGTCCAGTTCAAGCATAAGTGACTCGTGGAGACTCACCAGCGCACATTTCTGAAAAATTACTCCATTCTCTGAAGTCCCTTGAACTTGTCTTGAAATATCTCCATACTAAAATAAAAGAAAGAAGTTATTTGAAAGTGAAGACTATTCCACGCTACACAGTTTAATAAAAGCACGCGATGGTCGACTTTTTAAAGGAGGACAGAGGGGTTACTTCCGCAGCTGCCGCCACCCAGGGAGCAGGTGCAAACCTCCCCCTGGTGTGAATCCTCTGTCCTGCACAGGAAGAGCACCAGGAGAGGTAACTGGGCTGTCCCAGTGACGGTCACATTTAGGGAGAGAGAGGGAGCACTTTGCTGGAGGAACACAAGCCTGTGACAGTCAGCTCAGAAGRGTCCTTCCACCCGCTGACAGCTGACATTCGGGAGGAGGTGCTGCCTCGGTTACTCACCAGGGGGGGCGTTACAGCAGACTCTCTTTTAAAGAGGTTCCTCTTGGGCCAGGAAGGTGCGAAGGCAAATAAGGAATGAGTCCACAGCCCTGGGGAGGCTGCYGAGGTCGGGACTGGGCTGGGGACGTCGGTGTTCCTGTTGGGTTTCCTTCCAAGTGGGACTTCTATGCCAGACAGCCAAGGGCGGCAGGACGGGAGCGAAAGGCAGTAAAGACAGCAGTTAAACTCTGAGACGGACCTCGCGGTGTGTGGAGGGCACTCGGAAAGGGACCCTGGGTGAGGGGCTGTGCTCATGAGTGAGTGGATGGAAGAGGGGATGGACGGGTGACTCACGCTGTTTACCAGAAAAGCGGGGCAGGATCACGGGAAGCCGAGGGCTTGGGAGGGGTGTTTCTGAGCATGGTCTCCTTACCTGGGCCCTGTGCAGCAGTGTACATTCCCGGGCCCTGGCCACAAATCAGAACCACTGGACTATGGACACTCCCTGGGTGATTCTCACCATGGGATGAGATAGTCCTGGGTTCCAGTCCTGGCTCTGCCACTCTTCAGCTGTGAGCCCTTGGGCAAGTCACCTAGCCTCTCTGTGCCTGTTTCCTTAACTGCTCTGGTCACTGTGGTTTGCCCCCAAAAGCTCATGTGCTAGAAACATGGCCCCCAGCACTGAAAGGTGGTGGGACCTTTAAAAGGTGAGGCTGAGGTGGGGGCAACCGGTCATGACCTCCTCAGAAGGGACCAGTGCTGGTCTTGAGGAGCAGGTGAGGTCTCCCAGGAGTGGATTCCTTCTGCCAGAGCCAGTCACTCCTTATAAAGGGAGCCTGGCCCCTCTGGCCTCTGGCTTTCTGTTTTGCTATGAAACTTTGTCAGGTACACCCTGCCAGGCCATCACACAGCTGTGCTGTGTAGCCTAAAAGCCCTCATCAGAGGCCCACCAGATGGGCTGTCCCCTTTTGGACTTTGAGCCTCCAAAACCGTGAGCTAAATAAACTTCTTGATCCAAGTACCCAACCTCAGGCACTTGCTTGCAGCCATGCAAAAATAGACCAAGAGGTTAACTCTCAAGAAGACAGAGTAACTCCGGCCTCCATGAACCCCCCGAGCCTCCACCTACTGCAGCACAAGCTCTGGTGGCCATCATCAGGAGGACAGGCACGGGCTGGACACMAGCACTGGCTGAGCCAACCAACACAAGAGGACTCCCTCGAGAATCTGCTCTACCTTGAAATATTTTGAAAGTTTCTGAGCATCGTGTGTCTAGAAATGACTCTTTCATCGCCCGCGCTGGGTTCAGGAGTCCTGCTGAGCAGGTGCTGCTTGGCTGCTGGTGGGCTGTGGGACTCTGGCCAGGGGAGCAGAGTTCTCTGAGCTTGGTCCTTCTCACCCGGGATGTGGTTAAGACACCCATGGGGCAGGRTGCCCTGGGAGCCAATGAGCCACCACAGGTCACATGCTTGAAGTTAGAAATTTAACTAGATGGGCAGGTAGAAGACAGACAGACTGACTGGCTAGGCAGTGTGGAGACAAGTCTCACTGTGCTGCCCAGGCTGAGGCAAGTGATCCTCCTGCCTCAGCCTCCCAAGTGGCGGGCACCACAGGAGTGCCCACCACGCCTGGCAGGAATCTGTGCTTTCACCATGACCCAGACTGTGCAGCTGTGCTTCCTTTAACATCCATCTCTGTCCAAACGCAACTGCAGGGTGCCTGCAGACGCACCCATTTGGGGTCATTCTCACTGGGTCGACAGCAAGGTCTTTAATAGTGCGTTTTAAACCTACAGAATTTCAAAATATAGGTAGGGAAAAATTTTTAAATTGAAAAAATAAAAAGATGTGGGATGGGCCCTAGATAAAATCAAGGTCTCTTTTTCCTTGGACCATGTCTGGTGGATTTGGTTCGCGAAGCTGCCGTGAGGATCAGGGTCCCCACTGCACAACTCTTCACACTGAGAAGCTGGCACCGGGACCTGACAGCCCTGGCCACAAAACCACCGGGCTCTTCCCCAGTCCGGCCGCTGAGCTGGTCAGAAAGGTCTGGGGAATCAAGTGGGCTCAGTGCGCTCTCTAGACCCCAGCCCCTTGGGCTCAGGGCCACGGCTCGCCCGCACACCCACTGGACGTAAAATCTTATACTGGACGTAAAAGACCTACATGAGTCTCAGGACTCATCTCTGGGCACCTGTTTGTGCCCCACTGGCTCCTCCTGGTCCTCGGGGGCACCCCCTCAGGAAGGCCCCTCTCTAGTCAGTGGGAATCCTGCTGGGTCTACGGACCGGGGGCCACCTGCGTCCCAGCCTGTCTGGGTCCCAGGATGCCACAGTTAGGCAGAGAGCCCAGAGAACTCCAACCTGGCCTCAGTGACAGGTTCTGGGACACACATGACAAACTGAGCCCACTGGTTTCCCTGAATCTACACGAGGACAGTGGAGGAAAGCTCTTCACTCTGCAAGGGCCAGCCACGGGGCTCGGATCCCAGGACTGCCACCGCCTGGAAAGGCCGCTTGGAGAAGGACGCCCTCCAGAGGACAGCAGCTGGGCAGCACCTGGGTCCCACAGGGACCTCGTCCCGGGGKCGAGGTTCAGTTACAGGAAGATGAGTTTCCTCTCGCGGACAGAGGTGTGACGGACTGAATAATGACCCCAACGATACTCGGGTCCTCATCTCAGGTGGCAGGGACTGCGCAGAGGGACTACACTGAGGGCCCTGTGAAGGGGCGAGAGCTGACTCATCCAGGTGGGCACTGAATGTCAACCCAGGGGTCCTAAGAAAGAGCCCAGGGGAGACTTGAGGGGAGGGGGGTGACGTGGCCACCCAGCTGGCTTTGAAGAGGTGGGAAGGGCCTCGATCTGAAGAACTCCAGGAGTGGGCTGCAGGTGCCACCAGAGGTGGACCCTGCCCAGATCCCCCCAGGGCGCGGCCCTGTTCACCCTCCACTTCAGCCAGGGGAACGGAGTGTGGCTCCTGGCCTCCAGAGAACAGTGTGGTTTAACAGGGACGAGCAGCTTCTGAAGCTGTCACAGCAGCACAGGTCACCAAGAGCCTGGCACTCAGCATGCTGTTTCCCTCAGCAGGCTCCTGCAGGTGGCGTCCACACAGCCCGGCAGCCAGACAGCCCGGCCTGCCCTGATTCAGCACTGTGTCCTCACTACCGCTCAGGCAGGCTCTCCGTGTTTTGTTTTGTGAGTTCAGGGAACAACCTGTTTGCCCAGGTGGGGGGACAGCGCAAGGACCCACAGGGTGACACAGGTGAGGGTGGGCTCTGGGTGCCACCACTCAGGGTCAAAACAATGAGAAACCACCCAAAGCAAAACTCACCTGCTGTCTTCAGATGAGAGCGCTCCACGTGCAGCCACGTCCTACAGAACAGGCCCTAAAACACACCACAGGCCCAGAGTTGTRARCTGAGGAACACACTCCTAGGGAGCRGGCCACAGTCACTTTCCTGAACAGCTCCCTGGAGATGAGCGGCACCTCTCTTCCAAGTCTGGAAGCACCTGCCCAGACACACTGCACTTCTGGGAGCCGTCTAGGGGACAGCACGATGTGGATGAAATGTCACAGTCAGATCTGTGTTGGAATCCCAGGTCTGCTTCCCCGGGGGGGCCTGGGCAAGCCCCAGGCACCGTGATCCCCAAGAACCCACAAGCTGCTGGGGTGGCAGTGAAACACCGGATGGGGAGTCGGAACTGGGTTCTAGTTAGAAGCYTTTACTCACTGGGTGTCCTGGGCCAAGTCTCAGCTTCTCTGAGCCCTGCTCCCTCTCTGAAAAGRGGTGATCTCAAAGCTTCCCCCCAGCTGGCCTAGCCTCAGGTTGATGAAATCGTATCCAAACCCTTCCACTCCACTTTGTGAACTCTGGACCCTGGAGAGGCCAGAGCTCTCTCTTGTATGCTCCTAAGGGCTGCCCTGGATGGGGTCCCTTCAGCGTGCCAGGTCCTGTGCTAGCTCTCCAAGCCTGCGGTACAAGAGCGCAAAAGAACCGTGGAGTATCAGCCTCATTTTAAAGTGATCTCCCCAGACTCAGGGTAACTAGGGAACTCCCTCCAGGTCTCACGGGAACGGTGGTGGAGACTGCCTCTCACCCAAGCAGCTGCTCTGGACTTGGGCTCCCACCATCCGCTCTCGCTGGCTTCTGTGTAATTAAGGAGGATGCATGAGCAGGAGGCCTGAGCAGGACACTCAGGCCTGGTCTCAGGTCCAGTTCCAATGGCCACACGGGAGTGGGTGTCTTCACTTGTTCGTGCCATTATAACAAAACACCTGAGACTGGGTAACTGGCAATGAACAGAAGTTGGTACCGGGGTGCGCTGTTGCTGTAGCAAATACCTAAAACTGGGAAGCAGCTTGGGAACTGGGTAATGGGGAGGCTAAACTGTCACAGGCGTTCTYGAGGGACTCGGGGTTTGGGGGCCATGTGTGTATAAACCATGGTTGGCTCAAGCCATTAAGGCAGGGAGGCCACTCTTTCGGGAACTCCTGGGTGTAACTCCCCAGACGCCTGGATCAAGCCGGCCCCRTCTTAGCTCACAGCCTTAGGATTAAACAGCCTCCCAGAGATGGGCGTAGCCCACCAAATGCCAAATGACCTGTCTACTGCCAGACCCCTGGCACACGGGCAGCAAGCCCCTAAACAAGACTCCTCCCCCACGGAAACTTATCTGTACCATGATAAATAAAGCAAGTACGGGCTTCTTCTTTATTAGAAGCCAGACYCCTCTGGTCCACTCAACCCGTCACGCTCCTGCTTTAAAAATATCCTTGCCTTTTGTCTTTCATCCTGACACATGACCTTCATAGCTTTTATCTTGCAGCCAGCCCATCCCTCCGGTGGGTGTCCATTCCCTYGCCCACATCGGACGTGAGCCAGGTTCGGCAGAAGGAGAGCTGTAGGGAAAGCAGGGACTCCCTGCCGACGAGTCAGGTGCCCAGAATGTGGGTAAGGATACAGACAATCAAGCCAACCGGATGCAATCTGAGATGAACATGGACACGGGAAAAGCCATYCTGGTTATAAAGTGGCAGAAGTCGCGCCTGAATCTTGTCCTGTGATGCTCTGGGGAAGGCAGAGCTCGCAGAAAGGCACAGGGGCATCTGGCAGAAGGAACCTCAGCAGGGCCAAGGGCGCACCCTGACTGCTTGTAGCAAAACCAGAGAGAAAACAACAAATGAAAGAGAATAGATAATCAGAAGAAGAGCGGCCTTACTRTCTGGGCAACGCTCAGGCCGCCAGGCAGTGAAGTCGGAAAAGGGTTCCCGAGAGGATCCCAAGGCAGTGGCCAAGGGAGCTCCCGGAGAAAGATCCGTGTGGCCCTGAGGAGGCCACAGGCTGTTGATCAGGACAGCGGAAGAGGGACCCTGACTGCATTCTGAGGATCCTCAAGACCTTCCAGGCTGCCCTCCCATCCCAGGGTCTCGGGGGCAGAAGAATGTCAAGGATGTGCCCAGGATGCCCACAGGACCTTGGCGCTCACGGCCCAGGGCACCTCAAGCCTGTTTCCTGAATCCCAGTGCGGAGCTGCCCCGCATCCTCTGGAGGCCACAAGCAGAGGCTTTGGTGGTGTCCACCTGGCACCAGCTGTACAGGGTGTGGCACTGCAGGAGCTACAGAGGCATGGCTGTCCCCAGCTGGACTTCACAGGGTGCCCTGGAGGGGCTTGGGGCCCGGATGAGAATGGTCAGTGGGGTGAAACACCACAGGGACCCCAGGAGAGCAAGCAGCAGTGAACTGTGGGTGCAGGGCCGCCCCCAGACCCAGGACAGCTAAACCTCCTAGGCCAGCCTGGAGGGTCACCGGCACCCAGCCCACCCGTGGGGGCTGCTCTGAGTGCACCCAGCAGAGTGGGGCCGGCCCACCAGGGCCTCCAGTGCCAAGCCCTGCCCTTGTGTCCAGAAGGCAGGGGACGCAGTCCAAGATAACTCTCCAGCCTGGGGCGTTAATGTTTCCCTGCAGGTGTGGGGTCTGGTGGGACCCGTGTCGTCGTCTTCCCCGCTTCTCCTGTTTGGGAGGGAACGTCCATTTGGCGCTGCTCCACGGCTGTTCTGCAGAAGCTCCTAACCAACTGGACCTCCGGGATCACGCACCAGGGACTCTGCCTCGGCTCCCTGCTCTCCCCCAGCCTGTGTCTCACCCAGGCTGACGTAGGGGAGCTTCCTGGGAGACTTCRGACTCTCAGGTCGACACGTGGGGTCACGGGGGCAAGGAGTGCACCGTGGATGACAGCGCTGTGTCCCTCCGACACTCAGGATGAAGCGGGCACCCAGGYAACGGTACTGAGGGGTTTAGGAGGTAATTAGGCCACGAGGGTCTGCCCTCACAGACATGGTGAGTCCCCCTAAGACACGTGGAGGGGACTCGCTAGGCTTCTTCTTGAGCTTTTGGCCCTGCCCCTTCTAACACATGAGGACACAGCCATCTTGGAGGCAGAGACTGGACCCTCACAGGACATGGAACTTGCTAGCACTTGACCTGGGACCGCCCAGCCTCCAGGACTGTGAGCACTCTTCCACTGCTACAGATGGCCCCTGTGGTACTCTGTGGACCAAGACTCTGGGACACGCCAGCTGAGACCACACTGGACACAGAAGGGGCTGTGTGGCTACTGTCTCTGTCCCCTGAAGAGCCTTCCCTGTGTCCTGTCTTGCAGTCAGAGCAAGCCACCCTGTGTGGCTGTGGGTTCCAGGCCTGCTCCTTGTGGGCCTCTATAGCCCTGGACGCTCCCCTCTGGGGGCAGCCCTACAGGAAGGGCGTGAGCCCCACCATGTGGAGCCCCCCAGCTGTCCCTCATTCCACTCCACTTGTGGCATCTGWTCCCTCCTCAGCACCTTCCCTGACCACCCCATGGCTCTCCATCCACTCTGCCCACACGTGTGCCAGCTCAGCCCTCAGGGCCCACCACACACAGCAGTGCACTGCTGGCTACCCTCCTCTGACTCTGGGAATCCAGAGCAGGCCTCACCTGGGTCTGCCTCRTTCTCCCACGCAAGCTGTGGGACAGAGCCAGTGCCTGGCAGGCATGCCGAGGCCAGTGTCCGGTGGGCATGCCGTGGGCAGGGGATGGGGGATGGCTGACTGGGAGGCCTCCTCTCCAACACCCTCCCTGCCTTCTGCCTTCCGTGAGCTCCAGCAGGGCCTTCTGCAGCCAAGGAAATGTGCTATGACACAACTGTCCACTGAGCAGCCTCCAGACGTGGGGGCCATTCTGCACTTCAAATGTGGCTGACACACTGGCCATCTGGGAGACAGTTGGAACTGCCCGGTAGGAAGGGACAGATGCCAAACGAACCCTGAGCACTGATGCCCAGGTTTACTCCTCCCTTTCCTGTGGAGCCAGCCACTAACAGCAAGTGCCAGGGGAGCACAGGTCTAGATGGACAGCCTCCCCGCACCTGGACCACTGTGGTCACAGCCTCCTTGTCTGTAAGATGGAGATGAGTCCTTTCATCAGAACTACCTAAAGAATTAAGTCAGATAATGCACATAAGGCACTTAGCGTGGCCCAGCACACAGCAATCACCTGGGGAATGCCCCACACCACTTGTGCCCTCCCTTACTGCACTACTGTAACTATGTCATCACTGCCACTACCGTGTCACCTCTCCATCATCTGCAATAAAACTGAGAAGGAACCAGAAAAATTGCTGTCTTGTAAATGAGAAAAAATGGGGCTTGGAGCTGGACCGAGCCTCTTGTCAAGAACAGATGGGGGCCGTGATTATGGCTCAGTGGTAGAGCACTTGCCTAGCGTGGGGGAGGCACGGGGTTCAGTCCTCTCGGCACCACATAAAAATGAATACACACAATAAAGATTTTAAAAAGTGTTGTATCTGTTTAGAAAAATTTTTTTTTTTTAAACAAAAAAAAGGAGGCCAGATGACGTCTTGGTTACCGCTACTTCCTCTGGAGCAGGCGAGGGAGAATCAAAGACGCACAACGACGCTCTCGATCACTACCATGTGCTGCTTAGTAAATGGGGTCAACCCYGGAGAAGGCACAGACGTCCTGCTCTCAGAACAGGAGGAGTGTAAACAACAAAGTGCTGCACGTCCCATGCTCTCCATGGACGGGGAGGGGACAGGAGGAATTAGAAAGTCGTCAGGGTGCTGGGAAGAAAACTGGGGGAAGGACAGAGCGGCTCCCAGCCTGAGAGGGGGACGGGRTGAGGGAGGGCTGGGGATCCCCTCCTGAGGGTGTGTGCCTGGAGCRGTCAGGAGCAGCAGAGGCCAGGGTGCCAGAGCAGGGTGACTTGGCAGGACAGACCTGGGTGAGGTCACAGTGCAACAGGCGATAGAGGGGCTTTCAGGCCACCTGGGAACTTGCCTCTGCTGAGTACTAGGGGGGCGGGGGGGGCAGGTGGGCTGCCCTGTGAGGGTGGCAGGAGGAGGCTGTTTCCAGTGGGACACCCGCCGGGCTGCTCTGCTGACAATGGAGAAGGTGGGCAGGGGTGGGAGGGGGACGAGCTGGAAGGCTCCCGATGGTCCCCGAGGGCAGCAGCCAGGACCAACAGGGTCATCATCCAGAGTGAAGGCCACACCGACGTTCTGAAATGGAACCCTCGGGACCTGCTGGCTGATGGACATGGGGAGGAGCCAGTGAGGAGGCCGAGGGCAGTGCCGAGGCTGTGGCCCAGCACAGGAAGGCCGGGCACCAGCAGCAGCAGGGCGGCGAGGAGAGGTCCACGCCATGCGCAGGCCTGTGGCATGCCCCTGGGCCTCCAGGGAATCTGGCAGGTGGATCTGTGCTGGACTTCCTGGAAGTCACCCCTGGAGGTCAGAATTTGGGGCTGTCAGTGGACAGATCACCCCAGGCGTGCGTGGCCATGAAGGACAGAGGGGTCSGAGCTCTGCCGTGCTGCAGCCTGCAGGTGGAGGGGAGCCCAGAAGCCCCCAGAGACCCCGTTTTACCTGACCAAGCTCTCAAGAAGTACCTGAGGATGCTTCTCTGGCCGGGAGAGCTGCTCAGAAAGCCAAGATCAGTGTACCTCGTAACAGCAATGTGGCAGCGCCCGCCGGCCTTGGCTGTTTTTGTGTTTCAGGCTGGAATTTTTTTCTCTTTTTCCATTAATTGATCCAACCTGAGACACACCCAGTGCATTCGCCTTAACCTCACAGCTAACCCAGATAACTGCTGTTTGATATTCAAGTAGAAGAGCAAAAACACAACAATACCCGCACAAACAGTGATGATGTGGGCCTCGTTCTGAAGTATATGTCTGTCCTTCCCTAAGTCCCTGGGCRTCAGGTAGGGCTTGCATACAGCAGTGCTTCTCAAACGTGCTAGTCTCRGGAACCTTCACACCCTCCACAAGTATGGAGGGCTCCCAAGAACTTTGCTCTGTGCAGACTATATTTATTTTATTTTTATGTGGTGCTGAGGATGGAACCCAGGTTCTCGCACGTGCTAGGCGAGCACTCTACTGCTGAGCCACAACCCCAGACCAGAATCTATTTATTAATATTTAATTAATATTAATATTTTCTTTTTTTCCTTAGCACAGAGAAATTATTTTTACTATATTTCAAATTAGAGTTAGAATATTTTCGAGTGTCAAGCTGGGCACATACCTGTAATCTCAGCAACTTGGGAGGCTGAGACAGGAGGATCATAAGTTTGAGGCCAKCCTGGGCAACTTAGTGAAACTCAATAATAAAGGAGGCTTAGGRTTTAGCTCAGTAGTAGAGCACCCCTGGGGTCACTCCTCAAAAAAAAAAAAAAACACTAATTCCCTTTTAAATAGGAATAATAATCCCATCGCACATCTACATAAGCAGCATATCTTATGAAAAATCACTACATTCTCCAAAATAAGAGTATGGATGGCAGTGTTTTATGCTTCTGCAAATCTCATCTGAGTCTGGATTAATGAAAGAAGCTGAATTCTCAACTCTGCTTCTGGGTTAAATCTTCCCCTATACACATATTGTGTCACTTTCAAAAAAGTCCACTGTCCCCTGGTAAGGAAATGAGTGGGAAATGTACATAATGTCTCAGTATCACTATAAAAATTTCTCTGACTCCTCTGACCCCAGATGCAGTTCCTGGGCCCCACTTTGAGAACCAACCACTGGGGAGTGAGAGGCAATCTCGGAGAGCATCAGATGAAGAAACCACAGAAGACACTCCCATAGGAAGGAGACAGGCGAGGGGCCCAGACAATGAAGCAAATGTTCCAACCAAGGGACGCAGGGCATCACGGGTCCAAAGACAGTGGAATATGTCACAGTGCCTCCCACCTGGGGCTTCACCATGAACTTCTGTGCACACAGGATGTTCTCTCTTGCTCCTTCCCTAGGTAAACCCACTCATCCTTTGAACGTTAGCTGAACGATTTCATCTGACCACCTAACTGAATGACCCTCCTCCCTAGCCCTTCCTCATAGCTCCCCACCACTCCGTTCAAAGTACTTAATCACTGCGCGATTATGAACATACTTCCCCAGCCCCCGGCACACAGCATGGCCCTCAGCAAAGATGTAATAATAGGTATGAACATGTGTATGTCTGCGTAYACACACGTGTGCATGTGTATGTGTGTATATATACATGTATGTGTGTATAAAATGAATGGAGGGAGGGAAGGTTTCAGACAATCACAACAGAAACAGCTTCAGGAACTAGGATYGTGCTCGGGAGAGAGTCTTCCACCACTGTGGGGAACCTGGCCCCAGGCCCCACAGAGTGGGGTGAGTGCTCACGGCAGGGACACCCAAGGCCCACAGAAACCCCAAGTTCTTTACTGTCCAGCTTATGGAAGGATTGTCTGAGACAGGCCCAGAGTGATGCAGGAAGGACTGGCATGGGCAGGGCCAGGACCCAGGTGAGGCAGGTGCTAGAGACACYGAGGGCACCTGGACACAGGTGCTCACTCGCAGGTTCCTTCAAGGGCAGGAGATGACTTGGACTCACTCTGGTCCTGCATGGCCTCAGGCACTTCCCAGAGGGCACTGTCCCTCCTCTCAGCAGGCCCACCCTCTGCACCTGCTCTTGACAGAGGCCAACATCCACCTCAATGATCCAGCACAGGTTTTCCCAGGGCTTGGTCAAAGGAGCAGGGCTGGCCCTGGAGCCCACCCCACACCTGCAGGCACAGAAGAGCACGAGGCCAGGGCCATGCTTTCTTGGGCCTTGTTTTTTTCCCTCCACAAATGGGCCAGATAATTCCCATTTCCCTTGGCAGAAGCGAGTGAAAGGACCCAGTGAAAAAGTGCTGTCCTTGGGATACTTACAGCTCAAAGTTCACAGACACAGTGCAGTGCCTTCTTGAAACCTAGAAGCATCAGAGGCATTCTCAACCTCTGCAGCCATGAGGGAGCCCTGGGGCATGCATCAGACAGAGCCCCAGGACTGCATGCTGGCTCTGGGGGAGAGTGCGAGGGCTCCAAGGGCATCAATGATCCAGCGCCTGCTGAAGGCGCTCCTGGAAATCTCTGGGTTTGCAGCCAGGATTCATGAGACAGCCAGGAAGGAAGAGGGAAGAGGTGGGACACAGACCTTGGACAGATCCCCCTAGAGCCTGGGGGAAGGGATGGGACACAAATTAAGGAATGAAATCTAGGATGGATCTTCACCAAGGGCCAGAGGCAGACAAGGAACCTGATCAGGGGGAGAAGGCATGAGGCTGGTGACCAGCTTGGGGAGGAGGAGGGAGCTAGGGTGTCCTGTGCCTTTCCAAGTTTGGACACAGAGAAAGACCAGGGTCAAGGCCAAGTGGGAAATGGCCAAACTCACCAGGGAAAGTGTAGTGCGGTAAAAATACAGCCAATACCCCCGAAGCCCATGTCACAAGCTGCACCTTCCCAAGAAGAGCTGGCCACCGCTTTAACTGACGCACAGTGGCCTCTGGAGGAGTCACCATTAGGCAGGGTTGTATGTGCAAGGAAAGAGAAGTGAAGTGATTTGCTCCGGGACACAGAGCTCCTAGAACGCGGAGCGGGATTCCAACCTGGCCGCTGGTCGTGGCCAAGTCCTCAGCGCCAACCCAGAGCCGCCCCCTCCCATCGGGGTTCTCGGGGCGCGCAGAAGGCACCTGGGGGACACCGCCAGGCGCGGCGGTCGGATCCCGTCTCCTCTTCCTAGTCCTCTGCCCAATATTAAAGGCTCCCGCCCCGCCTGCTGACCGTGGGCCGCGGGGGTCCCACCCGAGCCCGGGGCGGCGCTGCTCACCTGTACTCTGCGCTCGAGCCCTGCMCCGCTGGGTGCCGAAGGGGTCCCCGGGCAGGGCCCCACCTGGCGCGCCGCGGGCAACGCGCGGGGAGCCTGCTCGCCGAAGGGGTGATGGAGCGGGCCGGGGCCCGCGGGGAGCCAGCCTCGGGCCCCCAGAGCCAGGGCCGCGACCAGGACGCCCCCGGCCAGCACCCACGTGTCGCGCCACCCAGCGCCCACGGGACCCATCGCGCGACGGGGTCCCGCGCCCCCAAACCGGCAGGCGCCGAGGAGTCGCTGGGCTTCCGGACCCCAGGCCCGCCCCGCCGCCGAGCATGCTCAGTGCGAGCCGCCGCGGAAAGTTTTCTGGAACAAACACGGGCATCTGGACTTGGCGGGCCGGGAGGCGCCCGGGGTGTGGGAGGGAGCCAGGGAGCCCGGCTGGTGAAGCTGAGCGCTGCGCGGTCACGCCCGGGTTGCTCGCGCTCTGCCGGGTGTCCCATACTACCCAAATCAGGACTCCAGAGATTACCAGGGCTCCTCTACGAAAGCCCACCCGTTTCTCTGGATCCCAGCTCAGCCTCATCTCCTCTAGGAAATCCCTGCTACACCGGACTAGATCCCCACGCTTCCCCCACCCACCTATTAGGAAAYTGAAAGGCCTTAGGGCATTTGCAGAGAGCCTGCGATGTCTCTATGGGAAGAGCTGGCAGGGAGCAGGCAGAGAAAAAAGGTGACCCGCACTTCCTGTTGGGTTCAGTATTCACTGGATTAGCCCCTGGAACTGCCCAGGGGGGCACATTCCCAGGGAGAGGCAGGTAGTTTCTGATTCTCTCTGGAGAATCAGAAAGAGGGCAGAGCATGTCTGGAGCCTGGAAGCCTTTGAGCAGCTCCTCTGAGCCCTTCTTGGGGACACGTGGAGACAAGGCTTTGCTTTGCTTTGCCCCGGGGATTGGGGGTGGGGTGCAGTTTGTCTGCTTCCTGCTTCTTTTTCATCCCCTATGGGCACAGCTCATGCCTGATCACTGGGGAAAGAGTTCCTCTCCTGCCAGTTTTCTTGCTGGGCAGCCCCTGAGGCTGGCATTTTACCTCCCAAACACACACCTCCAAGGACAGGCCTTCTTGACCTGTCACGGATAAGGTGATGGGTTAAGGATCTGAGAGAGAGAGGCCAACATTCCCACAGTAGGTTTGCTGTCCTAGGTGGTACCTGGCTGTGTCAAGAGTGAGACAAGGCCAAAGGCTAAATGCCAAGCATCCTACTGGAGCAGCAATGTTATATGGCAGTGAGTAATTTAAAATGACATTTTAATATTCAAACAACCTTGTAATAAAGTAAAGTGCAATGAACATTACATGATTCCCTTTTTTTAGACAGGTCCTGCTGTGTTGCCTGGGCTGACCTTAACTTTGAATCCCTGGATGCAGCCATCCACCTGCCCCTCCTCCTGAGGACTGAGTAGCTGGGACTAGAGATGCATGCCACTGCACCAGCCTTTACATTTGGAAAACTGAAGCCTGAGCATCCCATGAAATAGCCAGCATAAAGCACAGGGTTATTGTCCCTGAAGATGTGCCCAGGAGCCTTGGAGATTCTTCTGAGGAAACATTTAAGCAGCTAGCAGAGACTGTGTGCCCTGAAGCCAGACAGGTGCAGGGTTGAGTGTTGCACTCCTTGGTTGCACCTTGAGCAAGTCACCTCTCCTTTCTAGCTGTAAGTTTTTTCACCGTAAAAAAGATGAGGAATTTGGATAATAGTTCCCACCTTGCCTACCTGGAAGGGTAGAGGGAAATGATGAAACAGACTGGAGAGTTGAGCCTGATCTCCAGGGCAAGAAACTCAGCACAGAAGCCCTCTCTGTTGAAACAGATCTCTGGAGTACCTCCAGCCCTCCTCTCACAGGGAATCCAGGTAGGAGCCGGCACATGCACACATCTGGGAGCACTCATGTGCCCCTGGCTGCACTCTGGCTCCCAGGAGGATTGCTAGCAGGCAGTCTGCATTCAGAAGGAGCAGGACGATGGCATTGCCTTGTGTGTCTCCACACAGCCTGGAGATCCAACCAGCCTGAGCCTCAGCAGGCTCATCCCTGCTCCAGAAAGACACTGCAGGTTCTCTGCAAATGCCCAGCAAATGGAAGAGCTCCCACTGTCTCGGAGCTAGTAGGGCCAGGGTGTGGCAATCTGTTTACACATTGCTTTAGAGAAAAGCACTGGCCGTAGGATACGGGGTGAAAACGGGGAACTTCAGGGTAGCAAATTTGGGTTAGTGGTAGGTTGTGAGGCCCCAGGAAGACCAGCCCTTRGAAGAAGGAGCAAGAGCTGAAGTCCAGTCTGCTTGAGGCTACTGAACTGCTCTGACCTTGAGCTTCCTCCTCTAGAGGATGGGCAGTGAACAGCACCCTTCACGAAAGGGGTTAGTGGGAAAGTTAATGAGATCATCAGATTAAATGCTTACTTTATCTAAGCGGTCTATCAGTTTAAAGGAGCAAACCTCCCGGGTGCTTGGGGCACCCTTTCTCCACCAGAGCCCAGGTTGCCTGGTGTAAAACAAGACCCCCTCTTAAAAGTCCTGCGGGCTGGGAGCGCGCCTCTGGTGGGCATGCTCAGTGCACCGGCAGGGCCGGGGGCGGGGGTGCCTCAAAGTTTTGGGCGGACGGCCCAGGCTCCTCCCTCCTGCTCGGGCGGAGCTGGGAAACCAGAGAGGAGCAAGGGGAAGGCGACTTCACCCACCGGAAAGTGGGCGAGCGCCCCGCGCTCCTGGCCGCCCGCKCTCCGAGGGCCGCATCGCGGACGCCGTGGGCATCTTGCGGTGGACCGCGGGCCGGGGCAGTGCGCGGCGGCGGGCGGGATGCGGCCGGTCCCCCGTCTGAGCGCCCCCGATGGCCCGCGGCGCCGCGGCCTGTGCGAGCGACGCGCGGCTGCTGCTGGGCCGGGACGTGCTGCGGCCCGCGCCCGCGCTGCTGGCCCTCGCCGTGCTGCTGGGCGCCGCTCTCGGCCTCGGCCTCGGTCTGTGGCTCGGCTGCCGCGCGGGCCGCCTGCGCCCGCGACACCAGGTGAGTTCACCGAGCCCGCAGCCACGGGGCGAGACTCTTGGGGCGCSGTCCTTCACGGTCCAGGGTCGGAGCCCAGGCTCTGTGTCCTGGGCTTTGGCGTGATTGCCGGCTTTGAGTTCCCTTTCTGCTCCAGGAGGGAGTTGGAAGCAGGGATTTTGGAGGGAGGGTACAGGGCATTGGCCTGGCGTCCTGCTGAAGTGTCTACTGCATCCTACTTTGCTGCATGATCTTAGCCTGCAGGCCTCTTTGGGCCAATTTTCTCCTCCAAAGGACCACGAGTTTGAACATAATGCTAGCAGATGTGCCCAGTTCAGAGGGGTGCGCAGGGGGCTGGATGTCTGCTCCTGCTTCTGCACTTCCTGCCCGGCCCTGTGAATTACCCAGCTTGATTCCCAGCTGCTGTAGCATTCKTGGTTCAGTTCACTCATCCCTACAGCAACAGGTGGCTGAGAACCTTGTACAAGGAGCCAGTGGCCTAGGGACGACTCAGATGGAATTCAAGGACCAGGAAAGACCTTGCCCTTGTCAGCTAGCAGGAGAAAGACACATTGCAAGTAAACATTTGGTCATAACACATGGGTTCTGTGACAGAGAACTCAGGCTAGCATGCCTTGAGTCCCAGGGAGCCGCTGAGCTAGACCCTCTGCCTCAGCCTCACTGAGTCCCGAACAGCTTTGATTTCCATTAACGTTTCCATTCTGCAGATAAGGAAACTGAGGCACAGAGAGGTTAAGTAACTTGCCACAGTGAGCGCGTGAGCCTAACCCCGAAGCCACTGTGTTCTATGTGGCTGAGGCTCGGGCGGCTGCTGAGAAGACCAGCAGATGCTGCACACCACAGCTGTGCTGATGAAGTGGGCGTCGTGGAAACACCTGGCACACAGTAGGTGTGGGTCAGTCGTGGTCAAGGAGGTCCTTGTTCTAGATCCTTTCAGCTTCTGCCTCCTTGAGGAGTAAAGCGATAGGATTGGAGATGAGGTGATGTTGTTTCCCCCTCCCACCTGCTCCTGGTCCTTGTGAAAAGGAGACGTGTCTTGCCTGGGCACACAGGCTCTTTGCCAGTGAGCTGACCTCTGGGAGTGTCGMGTTGCACAGGGACAAGGGCTAAATCGGAAACAGTGCAAGGTGCTGCAGGGAGTTGGGGGCTGTCTGCACCGCCCSTAGGAAACATTAAGGGAGTCTGGCTTCTTGTGTGGAGACAGAAAGGTCTAAGGAAGGGAGACTGCCAGGCCTGGCCCTGTGCAAGGTTGTGGGCCATTGGTTCTTTATCCTCACTGGGGCCTAGCAGGAGGGGACCTATCAGCAGCCCACTTCACAGTGAGGTGATGGAGGCTCTGCAGGGTTGATACTTACTAGTCCAGGCTCACACAATAAACCAACATGGGGAYGGGACCCCAGAGCCAGAGCTTGAACCACCTGCTACCTGGTAAGGTGGTTGTTAGCATCCTGTTTGGTAGCTGGGTCAGCTGAGGCTCACAGTCTAACAAAGATGTGTGGGTTGGCACACCGGGTCAGTTGAGGGTGATGGTGGCCAGGCCAGCATGGTAGCCACAGAGGAGGCTCTGGCTCAAGGGCAGAGCCACGGGCTCTTATGGCTTAAATGTGACCTATGCAACGGCCTCCTTTCTAATGGGACTCCCTCCCTCCCCTGTCCTTCCTGCAGTCTTTTTCTAAAACACACATCCTACAGTATGGCTGTCTTGATGAAAACCCCGTGCCCCCTGTTGCCTCCAAGATAATGCCAGGCTCCTCGCACAGTGCGTTAGGTGGTGCACCTTCCCCTGCACCTGCCTAGCACAAAGGTGGCCGTGCACCCACAGAGATGGCCCGGGAGGCCGCATGCCCTCTCCTGCCACCTGCATGCGTGTTCTCTTCTGTTCCGAGTCCCCCSGTCCAGAAGTTTACCGTGCATTACTCTCCTTTTCTTTTGTTCCTTTATTTATCTCTGGAATCTTTAACTTTGAGTCAAGTTACCCCTGCATGCCGTGTGAAGTGCTCCATTGAGAGCAGCACTCCCGCCATCCCCAYGTCTCAGAAGCCAGGGTCCTCAACTCTCAGCTGCTGCTTTTGGTAACTTATTCCCATTTCTAAATAACATGGCTGTGTTGCTGCTGCTTTCTGGCCTTAGCAGCACTCGCTGAGTTCCCTGGTGGGAAGGAGGAGGATTTAGCTCTCTTCCCCCTTCCGTCAGTACATTCACCCCCAATCCCACCAGTCCTCTTATTGCATGGCTAGAGAGGAGCTGGGGTTAAATCGTATTGTTTCCCTTACGATGATGTTGTAAGCATGACTCACTCTAAGTCAGGGATCAGTTATGGTCATAAATACTTTCCTTTCTTGCAGAACATTTTGTTTTTCCTGAAATTAACGTGTCAGATTTTCTGTTAGATTCCACGTGCTTATCTCTCCTTTGTTTGATGTACATTTCTTTTCAAGACATTGGAATACATAAGGCATTTGATCAGTTTTATCTTCTTGAGAAAAACATTCTGACATGCTCCAGTTTGAAATGGCTGCTCTCTAACATGCAGAGCAGAGCAGCAGCATCAGCATTACCTGCAGCGTGACAGGAGGGCAAACTCTGGGTCCCATCCTAGACTCACAGTAYGAAAACCTCTAGGGTGGGTCCCAGCAAGCCATGCTTAATAATCCCTCTCAGTAAATTTTCTTAGTGTTTGAGAAACAGCTGCTCTGGGCTTCCTCTGTCACCATGGAGACTTCACAGGGCCACCCTAACAGGCCTCCTTACCTCTCTCCTGGTTGGATCCAGGTGCAGGATCTGGAGCACTTGTCTTTCTCTGACTGATTTCCTTGTGTGGGTGGAGGGCATCCTGAAGTAGCTTTCTGAGAATGGGATGGATTAAACTATTTTGAGAACTCCTCTGACTGAAAATGTCTGCATTCTTCCATCTTTATCCCCAATTTGGTTAGGTCACTTAGGCATAGAATTCCAGGTTGAAAATAGTATTCCTTCAGAATTTTGAAGGCGTCTTTCCATTTCCTTCTCCTTCCTTTGTTGGCGTTGAGAAGTCTGATTCTGTTCTGATTTTTGATACTGTTCATGAAGCCTCTTTTTCTTTTGCTCCTTGGTGGCATCTTGAAGAATTTTTCCCTTGCCCCAGTGTTATGGTTYAGATCTGGGGTGTCCCCCWAGAGCTCACGTGTGAGACAAGGCAAGAAAGTTCAGAGTGACAGGAGGGGATCTGAAAGCCTGACCTAACCCCTGTGCCAGTCCCCTGATGAGGACTGGCAGGGTGGTGACGTAGCCAGGCGGGGTGTGGTGACGTAGCCAGGCAGGGTGTGGCTGGAGAAGGGGCTCCGTTGGGAGTGTGCCTTTGGGGTTCTATTTTGTCATRGTGAGGGACCTCTGTCTCTCCTTCCTGGTGGCCATGGGTTTCCTGAGCCACTTTGCTCCACGAGTCCCTTCTGCYGTGACGTTCTGCCTCACCTCAGGCCCCAAAGAATGGAGTCAGTGTATGAGCTGAGCCCCTGAAGCCGTGACCCCAAATGAGCTCTTCCTCTCCTGTTCTCGCTGGTCCTTTGACCCCAACAGTGAAAAAGCTGACTGAACCCCAGGGAATCACACTGTGTCAGGACGGGCCTTGGTGGCATCTGTGCCGTCTGTTGTAYGGGCCTTTGGGTGGCTCTCTCAATCCAGGAGCTCCTTTTCCTTATTTGTTTGAAGATTCTTTCCTTTCATATGTTCGCTTTCTTCTTCCAAGAACTCCATCATGCTTAGCCTAMATTGACCTCTGATTATTGATCCCCCCCCATATCCCATCTCTGGGTGTGTGTGTGTGTGGGTGTGTGGGTGTGTGTGTACTTTCTGGGAGAGTTTTCTCAATTTCATGCTCACAYTGATCTCCCTAGTTTAATAATCAAGCACTCTGTTTTGTTCTAGAGCCCTGTGTTTACAGCGGTGCTTTCTTACCTTGTGAATGAGCTACCTCCTCTCATCAGAGGACAGTGCACTGTTTTTGTGCAGCCTCTGACTCCTGCTTGCTTTCCACATTAGTGTCTGTCCACAAATGGCTGGAGGTCCTTGTCCTCGCTGGTGGCCCTTGTCCTCAGAGTCATTTTAAACAGGGAACTAAAGAACTGATGCTCCTGGGGTGGGGGAGTTTCTCCTGGGGTGTTCCCTGTGGTCCAGTCTGGCTGAGTCCTTCCACTCAGAGCTCTTGCACTGGTCGGCTACAGCTGCTGAGCCAACAGTCCTGAAGTCTGTGGCCGTATCATCTGCCCTCTCTCTACCCCAGGACACCCAGACTTCTCCAGGTGCAGGGACCTCCCCATACAAGCTGCACCTGTGCCTGGCACAGGGCCTTTGCACGGCTCTTCCTCTCCCTAGAATGCCTTTCTCTGAGGTATCTCAGAGCCTCACTTTCAAGTTTCTTCTCAAAGCCACCTTGTCTCTCCCCATCTGCCCAGGCTCCACAGCTTTCTCTGTAGCCCTCCTCACCACGCTCCATATTTATTTGTGGATCTGTTTATCCCTTTCTCCTTTCTGTAAAGGYGGCTCTGTGGAGGGTTTGCATTTGTTGTTTGTGACTCTGTTCCCAGGACCTAGAATAAATCCCAGACTAACACAACGCAGTGCAAAGCGTGAGGTTTCTGCAGTGGAGAGATGACGTTCACACGCAGCTAGTGGTCTCGGGGGTTGGGAAGTGTCTCTGCTGTGTCCRAATTTAAATGCAGTCTGTTCCCCTTGCTCACGGTGGTTAGGCTACGTTCATGGAGATCGTGAATTGGTGCCTACTGAGCCTTGGTCCCCGGGGGAGGTGCGGTGAGGACCTGGGAGCCTCTGCTCGCGTTTCCAGTGGCCAGTCATCAGGGTGCTGTTCTGCATGTTTCTGATTAGAGATCCCACACTTAATACCTACTGTCACCTGGACCTCAGCCAGTGGCCCTTGTTTTCCTTCTGCCTCCGCTGGGCACATCACAGCCCCTGCCCGCCAGGGGGCACAASAGGGCCCTTCAGCGCCACAGCTGGGGCCATTGCCAACAGCAAAAGTGACAATGAAACACAAGATGGGAGTTTWAAAAATGCATTAAGAGGGCTGTGGAAAGGACACTTGTCTGCAGAGTGGGTGGGGAAGGGGGCCCTGCCTCCCTCACCTGCACCGAGGTCCGTGGGGCAGCCCCTTCCTTCCCACTAGCCTGGGTGCACGTGCGTGCGGCGGAGAACGGAGGACACCCACAGGCATGGCTTGGCTTGACTTAGCAGCTGGGGAGTTTGCAGATACAGGATCCACAAGATCTCAGTTCACAGCAGGAATCGCTCTGTAATCTAAGGTGGCCCCAGGGCTTTTCTTTACCATCATCCAGTGGCATTAATGAAAAAGAAAAAAAGAACCAGGGAGGTTAATATTGAGGAGCACCTCCCCGCAGAGCCTCGACCTCAAGGCTGTGGTCAGCAGGGAGCACCAAGCTGCAAGAAGCAGGGATGAGCTTTGCCCCAGGCCTGTCCTTGGGGTCCTGAGGGGCACGGAGGTGGGACTGTCCGGTGGGAACCCCTGGGCTGAAGTCCRGGCAGAGCCCGACTGACTTCGACATCCTGTGTCCATCCACCCCTCGGGGTTTTAGAAAGACGACACTCAACGTCTGCTCAAGAACCTGGAGCCTGGTGCACAGAGCCCCTCGGAGACCGGCTCCCCATCCAGGAGGAGGAAGAGAGACGTGCAGCCRTCGAGGGACGCAGAGGCCCCAGATGTGAGTGCTGCCTGTGTGTCTGCCCGGGTGCCGAGGCACTGCTGCCCATCCGGCAGGGATGGCGTGTTTCCCCACGGGCTTCTCCTTTGAGGGGTCACTTACGTATAAAATGCAGAGTTCAAGTTTAAAGTTTGACACGTTTAACAAACGTCTGCACCTGGGAACCAGTGCCCACCATGGAGGTGATTCTGTCACCCCGGAAGCCCCCAGTGCCCCTTCTGGGCCAGCCTCTCGCACACGTGCTCCCAGAGGGGATGCCAGCTGGCTGTCCGTCGCCAGGCTGCCCCTGCGTTCGGGGACTTTGTGGGGGGGCGTCCTGTGCTCTCTGTGCTGTGTTCCCACCAGAGCACTCTCGAGACTTCCCTGTCCCATCGTCACCACTCAGGAGTCCTGGGCCCAGAAGTGCCCTGGTCACCGTCCACCGGCTGCTGGGTGTCTGGTTGGTGGCCTGGCTTGCTCCTGTGTGGYGGGCACTAGGCTCCGCCCTGTCTGTGGCTGGTTTATTTTCCTTTTTCCTGGTTCCTTCTAAGTGGACATCAGTGTAGGGAGCATGGGCCGCGGCAGAGGTGTCAAAGGGGATTCTCCTGCTCCTTCCTGTCACCCTCTYTGAGCCTGCCCCAACCAAGAGCATCGCTGGTGAGCCAGGGGACAGGCTGTGACATTTCCAGTCTGTTCCTGTGCCCAGGGAAGGACGGCGGGCTTCATCTCCTGGGGGAGGGGAAGACTGAACTGACATTGGTCAGCGCCTGTGGGTGCCAGCAGTTGTCCGTGTCCTCTCTGGGTGACGTACGTGCTCCTGTGAATGACCTCACCCAATTCCTATTTACATCCCCATTTTCCAAATGAGGGATCTGAGTCCTGCAGCCGGGGAGTGGCCCGGCTTGGATTTGCGCCTGGGTCTCTCTGGCCCCTGCCCGGCAAGTGCTGCCATCACCACATCCCTCTGTCAGCTCAGTGGCCCAGTGACCACAGGAGAGTGGCCRGGTGTTTTCAAACAAACCCACCGAAGCCTTGAAACCAACAGGGCAGCTTCTGGTTACACTGAAGAATCGGTTTCCGGAAGGCGCCCAACCCCTGCACTTCCCAAGGGTTCCCGCAACCTGGCTCCTCTTGCCTGCTGGCAGGACCCTGAGGAAGGTGGGCTGCTGTCTCCAGGGCTGACCCAGGCAGGTGGAGGAGACGGAGACCGCCTTTGTGACTCCAGGGCAGAGCCTGCCCTACGGGCGCACGCTGTGCGTCTCTGGTCCGTCTCCTGCACCTGAATCTGCGCAGCCTCTCTCCACCTGCACCTCTGGGCTCTGTGTGCTGGGGTGTCCAGGTGACAGCTGAGTCTGGGGGCATGTGTGCCTCCCTATGTCTGCCTCTCCCATCTCCTCTCCTCCCTCTCTCCACTGCCTGCTCACCCCCTCATACTATGAAGATCATATCACCAAAAGGCAAGCCTATGTGCACACAAAACTTGTACACAACTGTTCACACCAACATTATCCACGACATCTGAAATGTGAAACAACACAGAGGGCCACTGGCTGACAAATGGATACCTGAAATGCAGTCTGTCCAGGCAGTGGAATGTTATTTGGCCATTGAAAAGGAACCAAGCCCTGATGTGTGCTGTAGTGTAAACAAACCTTCAAGCTATCGTGCTAAGTGAAAGTCACAAAAGGCCACCTAGTACAGGACTGCATTGGTAGGAAATAGGCAGGACTGAGAAGGTTATAGAGACAGTGGATGGTGGCTGCCAGGGGCTGGGGAGGTGAAGGCAGGGTGGAGGCGACGGCCCAGGGCCCTGGTTTCTCCCCCTTGTGATGARGATTTCTGCGGCAGCTGTGGTGATGCTCTGTGTGTCTGTGCAGACATGGAGCTATTACATCCCTCACCAGGGCGAGTTGTGGTGTGTGGACTACGCCAAAGCTGTATACAGACAACAGCCCTGCTCACACAGGGGCAGCTTTGGACCTGGGGGTGGCAGCAGCTTTGGGACCTAGATCCTGCCCAGTGCTGGCCCTGCCACGCATTTGCTGTGTGATGTAGGGCAAGAAGCATAAGCCCTCAGAGCCTGGGGCTTCTCACTTTCACCGTGGCAATCAAGAAGGCTCCTCCCTGGGGAGGCTGAGGGTGCGGGTGGGGGCTCCGCCCCAGGATAGGTGTTCCCTGGGTGTTTGTAGGGCCCAGTTTCCTGCCCGTGCAGGGTCGGCTCATTTTCCTGACTGTTGAGCTAGTCCTGGCAGATGCCCATGACCAAGCTAATAATTGCCCAGGGTTAAGTTAAAGATCTGCCTGTTCCAGTGACTGCTTGCTGGGCTCCCTGGCCTTCGGTGGACTCCACATGTGTGGACAGGGCTGTCAGGGCACGACAAGCAGAGTCATGGCTGTTGTCCCCTACTGCACAGAGAAGGAGCTGTGCTGTGCCCCTCCGCAGGGGAACTCTGTTTAATGAGTAGCTCCTGTCAATCATTAAAGCCAGGCAAAATTCCAGAGAGCTCTGAGTCCGCCCTAGGTCTCCATCCTGTCCCTTGCTCCAGAGGGAGGGCGGGGACAGAGTCTTTGTGATGCGCTCATGCACTCGCTGGGAACACCTTTATGGTAGTGAAATGGCTTTTTCTACAATTATGCTTTAATTTTCTGAATAATTGCATTGCTTCAGCTGAAGAAGTTTTACTTTGTAAATCTGCATTACAACCAATTTTCTGAATAATTGCATTGACTCGGCTGGGCAGGTGGCCAGAATCCAGAGGACTCCCAGACTTAATAAGGAGAGCTTTAGAAGCTCAAGTTGGTGGGTCCCCTTTGGGTGGCTGGAGCCAGGCTGCCTCCTCCTTGGTTCCACACGCCAAGGGCTCCTGGGTCCTTCACTTCCTGGCCAAGGCTGTGACTGTCCCCCCGCCCTGTCCTCCAGGGCACTACCTGCTGCCAGACAGCTACACCGTGGAGCCTCACCTGCAACCAGGACTGTGTTCGCCAGGCTCCCCGTCCCTGGGGCTCTTTCCACAGGTCTTGGGGTCCTGCCCCGGCACCCTGTTCTTGCCTTGTTTTGCACACTAAGTACAGTTCCCTGTGACTGTGCTCGCTCTCATTCTCCACGCGTTCTTCTCTTTCCTCCCACCTCTGTTTGAGGGGAGGTCAGAAGGCCCAGGGCTTTTCTGCCTCTGCATCTTTCCCTTGAGCAAATGTGTCCCCCTGGAGAACCAGCCAGGGCCAGCGTCCTGAGCACGTGACCTGTGCAGTCATGCAGGCCCTGCTGGGAGGGGTCCTGGCCTTGGCTGCTGGGCTGTGCTGTCCCTCCCTCTGACAGCTTTCACAAGAACCCTCTGTCTGTTCTGCACTAGGCCCCACCGTGGTGAGAGCAGGCTGGCTTCTGTCTGTTAGTCTCACCACTGTTCTTGGCTTTTGCACCATTTCATCAAAAATGCTTCAGCAAGGAGTGGGTCAGGTGCTGGGGTGGACAGCAGCCCTGCTCTGGCCCTCAGGTCAGAGGGAGGCCAGAAAGGTTTTCAGATGAGCAGCAATAGGAAGTGCATGTTTAAAAATCATTCGCTTCCCACATGGAGACTGACCTGGGAGGTGCTCACCCCTGAGCCTTAGTTTGCCCCTCTGTGAAGTGGGTGTGACCCTGGAGTCCCGGCCTCCCAAGCTGGCTGCTGTCTGGCGACTGCATGAGCAGATGGGCACACCGTGGCTGGCATGCAGTTGGCACGCATGGCGGGGAGCCAGGAGGGAAACCGTTGCAGCCCTTCAGGGAAACGGCTGGCTAAAGGTGGGTCTGTGGACTCCCAAGGGCTTGGGGAGGGAGATTAGTGGGACTGTGGCTGGTCAGACCTGGGGAGTTGGGGTGCAGGGAGATGGGGTGCCTCGTGTCTGGGCATGGCAAGGCCACGCCTGGGGCCTTCTCTACTGAATTCCCACTTCCCTTTTGATTCCCTGGTTCTTGCTCTTGTTCTTCCCTCTTGCTATGTTGAAGGAACTGGCATGGTGTCAACTAATTGCACTTAGTGTGCAAGGATGCCTGTCAACTCAAGAGGACGAACCTGGAGCCGGGAGATTCGCATTCCCATCCTGGCTCTGGGGTTCATAAGCTGTGTGGCCTTGACCTTGGGCACAYGGCCTAACCTTTCTACATCCCGTCCTCTCCATCTGGGAAGTGGAGACGGTGACTCCTGTCGAGTCCCAGGAAGCTTCGTGCACCACCCGGTTCTTGACCTCTGGGCCTATGTTTGTGAGTTGTGAGGTGCAGACAGGAGGCCAGAATCAGGGCCTCCACACATGGCTGCTCCCGGTGAAAGTGGAGACCATGGGCCACAGAGCAGCTCGCTCAGGAGCATCCCGGCCCCTCCATCATGAGCAGGTGGCCAGTCCCTCTGTGAGCCCCATGGCAGGTGTCCAGTTGGGTGAGTGGAGCAGTTGGAAGGAAGCTGGTCGTCTGCGCTGGGTGCTTCCTCCAGGATGCGCAGGAAGCAACAAAGCGGAGGAAGAGGGTCCCCCAAAGCACCTCGTTCCGGGGCAGGTCGCCCGGGGCCTGTGAGCAGTCCCCTGCGCCTGCCTTCACTCACTCACCCGGTGTCCCCAGCACGTTTCCCGAGCCAGTCTTCACTGCCTGGGCCGCGCACAGGAGGGCACGCCTACCGGCGCACAGGAGGGCACGCCTACCGGCGGACAGGAGCAGAGGACGTTGGGATACTTCCCACAGAAGTCCTTCCTGCCACAGGGGATGGATGGCTTGTCACCACTGCACCGGGGGCCCAGGGCTGAGGTTCTCCCCTGGTCCAGAGACTCACCTGGGAGCTTGTTCATGTGGCCCTTGTGGGTGGGTCTCCTGGACCTGCTTACTGCCTGGGAAGACGGGGCTCAGACAGGTTGCTTAAGGGTCCAATCCAAGTCTTGTGTGAACATGTGTCATGGGTTTATACTACTGACCGTGCAAATATTATTTTTTTTTCATTTTTAAAGAAGTTTAATTGGCTCATAATGATTATACCCACTCATGGGGTACAATATAATTCAATATGTGTAAAGATGTAAGGTTCAAATCAAGGTCGTCAGCATTTCCCTCTCCTCAGACACGTATCATCCTATGGTAAGAAACTTCAGCTCTTCTCGCTGTGTTCAGATGGGTCACCAGCCATCGCAGGCTGTGCTCCTTCTCTGCTGCACAACACGGGGCTGAGTCCTCCTGTGCAAAGTCATTCCTTGTTTTTGTTGTTTTCACTTACAGATTGTTCAAAATTATTTAGAAGACACTTTTAATTAGTCTCAGGTTATTCAAATCCTTACTGCTTTCTAAGCCAAAGAGTCAGAATTAAGTGATCATATATTTCTGTCCATATACCCTCCACCCATCCATCCACCTGCCCATCCGTCCACCCACCCATCCGTCCACCCACCCTCCATTCATCTTTCTCTCTACTTATTCATGCACACACATGTATCTGTGCCTCCACCACCCATCTACCATCTGTCTGTCTGTCCTTCTATCCATGCACCACCCACCCATCTATCTATCCATTCTACCAAGAGAGACTTGCCAGGATCTGCAGTGCCCATCACAGTCCCTCTGAGACCACTCCCTCACTTGGACTCGTGGGGGTCTGTCTTGTTCTGCAGAAAGCCTCCCAGACCACTTGTATGAGCTTTTCTTTGCTGTGACCAAACTCCCTGACAAGAACACCTGAGAGAGGTGCATTTTGCCTCACAGTCCAGAGGTTCAGCCCATGGCCAGTGGCTCCGCGGCAGGAACGTCCTGCCAGAGAGGCATGCCTGGGGAGAGCTGCTTCCTCACGGCAGCAGGAAGCAGAGAGAGGCAGGAAGGGCCAGGGACCAATATGGTCCAGAGACCTGCTTTCTCCGGCCACAGCCACCTGCCTAGGTCCTCACCACCTCCCAGTGGCCTGGTCAGATGATTAATCCACCCATGGGCTAGTCCACTCATGGTCCAGTCACTCTCCTCTGAAGGTAACTACGCTGCCTCACTCGTGAGCTCTGGGGCTCGTGCCAGGTCTGAACCATGACGCTGTTCCTTCTCTTTCCCAGGAGTATGAGCCGTCCTTCAACAGCAACGTCACAGCATTCGCCCTGAAGGCCAAAGTCATCTACCCCATCAATCAGAAGTTCCGGGTGAGAGCTCTGAGCCCCGTCTTATAAGTGCCGTGATCTTGGTGACAACTAGGGCTTGGCGTGGGGTGGGGGATCCAACGTGCAGCTGAGTCCCAGTCAGGGTGTTAGGCCAGCTCTTCCCCCACAGAGACCTTGAGGTTGAAAGCAAAACTTGACGGTATTCCATTTATGACAGGATTGTCAGGGCTGGGGCAGGCCGTGCGTCAGGGAGGGAATGACCACAGCGCCTGTGTCCCCAGGGACACAAGTGGCAGCACAGTGGGGCAGCATCCCCCCGCCATCCCACACTGACACAGCCTGACGTCGACGCGGTCACCCCTCTCCTCCTCCCTCACAGAGCCTGGACTCAGGCCAGTGTGTCCTTCCTGTGAGCGTCTGAGGGGCTGGCATGGGCTGTTTGTCACAAGCTGGACATCTCAGCTTTGCAGTGTTGTCTCAATTCACCCATAAAGGGACCAAGTCCCAGGGAGGCTGCTGCCCTGTCCGTGGCCCCCCGGCAGGACCAGAGTCCGCCACACCTGCCGACCTCGCCCCCGTGACTGGCGCTCCCTGCTGGGGGGGTGGAGTTTGCAGCGAGTACCTCTGCCACGGTCCAGGAGCCCGCGCCCCCAGGGGGCTCTGGAAGAGTTTCCTGGTCAAGTGTGTGTGGGTGTTAGGGGGACACGCTCCAGGGCACATTCCCACTCCTGTCTTGGCCATTTACTACTGCTGGCCTTTCCCGTGCCGCGGTTTCCTCATCTGTGACGTGGGGATGATGGGTTCTAATGCCTCACCTGGTTGTTTTCAGGACTGTGGCATCAGCCACTCGGCACACGGCAGGATTTTAGAGTATTACATGCTTTTTTATTCCTGGTGCTGGGGATTGAACCCCGGGCCTTGCGCACACTGGGCAAGTGCTCTGCCCTGAGCCACATCCCCAGCCCACTAAATGATGTGCTTTTGGAGAGAGCCAGAGTGCCCTCGAGGCTCTGAGACTTCCCACACCATGGAAGTGACTCCTTGTTCAGTGTAGCATTTCCCAAACTGATTGTCCACAGAACCCTTGGGATGAACAGTAACAGGGTAGAGTTCATGAACTGTTCCCTGGAACACATTTTGAGAACCACATCTTTCTTGCACTCTCTGGTGGGTGGACGAAGGGCATTTATACAACAGCAACACCCACTGCTGAGTCTGTCCAGGTGGGACTGACCTGTGGTAAAACAGGCTGTGAAGATATGACCAGGAAGCTTTGGAACCCAGGACAGGACCCGGAGTCAGTTCATTCCAGCAAACAATGAGCAAGGGTGCTCAGGATGGGTGCAGAGCCTGGGGTGGCCCAGAAGCAGGAAACAAGGAGAGGTTGGCCGCCAGAGCCAGCTGGCCTTACAGCTTGGGTAGTACAGTAGGGGACAGGGCTGCGCAGAGGTGTGGACATTCACTGAACTCTGCAGCTGCGCTGGGCACCAGGCTGTGGCCTGGGCAGTACTGGTCATGGGTGGACTGCCTGGAGTTAGAGCTTGGGCCTGTCAGAGGGCAGTGGGGGCCACCTTGAGGGCCTGGGCCTGGAACAGCTCCTGCCTCAGTGGGCTTCGTGGCCAGTACAGCTAGGGATCTGAGGCAGTGGAGGAGGGGAGGAGGGCAGGGAGGCCAAGTTGGCTATTGGGTGTGGGGTACAAGTGGTATTTAAGGACAGAGCCAGGTTACAGCTGAGATGGGGCCCAGCACAGAGGGGACAAGTCCAGGGACAGAGAACGTGAGTGTGAGCCAGGTCCCGGGCAAACGCTCTGTCGGGTCACCGGCACCCTGCAGCCTGCCCAGCCAGGCCTTCCGGCGAGCTGCCCCAGTCCATCAGGGAGAAGTTGCTAGACACACGGGGGATGCACCACGGATGCTGACAGTGTCCCTGCCCTTCTGCCACCCAGCCCCTGGCTGATGGCTCCTCCAACCCGTCCCTRCACGAGCACCTGAAGCAGGCAGTCCTGCCGCACCAGCCCACCGAGGCCTCCCCGGCCAGCAGCCTGGGCAGCCTGAGCCAGGCCGAGAAGGACGACGGCAGCTCCTCATCCAGCCTCCACTCGGCCAGCGACGACGGGTTCCTCGGCCGCAGCTTCCTGCGGGTGAGCAGCTTCCTAGAGGTGCTGGCCTGCGAGAGGTGAGGACAGAGAACGAGGCCGGGGACTCCAATCTCAGGCCACCAGTGGTCACACCATTGTCAGAGGAGGAGGGAACAGAGAGGTTAAGGGACTCGGCCACAGATGCACAGAGACCCAGCAGGAGAGCTGGGACCCCAGGTGGTCTGTCACCTTGTGATGTTGGCCAGCATTAGGGTTGGAGTCAGGCCTGAGCCCTGGGGACAGATGACAGGGGGCCTCACTCAGTCCCTGTTGTGCTCCGTGCATTGCACGGTGGCAGCTAGCACTGATCAAGTGCCCCCGAGTACTGGGCAGAGAGTGCTCAGCAGCCAGGTCCCTGCTGTTCCCGTCGGCCATTAGCAGCATCCAGCAGCTCATCGAGCGCCTCCTCATGACCCCGGAGTGTTGGGACCTCAGCCCAGGAGTGAGGGCAGGAGGCAGGTGCACGCGGCCCTCTCGGAGCAGCAGGGCCGTGTTCTGGTCCTCACCGCTCTGGTCAGATGTGCTGACGTCTGTCCACCTTCTCTTTTGACTTCTCAGTGTGGACATCGACCTGTGTGTCTACAGTCTTCACCTAAAAGACCTGCGGAGCCTGGACACGGCGTTGAGGCAGGAGAAGCACATGGTATGTGGAGATGTCCAGGGAGCGTGGACACCTTGAGGAACAGACTCAGGACAAGCGGAGCTGCCCTGGGGAAGGGCCGGGGGTCAGCCTCCGAGCCTGGAAAGCAGCCGTGCCTGGCGGTGGCTGGGCCTCCCTTAACCAGGGAGCATCTCCTGGTAGAGGCAGAGAAGGGGTGTTCCAAGTGTCTGTGGGGTGACACTAGTGCTGAGAGTAACCATGAACACTAGTTTCACTGAACACCTACTATGTGCTAGGCCCGGGGTGTATTAAACAGGTGATTACACTTAAGCATCACTATAAACCATAGAGGTGGGGCCATTAGCTTCCCCATTTCACAGGAAACTGAGGCACAGAAAGATGGACTCACTCAGTCATAAAGCTTCAGATGTGGAGCAGAGACAGGAAGTTCAGTGTCTCACAGGTGGTGCCATCTGGGCCATGAGTGAGATAATGGAGCGAGCCCACTGGGACAGCAGGTCTGGCTCTGCAGAGGTGCCAGGCTCTGGCTGAATCTTGCCTGGGGTTGGGCTACTGGGAGCCAGAGATGATGTCCCCTCAGCCTGGCACTGAGACCACAGGGGAYAGAAGGAGCAGTGGTTCTTCCCTGAGGCATATTCTCTGGCTGTTGAATGAGTCATAGAGAGGCAGGGGAGAGAAAGCGTCTGGGAAAGAGAGAGTGGAAGAGCAACAGAGCAGTGGACTCAGACACGCAGATGCACCCTCAGGCCGCTTGTCTGTACGCTGGAGACGGCGAGGGTGCCCACCCAGATGCACCTGGAGGAAGCCTGGCTCTGTGCGAGCAGGCCTGGCCTCATAAGCAATGCCAGTGTCTGAAGCCGTAAATGACACCAGAAATCGGGACATAGAGGTTTCCCTGCACCCCGCTGCCCTGCCCCACATAGGTCCCTGGGCGCAGAGGCACCTGTGGCTGCAGCCTGCTTTCCCTGGGCCACACCCGCCCACCTTGGGGGCTCTGTGCTCCTGGGGTGAGGGGGGGGGCTCCTATTCTCAGAGTGCCTCCAGCCAGCCAGCAAAGTGGTCCTGGCCAGCCCCGCCCCCCAGGGCAGCCTGCGGGCATGTGGGGCAGTTACTCACCACCAGGGAGGTGTGCCCCCTGCCCCCTGCAGGATGCAGTGGCAGACACCAGCGGCAGCCCCTGCCTTTGTGGAGCCCACTTTCTGGTGCAGTGGGGACAGCAGGAAACACATCCCACAAAGCACAGTGGCAGTCAGCACAGCACGGAGATGACAGGGTGCTGCCCAGGTGTGCAAGGGCCACCTGAGCAAGTGAGGAGTCAGGGGACAGGCAGGTGTCCCCAGGAAGACACACAAACAGAGCCTCCAGGGAGTTCCTGGAGATGTGCCCTGCACCTAGTGGGTGCTACACAGAGGAGTCTCTGACGATTGATTGACAGGCACACGGCCTCACTCAGTGGAACTTGCCCTCCTCCAGGCAGTCCCCGAGGGCCTCCTGGGAAGCCATGCCACATCCTTTCTCCAGCAGAGATGGGCAGGGCTCAGGGTGATTCAGGCCAAGGGCAACTGATGCTGGGGACTCCCTGCTGGCCCTTGCTAGGGGAGAACAGGCCTGGACACGGACAGGGAGGACATGGGGACACGTTGCAGCTGTGACCTCTGAAAGCAGAATGGCAGAGATGAAGGCAGATTCTGGGAGGTGGGGTGCTAGAATAAGGGGTGCGCCAGGACCAGGGGGTTTTCTTCTTGTGCTGGGACAGTCTGTGTCTCGACTGTGGCAGTGCTGCCTGGGTCTTTACCTGTGGTAACGCTGCATAGAACCACCCCCAAACACACACACACACACACACACACACACGTGCGCGCACACACACACGCATGCACACGCACACACATATGGATGTACGTGGCTGGGATGAAAACAGCTCTAGTTTGGTGTTGACATATTGAGCTCAGGGCAGTCTCTTGCTTGACAGTGTGCCCCAGTGATCTGGAATGCCGTCCTGGGCATGAGCTCCTAAGCCTGTTTGTTTTTTGCACCTTCTCTTGAGTAAATGGGAAGTTTTTAAATGGCCATCTTAAATGCTACAGGACCAGGATACGTGTTACTGATTACACTTGGGGTCAAAAAGATGCATTTAAGGCTAACATCTTGGGGAGAGAAGGTCACCTTGCACACCTGTGGCTTTCAGTGTGTGGAAAGCCAGAACACGTATCTTGGTGCTCATTACACGGGGAAATGGAATGAAGGGTGTGGGAGGAGATCCAGGCTCGACCTCAGCAGGAGGATCCCTGTGGCCATGCAACAGGGGGCACCTTGTCCCGCTTCCCAGCCCTAGGATCCTGTGTGTGACATGTCAAGACGTACCCACCTGCCTGTTGCCCTGGCAACCTGGTGGTGACGTGTACTATGTGAGCCTGGCAGCTGAGGGTGTCTGGAACCGAACCCACTCAGAGACTGGCCCAGAGCTGCCTACTCCTCTAGCGACCTCACACTGAGGCTGCAGCTGGAATAGGGTGCTGTCTTCTTCCAGGGGCTCAACATCCACAATTCAACCAGCCACCAATGGAGATTAATCAGAAAAAAAAGAACTATACCTATACCAGACATGTTGCTACTGCTAAACAACACAGTACAACTGTTGGCACAGCATTTGTGCTGTACTGGGCCCTGCAAGTAATCTAGGGAGATTGTGGTAAGCTATGCATTGGTTAGTTGCAAATACAACTTACCAAGGGTTGGCTAGTTGCAAAAGAGATGACATAATTATACAATTATGCCCAGCAAAACCAAAAGATATTTGCTGTTGGGCTTTTATAGAAAAAAAAGTTGCTAACCCTGGGTCAAAAAATGCTTTATAATATGAACATATCCATGTGACCTTTGACAAAGATGCAAAAACAGTTCAATGAAGGAATGAGAAACTTTGGGATACACAGTGCTGGAACAATTGGACAACAACTTCAGCCTCACATTTTATACACACATGAACTCAAGTGAATTCTGCATTTCAATGTAAATGTGTAAGGCTTTCAGACAAAAACAAAAGAGAAAATCYCCAGAGTCTCCAACACCACCAAGAGTTCTTACACCAGACACTAAAAGCTTGACATCATTAAGACTAAAGACTGTGGCTCTGCAAGAGACCTTAAGATGAAAACCCAAACTACAGCGCAAGGGAAATGCTTCCAAGCCACGATCCTACTCCAGGACCATTGCCTAGGACATGAGGAACCCCAAGGGCCTCCTGGGAAATGAGCATCGAATCAGGACTTCACCAAGAAGGAGCCGGAGATGGCAAGGACACAGAAAAAGACACTCGGCACGATGAAGCCATCAGGGAAAAGAAAGTAAAGCCACAGTGAATGTCGCCCCACACCTGTCAGAATGACTGGACACAACACAGCAACAACCCAAATGCTGCAAGACCGTGCGGGGACTGGGCTGCTGGGTGGTGCTCACGGCCACTCTGGAGGGCCCTGTGGTGGGCTCCAGTCACTGCCTCCTGGGCATTCTTCCCTGATGAGCTCACGTTTACCCCCCAACCTGTACATGCATTCAAAACCCCATCTGGAAACCACCCCGAGGTTCACAAGGGGCAGATGGCCAAGCGTGGGGTGGACGGAGCAGCTCTGGGCTGTTGTGGGCTCTTTTGGGTTTAAGGGACATGTCTCCTTTGAGCAGGAGGCTGAAGGGATACTTGTCCACCCTGGTTCTGGGAAACTCTTCTAATTCTCCCCGTGAGGAAGCGGCCTCCCTTTGCCATTTCTATTTCCCTGACACCTGCGGAGTGGGGACCGTGTGGAAAGTGGACACCTGATAAACACTCGATGAATAAATGAAGGTGAACATCATTCAGAAAGAAGGCGGCCATCGTCATGAGGTGTCACCTGAGGTCTTTCCCTGCAGCCAAAAGCACGTGGAGGAGGGGGAGGGAGGGAGGGAGGGAGGAGAGCGGAAGAAGAGATGGACAGGAGGGAGGCCTGTGTCTAACCCTGTCTCCTGTTGTCCTTCCTTTTTGCCAATAGATGTTTATTCAGATTTTTAAAATGTGCCTCCTGGACCTTCTTCCTAAGAAAAAGTCTGATGACGAATTATATCAGAAGATTCTGTCAAAACAAGAACAGGTATGTCTTGAACCTGTGTTTCAGATAGCCTAAAAAATAGTTGATTACTATATAATATYACAATAAATTATTTTTTGCTTTCATGTATAAAAATGATCTATTAAAATATACATGTCTCCACGTCTTCATCATAATATCTAAAAGTATGTGTACAAGCACAAAAAGAACAATGCGTGTTATTAAAATTCAGGAGAACATTCRGAGCAGACAGAAGAAGAATGTTGGTCATATTAACTACTCAGGCACAATCACTGTTAATGTTGTTTTCTTGCATGAGTTTCAATATAAAGAAGTAATTTTTGAATTTATATTGTTTCATCCCACATACAAAACTGTCTTTTCCTACAAAAAAAAGAAGTCATGTGTTTATTGGTTATAGCTGTTTATTCTGCTTTGTATTCTGCTCTTCTTGGTCTTTTKTCCATCTGAGAAAACTTACATTTATTTCATGTGCAGCAAAAAGAGTCAGGGCTTGGAGTCAGGCTGGGTGAAGTTGGAACCCTGGCTCTACCTTTTACCAATTTTCAAAATCCTAGTAATAGTTATGTGTGAGCACTGCCGTCACCTGTCATTACTGCCACAACCCGGCTGGGCACAGAATCACAAGCCACTCAAGCAGGAACAAAGCTTTATTTTTAAAAAGGCCGCCAGTGCCCCGTGTGCGCCCTGCTAGCAAGCTGGTCCACACACRTGTGTGCRTCTAACGGAACCGGGGGCTCCGACCTCCCMCGGAAATTCCCTCCTACTATCCTTCCCCAACCAATGGGAACTCTCCGGGAGTCCYGTAACATGAGTCCCGTAACATGAGTCCCTAGCAGGCCCAGGTGAACAGCAGGAGTCCAATTTCCATATGAATGTAAATCTTAACAGAATCATATCATCTCAATGGCTAGCTGGCAGTCACCTAAACCAAAGGTGCCATGTATCATAATACTTTTGCTGTGGCTCCTAGCACATTACCACCCGATGTCACCGCCATCTTCATCACCATGGTCATCACTCCCAGCGTTTTCTTTTTATTACCACCACCAACACCATCACTGCCACCATCACGACGTCATTGCTGTCACCACCGCCACCATCATGTGYATCAACAGCAGCATCACCATCCTCCTCCTCATTATATCATGGCCACTCTTCACCATCATCACTGGGTGGTCATCAGCACTGTCATGTACTGTCACCACCACCATCAACGTCACCAAGATCACCCTGCCACCTCCACTACTGTCCTCTCTGTCCCAGTGACCAGATGTTACCTCATCTTCATCGCCATCTCCACCCCCCCACGACCACCCCACAACCACTCCACTACCATCCTCTCCATTGTCGTCCTTCTCATTACTACCACTGCCACTGTACTGTGTCATTGTCACAGTCGGCCTGGCTACCCCACCACCATCTTCCTCATCCTCATCACTGCTCCCTGTATCTTCATCGTCATATCGTTGTTGTCATTGTCATCGTCATCCCTGGTCCCACCATGATACTGGGGGCTTGGAGAGACTGTCTCCTCACCACTCTTCTGGATTCTACAGGAAGATTTCCTCCCTTGGTCCTGGGGAGAGGCGTGGCTCATCTTCCTCACTGTCGGCACCTTCACCGCCATCCTCACCCTCGGTACCACCACGAGCACCGTCAGCAGGCAGTGCTGGACCTACATTACGCACCTTTCATGACAGTCCCACGAGTGACTATTATTATCTTTGTTTTATAGCTGAGGAAACTGAGGCTCGGTGTGCTTAAGTGGCTTTCCAGTGGTAAAAACAATGATAATGGCAATATCTGTARTCATGTACGTAGGAATAAAGTAAGACACGCTGCCATGGAAAGAAGGAGAGATCTGGAGTCGCAGATCTCAGCTCAGATCACCCTCTCCTGCTCACTCAGCCGTAACCCTGGGAAGCATCTTAGTTGTCGCAGTGGCTACTGTTTACTGAGGCAGTCTGGCCAGGTGCCTGAAGGTGTGATTCAATTTAACACTCACAGCAGAGTTGAAACCTCTCGAGGAGGACAAGAAGTACTTAGARATGTCAGTCGCCCTTTGGAGAGAAGCGGCATGACATATGAAGGTGGAAGGGGGGACGAGCCTAGCACTGCCACTTCCTGCCCAGGAGTCTGAGGACAGAATGTCTGACTTCCATTTATCATGGTCCTTCCTCATCAGGAGGAAAGCTGTCACTTGCCTCTGTGGAGACGCTGTGAGGATTAGAAGTCACTTGTGGCCTCAGCGGGCCCGAACATAGCGTTCTGGCTCGGTGTGAGTTTTCCTGGTGAAGCTGGGCCTCCTCCCCAGTGTTGGTCACATGGCAATTAACACAGCTCTGCAGAAAAGAGACCCCTCCCTCRCTCCACGGTGGGGTTTGAAGGAACCATGATACAGGGGACTCCTGCGTTTCTTCCCAAGTTCCGGACCCGTTCAGACAGAGCCAGACATTTACAGAGACGTGGCTTTGCTACTGATGGAGGCCAACGTGGCGGATGGGACTTAAGAGACGCCGCAACCTCAGGTGGCTTCTTGCCACTGAACCCCAGAATCAGCCCCGTCACCTACCTCGTCACCAGCAAAGCTGACCACTCCGGCTTCCCCACATGCAGGCAGGGCCTTTGCTGCCGGCTCGCTCCGTGCTGAGACCRCAGCAGAGCAGTGGCCTCCCCGGTGGTCCTTCCCACAGAGACAGCCTGGTCTAGCTAAGCCAGCGGCTCACTTCCCGCTCTCGAGCCCCAAGGAAGACGCAGCAGTGTTGCCCTCAGGGGTCGCTGTAACCCTTCCCCACAGAAACCAGAGGAGTGGGAGAGAAACATTCCCTCCTGCCTCTGACGCCGTGATCTTTTCTAGGACTTTGTAATGACTGAAGACATAGGATTTCATTGCTTTTCAAGGATGGCCGGTTATTTTTGAGGGCAGAATATAGAAGAAAAGGGTCCTTGATTCTTGATTGCCGCAAACTGCCCGGCCCCGGGCCGGCTGAGTCCCGCTCCTGCTGCCGAGCACTGCCTGCGGCACCCCTGCTGAGCGATTCCCTGCTGAGCTGTCAGTGCACGCGGGCTTGCAATCTTGCAACCCGGTTGGGCACAAAAACACAAGCCAGTCAAACTGAGACAAAGTTTTATTTAGAGAGAGGCCGTGTGCGTCCCCTAACAGGTGGGTCCGCCACGTGTGTGTTCTACCTGAGCCGGGGGGGCTTCCACTTCCCCCGGAACACCCTCCTACCATCCTTTTCCAGCCAATGGGAACTCTCCCATTACAAGAGTGACATGAGTAACCTGAGTCCTGAAATGGGCCCAGCTAAACAGCATGAGTCCAATTACCATATGAATGTGAATTGCTGGCTGGCAGTCATTAAATCCAAAGGTGCCTATATCAATATTTTTGCTGTGGCTCCTAACACTTGATGTTCTGTGTTTAATGAGGAAAATAGATTTTTATCATCAAAACTGAAGTAGGGCAGTGCCCTGAACATTTCATTGCCAGTAAGAATAACGTGGTGAAGAATAAAGCACCTATGTTTCTAGAATTGAAGATACGGTCGATTTTGTCTTTATTTGCTTCCTTCCTATTCCTTCAGGATCTGGAGGAATTGGAAAAGGCACTTCAGGTCAAACTGTCGAGCACAGAAACGCCGGGCGCCAGCGACTCTGGGTACGTCACCCTGGCAGACGTGGAGAAGAAGGAGCGGGAGCACAGCGAGCAGCTCCTAGATGACGTGCGTGCGGTGACCCTGCCCTTATGGAAACCCTCCTCTCTGGGACAKTGACACCGGCTGGTTAGAGAGGGTGCTGGGAGCAGGTCTGATCCTTGAATTCCCCGGGGTGCTCTGCCCTGGAGGCAGCGATTCGGTTCTCAGGTTCAGACACAGAGAAGGGGTGATTAGGGAGCACAGATTTACAGAGGAGGGATTTTAATTTATATTTTAGAGTGACCTTTCTACCATCCAAGGCAAGGATTGCTCTGGCCCTCAATGTCACMACTGCCCAGGGGTAGAGCAGAGGCCAGCTGCCGACTTCTCAACCCCCAGGCCGGCCTCGGGAAGCATGTCTCTAATTCCAGAGGGGGTGGCTGCCTGAAATCACTCTTTTTTTCTTTCTCTCTCTTTTTTTTTTTTGTGTGTGTGTGTATGTGTGGGTTTCACCTCCCCCTACCACAAATCATATATCAAACGACATTTTCCTGGCTCTTGATTTTGGCCAGTCACTTTGCTGGGCACTGGGGACTCAAAAATCACTTCCATGTGGCTCTGCACAAGAGGTGTCGGGAGACCCACGGTGAGCAGAGGAGAACTTTGCGTTTCCCAGAGCTGTGACAGATGCACAGGAAAGACCAAGACACCACAGGGCCGGGAGTCCTTTCACTCCAGGGCTTGGGGTGTATCCCTAGAGGAAGGGACTGAGAGGCCAGCTGGGGACAGTGTGGATGCTGGCCAGCGGGCATGCAGAGGGGGAGCCAGAAGGAGCTGAGAGCCGGGAGAGCAGGAACAAGCCACAGAGGTCTGGCTGGGGTTTTTCACACACTAGGGAGGTGGGAGTCACGGAGTGGGAAGCAGGGTAGCTTCGTCCTCCTCCTATGTTCAAAGGACCACAAGGTCTGTGCAGAGGATCATGAAGAGCTGTTGGGCAAACCCAGCAGGACCTCCATGGGGCCAGTGTAGTCAGGACAGAGGTAAGCAAAGGCCTGAGAGCTGCTAGGTGATGCATTGCCGAGTGGCGGGTGGGAGGAAGCAGGAAGCGGGTGTCCAGCTCCRCTCTGCAGAAGTAAGGGTCCCAGAGCAGCCAGCTGGGAGGGAGATGGTAAGCCCCGCTGGGAGGTCTCCTGTGGGAGAGGCCAGCATAGAGGGGCTCTGAAGGCCCRTGTAAGAAGATGAACGTCCCTGGAGCTGTGGAGAGGCGCTCAGCCAGGTACTCAGCCTGGATTCCTGTGTTGGTGACTCCCCAGCACTGAGTAGAACACCTGGAGAGAGTTCATAGTTTTCATAAGATTCTTGGTGGTGGCRCCAACGCTGGGTGCTGCCAGTACATAAGGTGGAAAGAGAAGGACCAGGAGAGGCAGGGGAGGGGTGTGTGGGCCTGGGAAGAACGGCAGCAAGTCTCATCACAGATGTGTAGAGAACCACGAGAGTCTGGGGAGAAGCCAGTGGACAGCCTGGCCCCAAGGGGGTGGAGGGAAGAGGCCGAGCGGAGGGCGTGGGCCGTGCCTGGGCATGTGGGGGTGTGGCGGAGGGTCTGTATTCTCCCCCATGAGCTGGGCAGTGTGTCATCTGAGAGGTGAGGGGTGAGAGCAGCGAGAATGGGAGAGTGTTGGGGAGGTGGAGGTCCCTGCTGGGCGTGCATAGGWGGTGACCAGTGGCAGACGACAGGTTTCCTAGCTGCGGCCAGGCCCCTACGGTGGCAGGCTGCTTCACCAGGTGCCGGCTCTCTCCTGGCAGGGCCAGGCTGACTCAGAGCTCAGGGTCCACAGTGTTTGGCCCCTCCAGCAGGAAGTGACACATAGGCATCTGAGAGGCCCAGCCGAGATGGAGAAAATCCAGGCAGTGGGCTTAAATTCTGGCTCTGACTCTCCCGATCTCCAGGACCAGAGCCCCTTCCTCCTAGTGCGTGTTATCCAGAAACAAGCCTGTGAGGTGGGCAGCCTGGCCCACRCCCGAGTGCCATGCAGCACAGCTGGGATCATCAATCTCAAAGATCAGAGAGGCTCCCAGGTTGCAGATTAAAGCCCCCAAGTTTCTAAGCCATGTGTTGGTTTACACCCTACTCCTGCTAAGATGGAAGGGAGAGAGAATTTACAAGCAATTGATCAGCATCATCTCTGCAAATTGTTCTTACGTACTTTCAGGATAATAACTAATATTTAAATGGCCATTCATGTTTTTATCTCCAACCGTGTTTAATTCCTTTTAAAGACCGGGAAGCTCCCAGGAGCACATTGTTGCGTTTCCTGTGTCCCCAGCTCGTAGTCACAACCAGTGGAAGAGCCCTTAAGTGGGGTGAGCTCATTGCTTTCCTTCCTGATAGGCAGCTCACTGGTGTGCTCTGAAAAGCCATCTCGGAACTGACTGGCACCTGCCACAGGCCGGGGAGGACCCTCGGTAGAGTGTGATCATTCCAGGAGAGACTCGCTGGCATTGCAGAGTGGCCCAGTCTCCGCCTGCGAGGAGGAATGAATTGCAGTTCCCAAACCCGAGCTGTGGAGCCCTCTTAAATAAGTTCTCCCCCCCCCCCATCACTTCTTCTCATGCTCATTTCACAGATGGAAGCTTTCTGGAAACAGATGGAAAACATCCAGCACTTTCTTGTGGACCAATTTAAATGTTCCAGCTCCAAAGTGCGGCAGCTCATGACAACGCTGACAGAGACAATGATTGCAGCCGAAGGGCTCTTGTGCACGTCTCAGGACCTGCAGGCTCTGGTAATGTGGGGCCGGGCACTAGGACATTCAAGTGGGGAATCCTGTGGCCCAAACACTTACCCATCCACCCACTCATCCATCTCCTCACCCATCCACACATACACCCATATATTCACCCATATGTTCACTCACTCATCCATTTATTCCCTCATCTATCCATCCATTTACCTACCCACCCACTCACCTATCCATTCATCCTCCATTAGTAGAGTAATAGAAGCTCAGAGAGGTTAAATTTTGTGTTTAAAATCATACAGGTCCAGGTGGCTGTGCCTGGATTCAAAGGTGGACCCGTAGATTCCTCTAAGCCAGTGGTTTGCATCTCGGCTACACATCAGAGTCACTGGGGAGTTTTAAACCCCAAGATGCTAGTGCCTCCACTCCAGACCTGAATCCGTGGGGGTGAGGCCCAGGCACAGGCATCTTTTAAAGTCCCTCAGTGATACATGGGCAGTCAGCAGGGAAAGCTGACACTGTATCCATACCAGTGGACATCACCCCTGCTGCTCTGCATCACCATCTGGGGGTTTTAAAACCTGATGCCAGGTTGCACCGCAGCCTGATTAAGCCTGACCTCAAGGTGGAGACCACCTGGGACCAAGCATCAGGACTATTGCAATCTCCAGGTAGTTTCAACATGTAGCCAGGTTTAAGAACCAACACTTAGGGCTATGGACACTCTCAAATCTGCACATTAATCAGGCTCCCAGGTGTGCTCTGTGGTTCAGGAACCTTCTGTGTTTTTCTCACCATGTACATGTAAGGTCTTTGGGCCGAGCGGGCGGGTGCTGGGATTGGCCCAGGGCCTCCTGTGTGCTAGGCAGGGGCTCTACCACTGAGCCACCCACCACTGTCTCCTTGTTTCCTTGGCACCAATAAAGAGGKAGCAGATATTCACAGCGAGCAGGAACAGAGCCAACTAAGTAGCCATGTGAYGAACCTAGGATCCTGCCCCAGTGACATGGTGGAGTCCCAAGCTTCCCAGTTGGCCACCCATCAGCAGGTGAAGCCGACATGAGCAGATCATCATAACGATGTATGGAAAGRGTTACAGGCTATGACTGTGCAGAAGAGAGACAACGTCTACTCCATCCCCGGCATCCTGGGTACCAAGAGGAAATATGTAGCCGGGCTCTCAGAACTCGTTCTTGATGAATTCTGGGAGAATCCAAGTTCTCAGRCTGGTGCCTGAGTGGCTCTGCCCAGGCATTTGGACCTGGAATGTGTCACATAGCATCACTCAAAACTGGAAGAGCCCTTAAAGTGGACCCAGAGGTTATCAGGTTCAGTCTCTTGAGACAGACAAGGGGGAGATGGCCATGGATAATTATAGAAATGGTGGTTGTTCRTGGAGGATGAACTTCTCTGGCTTTTATTCCAAATGCCTGGCATGTTTTATTTAATGCTCTTAGTGGTAAGGTTAGGAAGCCGTGCCCAGGTCAGCAGCTCTGAGGGACGAGACAAGCTCCAGCGGCGTGGACTTTGATGGCTCCACTACAGCTACTATTGGGAACAGGGGTGGCCCCCGTGCTCCTGCACACTGGTCTCCATTCTCTTCTCTCCTTGAGTCTAAACCCAGAGGTGGCGTTGACCTGCTGAGCCCTGCTCTGGCGAGTGCGGGTCTCTCCGCATCCTCCCTGCTGYCAGAGGCCAGCCTCAGCACCAGCAGCCCTGCTTCCTGTAGAGAGCCGCTTGTCCTCGCGCGCCCCCTAGGGGTCCTGGCTGCTGAGCGTTCACAGCAGGTGTGGGCCTGAGGGTGGAGGGTTCACAGCAAGTGTGGGCCTGGGAATGAACTGCGGGTTCCCTGCATAACTGGATAGCTGGGGGGTCTCTCTCCTTACCCCTTCCACACCTGGTTAGATCAGAAACCAGCAGGACCATGCAGTGGGGACACCGTGACTTAGGTGTGACCCTACCTTCAAGATCTCAGTCCAGCCAGGGACTGCCCTTCTAGCTCAAAGACCTGAGTGGACGGTGCAGGGAAAGTGAGGAGAGGACTGGTCAGGCGGGGAGCAGGAGGAGGCAGTGAGAGTGYCCCACGACATCACTTGCATGAGCAAAGCCCTGAGGAAGCTGAGGGCGGGCACCCATAGCCAGGAGCAGGGAAGARTGCAGAACAAGTCCCCAGAGGCTTGTGTGCGGTGTCTAGGAGATTGGGAGGTTTGGGGCTCAGGGGGGACAGCCACGTTGGAATCTCTGAAAGAACCCCCTGTTGGTGATGTCCGGGCAGAGCAGAGGCAGAGGTGGGAGGTGGGGAGAAGAGACCAGAAGTGGCCTGCAGTGCCAGGCCAGTGGTGTCCCAGCCTGAGCTGGGTGTGACAGTGGGCAGGAGGGAGGGAAATGCAGATCTGGGCTGAGTGGCGCCGTGGTCCCCAGTGCACCTGACCAGCTCTGTTCTCGCAGACGTCAGGACCCACGTTCACCTCTAGTCAGCCTTTCCCACCGTCCTCTTCAGGAGTCCGGTCCTGCTAATGGATACTGTGGGAGGCCAGGCGGGAGCCTGCTGTGAACTCAGGGAGCGGGGCCACTCTTAAAGCCAGCCTTGCCATTTAGAATCCCCGAAACCCCAGGACTCAGCTCTTCAAGGCTCTAAAACCGAGATGTCTGTAGCTTGAATTCTTGTTTTTTCCAGGGCTGTGGAGGCTGTGGGGCCACGTGCCCTGGGGGCAGGGTGACCATAAGGAACATGGGTTTTCCTCCCCTATGTGTGTATGTTGGTCTCCTGCCCATGAGGGCAGCCCTCTGGAGAGCGCTCGCCAGGTGCCAAGTGCACAGTCACCCATGGGTGCCTCCGTGCCCCCTGCAGAGGCATTTCCACCCCTACCTGGGCATCGGGCGCAGGAGGCTCCCAGAGGGTTCAAGGCCGGTGCTCTGGTGGTAGGATCGGAGCCCTAGCCTCCTCCAAAGCTGGACGGAGACTCATGGTGGAGCACTGAGGCCTTGGCTGTTGCACGGGTTTCCCCTGCAGGACGCCCTGGAGAGAGCCATGGGGCGGGCGCACATGGCAAAAGTGATCGAGTTCCTGAGGATGCAGATCCAGGAGGAGACCAAGTGCCGACTGGCCGCCATCTCCCGCGGCCTGGAGCTGCTGARCGTCCAGGGCAAGCTGTCCGGGCGGCAGAAGGAGGAGCTGCTGACCCAGCAGCACAAGGCCTTCTGGGAGGAGGCAGAGAGCTTCAGCAGGGGTGAGAGGGTGGCCAGGCCCCGGGGGCTAGGGTGACACTGACGTAGAGCTGTGGCCGTGTGGCCCGTCATACCAAGCGCAGGCTGCCTTCCCGTCCTGCCCGGGGCTTGGCTTCCCTCTCTGGAGAGCAGTTAACAAGGCTCCTCCTGAGGTCAGGGTCACCTTCCCATCTAATTCAGGAGGCAAAGGGGAGGGGAGGGCCTCGACCAGAAATGGATGTAGAAGTGCCCAGAAGCCAGCTATGCGTCTGCTGAGACCACCACCCTGCAGGCCTGGCTCGCCAGCCACAGGGGCGGGGGGAGGCCAGCATGGAGAGGGGGCTGCTGTGCTGAGCTGCATGTCCCCACACCTGCACCTGCCCCAGGGCTGCCCTGGGGGTGGGCAGGGCAGGGGTCAAGCTTAGAAGGCATCCAGGCTGTCCTTGAGGTAGCACAGTAATAGGACCCATTTGAAGAAACCCAAGTCTGTCCCCTGCAGACACCTGGGGACCATCTCCGCCAGCAGCCCCAGCTTCCTTGACCCCTTGGCAGAGTGGCCCACTCCAAGTCCTGGCTAGAGAGTCACTTCCTGTCCTGTGGCTCGTTTCAATTCCAGAGTTTGTCCAGAGAGGCAAAGACCTGGTCAAGGYGTCCCTGGCTCGCCAGGCAGAGGGGACAGCAACGCTCATGCTGGCCCAGGAAGAAGAACGGAGGGGCTTCCTGGCCAACTCCCGCCTGAACTCGGACCCCGAGGAGTTTCTCAAGGTGACCTGCCCTGTCCTCACCTGGCCCTTGGGTGTGGGGGGTGAGCCAGGTGCAGGCTCCGTTCTTCCTCGGGGCTTGRGAGGCACAGGACTCATGAGGCGTGGTGTCGACTGCCTCGTGTTGGTCAGCCGAGTGGCCATAGCCTGGACCCTGTGCCCTGCCTGCTCCCCTGTCATGGAGCCACGGAAGTTGCAGGCTCCTCGCTGGCTGCCAAGGACAGGGAGGGGGAATCTGCAGGAAGCGCGGCTGTGGGTACATCTCAAGGCTCCTGGGGTGGTGGCCCTATGTGGTGGCACCAGTGGAGTGTTGTACGGGTCAGAGGGGACAAGCCTGTGCCCATGTGTGTGTGAGGCCCTCACCCAGGACTGGCCCAGGGACAAGGTGTGGGTGCTGGTCAGCCTCCCCAGGTGTGGGTGCTGACTCTGCTGCCAGGTAGCAGGGAGCTTGGACACCTGCCTACCCGCCCCTGGCCTCGTGTCACAGTGTTGTTAGGGCTGAGGCAGGTGAGGGGCAGCCCCGGCCCAGCCGTCTCCGGGTCCCTCTGCCCCACATTAGCACTGGCTCAGCTTGGCTCAGATCTGCTCAGGGGCTGGCGGGACAGTGTCTGGTCCARCCTCAGCCCAGAACCCAGGCACAGAAGTCACTGGGGGCCAGCAGCACCTCAGTGAGAGGCCTCAGGAGGGGACGCCCCAGAGAGCAGAGGCCCCCACTGCAGTGTCCCCTCCCAGGGCCATTCCGAGAGGGGTCCACTCTCTGTCCTTGCCCCACCAGAGTCTCTGTCACATCAGAGGCCTCTGAGGCCCTGCTGGCCTGCCCATTTCCCYAAGCAGTCCTGCCTGATAGCTGACCACACTGACCGCTCACGGTCAGTATCACCCCCTGCGGGATCCCTGGGRTAGACCCTAGCAGCATGAGTCAGAGAAAGATGGCCGGGGACAGGAGGCCAGGACAAAGAGTGACAAGGGTGACCAGTGGGCCTCTGCACGTGGGGAATAGCGAAAGACAACTCTGTGGTTCCCTGGAAGTCAAATGTGCTGGTCCCGGCCTCAGCCACAGTTTGTAAGCCACACAAGCTGCGCTACCGTTCTGGGCCTCAGATTCCCTGTGCACAAACCGAGGTGAACATCCCTCCCATCTGGAACCACCAGGATAAGTTGAGAGTTTTTCTAGAAGAAATTAGGGCTGCATTTTCCACCAGACCCAGTTCCTGTTTTAATCACAGGCCTTTCACGAGGTCCTGGAGCGGCAGAGGCTGATGCGAAGTGACCTGGAGGAGGAAGAGGAAGTCAGAACCACAGAGGCCATGGCTGCCCTCTGCCAGGTGGGTGGCCTCAGCTACTGGCAGAGAAACCTCAGGTTTTGTATGGGCAAGAGCCGCACATCCTTGGGCAGGGACCCAGGCAGGCTCAGGGTGACCAGGAGGTCACATCCCTGCTGGGTGCTCTCGGGCAGCTGGTCCAGCCCTGCCATCTGCTCACTGATGGAGCCCTGCCTAAGGGGCTGCCAGAGCTATGGGAAAGCTGTGTGAGGGCCGGGGTGAGTACCCCAGGGGGTGGCACGGGGGTGGGGGGGGAGAGGCAGGGGTCGGGAGCTGGTCAGCATCCGGTGTCTTCTCCGTCCTGTTAATGTGGCACATTGGATTGATGCCGGTAATGGTGATTGCATGTGAATTTAGAACTTCTTCATTTTCTCTGGTGAATTTAACTGTTCCAACTCTCCCTTCTCTTTGGGACTCCATTAAACTTTTAGACGTTCTTGTTCCTTCTGTACCACCATCTACACCATATTTTCCATCCTTTAGGATCTCTTTGCTTTGTTTTTGGTAGTTTTTTTCTCCCAGTGCATAATTCTCTCTTCAGCTACATCTAAACTACATTTAAACCCATATGCCGAGTTCTTAACACTGGACATGTTTTTCAATTCTAGAGTTTCCAGTTGGCTCTTTTTTAACTTAACACTATTACTTTTTATAATTTCTGAGTCTTTCCTTAAAGGTTCAAAAGCAGACTTTAGCACAATGAGTATAGGAAGCATTGGTACATGAAGTCTGTGTCTTGTATTTATACTTTGCACTACCTGTGGGCTTGCTCTGCCTGTCTACTGTTTGTGTGGCTTTATGGTTAGAGCGTCCTGCCTCCTCGTGTTGTCTTGTCTTCTGGGTATTTTGTGTAGATATTCCAGGTTTGCACATTTACTTGTAGAATGTGCCAGTATACAATGATGTTCTCTTTCTCCAAAGGGGAGTTTCTCTGGCTTCTGCCGTATGCTCGGGCTTCTAATGACCCAGTGTCACCTTCATTCGAAATCAAGGCTTGAAATGTCCTAGACGTGCCAGTCAGGTTTTCATTTTGTAACAAACACCTGAAAACAAACAGCTTTTAAAAAGGAGACGTGTGTCTTGGCTCCCAGTCCAGAGGTCTCCTCTGTGGTCAGTGGGCCCCATTGCTCTTGGCCTTCGATGAAGCAGCACCTCACGGGGAGCTGGGAAGCAAGGACGTGGGGAGAACAGTGTCCCACATTCCTTTCACGGGGACGTCTCCAGTGACTTAACACATGCCCTGAGGCCCACATCTTAAAGACCCCACCGCCTTCCAAGAGCACCAAGCCAAGGACCCACCTTTAACWCCTGCTCTTTGGGGACATCCCAAGTCCAAACTGCTGAGCTGGGCAGCCAAATGACCGGATGCAGGTTGCAGCCTGGGGAGGTCCATGTGGACTGGTTCCTTCCACGTCACCCTGGTCTCTCCAGTGCCGTTTCTCCAGGTCCCAAGCCTAAGCATGAAGGGCCAGGTCCACATGATGGGCCACCACGCCAGCCTCYTTCCCCTGCAGCTCAGGCTGTCCGAAGGCCTGCCAGGCAGCTCAGCCAGCTCTGCTGGGCAGGCCCCGGGGAGARGCAGTTATCCATGTAGCATATTAGCTAGGAGTATGAGCTCCAGAGTTCAGTGGCCAGGGCCCACCATCTGCAGACTGTCCATTCTTTGCCTCTGCTTCCCCATCTGTGAAATGGTGGAACTGTAACAGAGCCCCTGCGTTAGACTGGCATAAGGATTGAGTGAGATTCTAGATGAACGGGGTTGATGACATTCTTTGGCAGTGGTAAAAGTTCATCAATACTGATGACTATRATTATCACTGGCCATTTGCCAGTCACTCTGCTGGACCTGCACATGAAGAGGTAGCAAGAGAAAACTTTGCACAATGGTCCCCGCTCATCTTCAAGGGCTACATTTCAAGAACCCCTGGGATGCCCAAAACCTCAGATGATGAAGAATCCTGTATAGACTATGTTTCCTTCTATACATACACACCTCTGATGAAACTTAATTTATAATTTAGGCATAGTAAGAGATTAATAACAATAACTAATAATGAAGTGGAATAAATTAGGCTCAGTAGGAGATTAACAACAATAACTAACAAAAAAGTAAGATTATAAAAACATACAGGAATAAAAGTTTTATGATTGTACTCTCTTATTGCACCATCATCATCCTTCTCCTCACAATGATGTGAGATGACACAATGTCTATGTGAGGAGCTGAGTGACACAGGCATTGTGACATAGTGCTAAATACTACATAAAGACTACCTGAACACAAGCACTGTGATTCTGCAACAGTGCATTTGATAAGAAAGACACTGATGGACCTACTGACTGGTGGGTGGGTAGCATATACAGCATGGATACACTGGACAAAGACATGATTTGCATCCCAGGCAGAATGGAGTTGGACAGCATGATATTTCATTATAATACTCAGACCAAAGTGTAATTTAAAAACTACCCATTGTTCACCTCTGGAATTTTTCATTTGATAATTTTGACCCATGGYTGACCACAGGTAATTGAGACTRTGGAAAGGAAAACTTAAAGAGGGAGTATGGTACTTCAGAAGGTCTAGTCCATGAGAAGGATGATCAACCAGGGGCTAGGAGGGGTGTTAAGTGCTGGAGGGTGGCAGTAAAGAGAAGTGCCCAGGACCACCAGGTGGGTGATTCCCCAGGACAGCTCACACAGCTCAGCGCATGGTGCACCCATGGCTGAGATTTGTTAACAGTGAGAGGATTCAAAGCAAAACCAGCAAAAGGGAAGGGTGTGTYGGTGAAATCCAGGGGGACTCTGGTATGAGCTTCTGAGTCCACTCCCTGTGGAATCCCATGGCTTGGACCTCATTCCCAGCAGTGAACTGTGACAGCATATGCCAGGTGATGTCTACCAGGGAGCTTGCCTGCACTCCAGAATCCAGGATGTGGTCAGGGTCAGTCCAGGGGTGCCCTCTGCCCGGGGTTCACCACAAGTGAGGTGTGTAGCTCAACCACTTGCACCCTGTCCAACCTGTGGCCAGGGGTCTTGCCAGTGAAGGGAACTTGGAAATGAGCTTGGAACAGATGAGGGATTCCTGGATAGGGAAGGGAGTGGACATGAGTCCTGTTGGTGCATGAAGCATTTGGGGACTGCAGCCAGCTGCTGGGATGGGAAGGATGCGAGACGCAGCTGCAGACCTGAGGAGGACCAGCCTCTGCTGACCAGGAGCTGTGGTCCAGKGAGGGTGGTAGTGAGATGGTGGTTCAGATGCTGGTGATCAGAAAGCTGTGGGAGCCCAGGGTCAGAAACGCCCATGTTGGTCTCCGTGGCCTAAGGAAGGCTCCGTAAAGAGAGGACTGTGTGCAGGGGAGCTGAGAATGTGTGAGGGCCTGCTCCAGTTGTGCKGTGCCTGCAGGCGGGGTGAAGGGCGTGCATAGCAAAGCAGGCGGTGAGAGGCCCCTTATGTGTGAGCTGACACGCAGCACGCGTGTTGATGAGCATCATACCCATGTGGTGTGATATGATATGGAAGTGGAGAGGGAGGCCAACATTGTAGAAGTGGCCATCTTTGTGCCGGGAGGGTGAGGAAAGATGTTGTCGGGAGACCTAGTGCCTTCCAGCAGAACCTGAGTGGTTTGGTGTCTTAAATGTGTTAAACATACTGTTATCTGCAGTGTGAGGATTTTTCATAACTTAAAGGAATGCATTTTTAGAAAGCGACTGGGGTCAGGGAGGTAGGACGAGGCAGCAGAGGACCCCTGGGGCCGGATCCAGAACTGCCTGGAAGCCCCGCTGGGTAGTTTCCACTGTGAGGGAACGAGGGTCTTTCAAGTTAATTGAGCCTGGAGGCTCATGAAGATCTGAGGTTCCGACTTCCTGTGCCTGGAGGGGGAGGGGGGGAGGAAGGGGGAGGGACGGGCCTGTGAATCTAGGAGGGGACTTGGGAGGCCCGGGGTGGGGGGTAGAGGAGATGCAGAGACTAAGGGCTCTGGGGGTCAGGAGGCAGGCTGAGGCTGGTGGGGGTGGGCAGAGGGCGGGAAGACTGGGCTTGTGCCTGCGCATGTGTGGACATGCGTTGGTGTGTTCACGTGTGTGTGCGCACTAGTGTTAACTGCAAGTGGAGACCTACGTGCATGCCTGTGTGAGAATGCCTGAGTGTGTTCGTGTGTGTTTGTGTGCACACACGTGCACAGGCGATGGAGTCTTCCCGACTCTGGGTCTCGCAGGCATGGGAGGCAGAGGCCCACAGAGGTGGGCTGGGCCGGGGCAGGGCAGGACGTGACCCCGCCCTGGTGTGGTTCTCTCTTCAGGAGCTGTACCGCGGCACCATGGGCACTTTCCAGGGCTGTGTGGATGCCCTGTTCCTGCAGACGCTGGGCGCCCGCGGCCTCCCCAGGGCGGAGTGTGAGGCCCTGATGCAGGAGGTCCAGGAGGAYGCAGCACGGCGGCTGGGCAGGTCTGATCGCTTCCGGAGGCGGCAGTGGGGACTCCTGCAGGAGCTGCTGGAGCRAGACCAGCAGGTGGGCACCCTGGTGTGGGATGAGGGGAGTTTTGAACCAGGAGGGATGGTGGGCTGGGTGTGGGCATCCCCAGCACGTCCTCAGGCGCTCCGCAAAGACCCTCGCTAGTCTTGGCCACACCCACCCAGGGGCAGTGTGAGAGCCAGAGCCAGCTCCTCTAGGCAGAGTCGGGAGAMGGGTGTCAATCCTGAGGCTTCAGGAAGAAAGGCGGGCATTCAGGTGGTGGGAGGGCAGCGCATCAGGCATGTCCACATCCCAGTGCCAAACCGTGGACCTGTGTGACCTCACATGGCCAAAGGGACCTTGTGGTTGTGATTAATGATCTTGAGACAAGGACGTCATCCTGGATTGTCCAGCTGGACCAAGGTCACCCTAGGGCCCTCGTGAGAGGGAGCAGAGCATGAGGACCAGAGGAGGAAACAGGAAGGTGTGAGCAGAGCTCCGAGTGGCACAGCGTGAGCCTGGGGACACTGGCAGCTTGTCTAGAAGCTGGAAACTGCAGAGGACAGGTCCCCCACYTCAGGAGCTTCCTGCCCAAACTGGCCGTGCGGCACCTCGATTTCAGCCCGTGAAGACCCCTGTGATGACTCTGACCTCGGAGCACCTGCTGCAGCAGTTTCTACGGCTCTAAGCCACAGAGGCGGTGAGCCACAGCAGCCATGGGAAACTCACAGTGGACATTTTTATTTTTAAAACATTAAAAACTGTTAAATGAAAGAAGGAACCCCTGACCTGGCCGTCCCCAGCCTCCGGCGCGTTTCTTTCTCCCTTGCTTCCTGCAGCCTGGGGGCTGAACGGCTCAGGTGCTTGCTACCTCAGGACTCCAGGAGTCGGCAGTGGCCAGGTGACAGCCCTGACAAGGTGTGGCACCACGAAGAGCTTCTTGTCCCCAATGCCAAAGCCAGGTTGTCCCTAATGCCAAAGCCAGGTGGCTGGTGTTCCCGTTCTTCCTGCCTAGGACATGGACACTCCTTGCCCTGACTAGAGCCCTCAGCTGGGGCCCTCAGGAGTGAGCAGGGGACAGCTGGAGTCCCTGAGGAGTGAGCCACAGCCCTGCCCTGGACCACCGCCCCGGGTGCTTGTTTCCACTGGGTGTTCAGTTGGGTGCAAAAGGCCACAAGAAGGGATGCCTGTGACCGGGGCTCTCTGGAGAGCTGGGAAAGTGCACGGGAAACACAAGAGCTGGGCAGACATGGCCTCCAGGAGCCGCGGGGCAGCACGGGGCGGGTTTCCTGCTGTCTGGGTTGGTGGACCCTCTGATTCACCTCGGCCCTGTCAGCTGGTGGCCATGTTGCCCTGCGCCAGCACCTGCCCCTCTCCTGCACTTGGCTCCGAGTCCTCCGAGGACCCCTCCCCTGGTTTGTTTGCACGCTCTGATTCAAGGCTCCGTGGCCTGGATGTAGTGGGCGCTCTGGAAGGACTACGTCCATCTCCAGCAACAGCAGTGCAGCTATGGTCACCCTGACCCTGTCTGTGTCCTGCCAGGAATCTAAATGAAGTCAAGTCATCCAATTCACCAAACCCAGACCTTTCTGTTTCCAGTCTGGTGAGTGGGGAAGCCAGGCCTTGGAGAGCTGGCAGGTGAGTCAGTGTCTGGCACTCACCACGGTTGAGAGGCCTGGAGACCACCAGGGCTTTACAGAAAGGCCCCTGACCTGGAGCGCAAGCCCAGGGTGTGAGTCAGGGCAGACACACCAGGCTGGAGATGGCCAGTTAGTTGACCTCCCAACTCTGCTATTGCATGGCTTACAGAATGTCTCAGAACCCCAGCTTGTTTGACAACTAGGCCCAGAACACCCAGCAGGTTGCCATAAGATCATGTGAAGAGCTCTTGCAGAGCGTCCCTGTGGTCACCTGATGACGTGGTCATGGAAAGAATCCTGAATTTCATTTCCCACAAAATGCCCACGATTCGGCCACCACTCTCTGGTCACATTATTTAAGTACCAGCTTACGACTGGCTCTTTTTTGTCTTTTATGAATTTATTGGTGACTTATGATAGTGATTCTCCCTGGGCTTGTGGGGAAGTTTCTCAAGAGGAGTTTTGCATTTGAGAAGCTGGAAGAGCTAATGCTTTCGTCAGCTGATTACAGTGTAACCTAAGCCAGCTGGCTCAAGGTGTGGATGTCCTAACTAATTCACTGATTGATCGCTTAATTGCCTTGAATTACCACCAGGCCTTTAGAGACCCAAGTGCTCTCCACCTGTCATGTTTCCTTGTTGATGAAAACGAGTGAGACACGAACTCTCTGTTGCTCAGATGAGGATTCGTCTCGAGGAGCCCTAACAAAACTATGTGTGGAAAATCAAAAGCACACCCAGACCACGAGGGCCTCTTCCACATCATACTCTGTCCCACACACCACGGTGGCCCCATGACCTGTGCCTAATGGAAGTTGGTGAATTGTGGAATCTGGAATGCACAGTTGGAGCGGGTAGCACATGGTGTTGTCAGAGCCTGATCCACTCGGGCACACAGGTTCTGGGCTTCTCCGGCACAATGGCCACCCAGGGGTCCACACCCTGCTCCCTTATACCAAAGTCAGGTTCAAGGCTAAAAGGACTTTGCAGATGTGATTATGTCGGGGGCCTTGAGATGGGGAGAGTCCCCTGCTTAGCTGGCCAGGGCCAGTGTAATCACAGGGGTCCTTGCAGTGGAAGAGGGAGCAGGTGTCTGAGCAAGGTGGTGTGAGGAAGACACAGGCAGCCATCATTGGATGCCATGATGGAGGAAGGGGCTCCAAGCCCAGGACAGCAGATGCCCTCCAGGGGCTGGGAAAGGCGAGACGTATAGTGATGATTCACCTCGGACAGATATCCAAAAGTATGAGATAATAAATGTGTGTTGTTTTGAGCCACGACGTTTGTGGTCATGTGAWATAGCAACCACAGGAGACTAATACACCACTGCATGGAAATCTGTGTTTTTAACAAGGGGTGTGTGGCAGGTGTGGCACTCTGTGCCCGATGTAAAACTCTCCAGTTAGAATCCTGGCTCACTTACCTGTCAGCCTAAAGCAGCCTCATTTATCACAGAGTGTCTGTGGCTCAGGCATGCAGGCCCAGCTTGGCTGGATCCTCTCTCCAGGCTGCAACCAGGGCAGTGTTGGGGTTGGGGTCTGCTCTGAAGGCTGGACTGGAAAAGACTCTTCTCCAAACTCACTTCTGGGGTTCTCGGCAGGACTCAGAGCCTTAGGAGTTGTCACTGAGGACTAATCACTCCCACATTTTCACTGGAGTTTGGAACCTGTCTTGAACTCGGCCCTGACTGTGAGGTCTCATTCGGGTGGTCAGTAGGCATGTGACCTAGTGCAGCCCAAACAGCACCTCTGCCCTTCCTGCCAACCTGCCCTTCTTACTCTCCCCTTAACTGGGCAAAAACCTTGCTCCTCTTTCTCTCACACCCTACGTCCTGTGGACAGAACACCCCACTGGCCCTACCTCCAGCCTCACCCAGAAAGTGGGCACTTCCTGTCATCTCTGCCCAGCACGGTGGTCACAGCCACATGCCTCTTGTCTAGCTCACTGCAGCAGCTGGCCACTGCCTTCCCTGGATTCTCAATGCCCAGCCAGAGTGGAACTTTCAAAACACACTACAGCCACGCATCTTTAGGAGGCACGTTTATGATCTCACACTTTAACATCCCTGAAGTTAAAGTGCATCTTAATTTAACTGGCAGTGACTTTTGTGTCTTAGTGAGATCTAAAATAGTTGGGCACCTTACAATCCTCAGCATTATAGATGACAAAAGACAGAAAGTCACGTCTCTGCTGAAAACCCCCGTGGCCAGCGGCCTCATCGTGTCCTGCAGGACCTGACCTGTCAGACCTGGTGCCCTCTGACCCCACCTGCTCCCTGCCCAGGCTCCTCCGTGCCTCGCTGGCTCTGTGCTCCCCAGGTCTCTCTCCTGGGTCTTTCTCACAATGAGGCCTGACTAGTCTAGAGCCCCTTTCCTGTAGCCTGTAACATGTGAAAGTCTGGAGCCAAAAGAGCAAAGCCACGGCACGGCCTGGTAGCAATGTCCKGGGTGGGTACGGCGGCCCTGTGGCAGCTGCTGCTCTGAACGGAGGCATGGGCAGCCTACGTGGGGTGATGCCAGGAGGCTGGTGTGACACTGCAGGCTCCATCTACCCTGCCATCCCGGCCTTGTGGCCCTCGAGTCCTGCTGCTGGCCTTATCTGCAGACTCAAAAAAACAGCAGAGACCCCCATAGGCTCTAGAGATGATGTCGACTCACCTTTTAAAGAATCAAGATGGGGTAGAATTTTCTAGAATGTTCTGTTTGCCCTTAGATTATTGTAACTCCTCAAAAAAGGACTCAAGAGACTGATCTGAACAGCCCATTCTGGGTGACTCCATGTCATTTGGTGAGATCGGCTGTGTTAGGAATCACACGGCCRGGAACTGGGTGGGCACAGGCACTTCAGCCCCCTGTGTTTTGTGGAGCGCGGTGGGAGCCCGGCCAGGCTGCTGGGCAGAGAGCTTCTGCAAAGCTGCGGAGGGGGGCAGGTGACGGACTCCTCTGGCTGGCTGAGTCTCAGGTTCGCCAGTCTTGCCAGAGGTGCACGTTTGTCCTGCAGATATGAGATGGCCAGGGAGGAGCAGCATGGAGGTTTTAACAGAATCCAGGAGAAAGGGGTTTTATGGCAAGATACAGACTCAACCCCACAGCTCAGGTAGCTGCTGGGCTCCCGCCCAGTAACCAGCGCCCACGTTCTATTCCCCGGCACAGGTGTGGATGGAGGAGTGCGCGCTGTCCACGGTGCTGCAGGACCAGCTGAGGGACAACGACCAGCGCACCTTGCAGGGCGTCCTGAGCAGGCTGGGCGGCCTCACCGAAGAGTGAGTCGGGCGGTCCTGGGATCAGGGCTGGGTGTCCACGGCTCTACCCTCCAGGTGTCCGCATCTYACCTTCTTTGAATGTGATTGATGGTGGTTCTCAGCCCTTGTCCTGGGTCTCCTCCGCACAAAATGGGGCCAAGGACCCTACTTCTCAGGGTCATGTTTTGTAGGAATTCTTCTCAACAGCTTTTATGGGATGTGATTTACACATGTTATTTTAAGGATTCAAATCAAAGATGTTTTAGTAAATCTCTCCACATCCATCACCACAATTCAAATGAAGATTTCCATCTCCCCAAAGAGACCTCTCATGGCCATTTACAACAAATTACAACTGATCCATTTTTATATCCACTTTTTACATTTTTGCTCTATTAGGGCAATAGGATTTCTCCAATTTGCTGAAAAATGTTTTCTTATTTCTTCTGATGAAAATGGCTGATATGTTTTCCTAGTTGCCTGGCCTTTCCCAGGCACCTGTCTGTGTTAGACTCAGACACGGGGGCAGGGCTGAGGCCTGGTAACCCGAGGCTCCGAGCCAGGGAGGGGCAGGTGAGCAGAGTGCAGCTCCTTGTGTCTTGCTCCTCTGTGCTTTTGGTGATTCGGAGATCTCAGATGGCATCCTTGACCCATCAGGATCTGCGGTACAGTCAGCCATTACCCCTTCCTGAGCAGTGCGCATGCACAACCCGCTAGTCCTCTCCGAAGGTCACTCTTCTGTCGCGTGTGCTTTAGCTCTCTGCATTCCCGGTCCCACAGGGCATGGCTCTATCGTTTAGAGTTATTCACACAACCGCCCTTCCTGTGGCTCTTGAGTCTTTCCTCTTGCCGTTAAGTTTCCCTCTGGGATCATTTTTGCCTGAAGGCTCCTTTGAGTTCAGATCAACTCATAAAACATTCTCTAAGGTTTTTTCTAAAAATGACTCACCTTCATCTGTAAGGGATGCTTTCCGTGGGCACGCTCTCAGCGCATGTGCACTACTGTTGCGACGTGCCTGAGACTGGGCAGTTTATGAACACTAGAGATTGATTTCTTCAGATTCTGGAGCCTGAAAGTTCAAGATCAAGCGCCTGCAGCTTCTGTGCCTGGCGAGGGCTGCTCTCGGCTTCCAAGATGGCGCCTCTCTGTGTCTCCCGTGGCAGAGGGGAGGGCATGAGAGGGGCAAGCTCTGATTCTGTTCTCATGAGGGCACTAACCCAGCCATGGGGTGGAGTCCAGGGCCTCCTCCTAAGGCCAACACAGGGGAACCCAGTTCCAACACTCAGATCATAGCACACATACAGTCTTACTTTGGTTATTTCTCAATACGTGTGTGGGAGATCCATGGTGCTCTGGATGCCACAATTTGACAATGGATCAGCTCTTCCCAGGGCTCACCCATCAGTGTTTATGGCCCCCCTGCCATCCTCTGCCCTCGCTCCTCCAGGGCTCCGCTCCCTCCACTCAGTCACCCCTCCACACCACTTAGTGCTCCTCCCCCGGGGCATGGCCTCAGTGGGTGCCTTCTCCGAGCTGTCTCCAGGTCACTTCCTCTTTGGCTGGGTCTTCTTTGCTCTGAGCCTGTGGAGCTCTGAATGTCAGCTGTTGTGCTGTGAGTTTAGAATGTCTCTGTTTCTCTACATACTTTCTGATGATGCTGAGAGTCTTCATCTTATCCATTTCTTGGCCATATGAATCATGATTATTGTCTTGCTTGCCTGATTATTCCAAAACCTGATATCTTGTGGTTATTTCTCCAGTTCCCATTTCATTCCTTTTATTTTTGGTTAATTTCTGTCTCATTGCATGTCTGGTTATTTTCATTGACTGCTGGATATTATTCATGACCAACTGTAGAGGGAACATAAGACTCGAATGATGCCGTCTTCCAGAGAGGATTTGTCTTTCTTCCAGCAGGAATTTCAGATAGTGGTGGATGAGCTCCACCCACTGGGGAGTTTAGCTGATTCAGTGCTAGGTCCTTGTGAGGGCCGTGTCCTTTCTAGGATGAGCCCCCGGCCCTGGCCGATGTCCCTGGTGATTGCCAGGCCTCCCTCTGCCATGCTGACTGCTGAAGCTCTCTCCAGCTCTTCAGCCTCTTCCAGCACCACACATTATAAAACCAAATGTCGGGCCTCTTTGGTTGACCCAGGTTTCTTTCCTCTCGAGTCACTGGGATGTGAACTCAGACGCGGCTCACGGCTTCAGTGGGGGGGTGGTTCCACCCACTCCCACTTGGCGGGCGCCAAGTGGTACCTGGGGGCTTCTTGTGCGTCAACCCCGGCCCCCGCTGCTCTCCCCACAGGTCCACGCGGGGCATCCTGCAGGGGCACGAGCTGCTCCTGGGCTCCGCCCTCCGGAGGCTGGCCCTCCGCGGCAGCGCCGTCGCCACGCTGGCCCAGATGAGGCTGTCTGGGAAGAAGAGCCTCCTGCAGGAGCTGCGTGAGCAGCAGGCGCTGGAGCAGGGCTCCTCCCACTGTCGGGATGAGCATCAGTGGCAGCTGCTCCAGGCCTTGGTGAGCCCAGGGCCCCCCTGAGCACGCAGGAAGTGCCCCATCCGGTCGCAGGCCAGCCGTGTCCGCCAAACCCCGATCCTGCCGCCCCCGTCATTGGGGGTGCTGTGTGAACCTGCTGGGGCATCGTAACGAGGTCACCGCCACGGTCCACACGGCAGAGCTGGAGTCTGGGGGTCCTGGAGTGGCAGGGCCAGCTCCTCCTGGGGCTGCTGCCCTCCATTGTCACATGGCCGTCCCTCCATGCATGTCTCGGTCCCGACCTCCTCCTCACTTGAGGTTACCAGGCTTATTGGATTAGGGCCACCCTAATGTCCCCTTTATGTCTCCTTAAAAATCCTGTCTCCAAATCTGTCAAATCCCAGGGCCCTGGGGCTAGCACTTGAACATGTCAACTTGGGGAGGACACAGTTGAGCCCATGACAGTACCCCCTGTCGGTGCTCTGTGGCATCATGCCCGGGTGAGGATTGCACCAGGAGACCTAAGCCAAGTCCGAGGGGGAACGAACAGTCAAGGGTGTGGGAGGAGGGCTTTGCAATGTCATGGAGGTTTCCACAGATCAAAGGGAAGACAACGGGCAGGCAGCTGAGCCAGGTTTAAACCCAGCCRCTTGTCCAGCTCTCACGCCCGTGGCCCCTAAGCCCCAGGAGCAGCCAAGTTTCAAGCCACTGAGGCAGAGTTTCCCAGCGGCTACAGCTGGCCTGGCTGGGCTTTGCAGCAGAGGGCAGCAGCTGGGCCTCGTTGCAGGAGACACGAGTCCTGGAGGAGGCCGGCCGGCTGGAGGAGGAGGCGCAGCAGACGCGGCTGCAGCTCCAGCAGCAGCTGCTGGCCGAGGCCCAGGAAGCSGGGCAGCTCCTGCAGCAGCACTTGGAGCGAGCCATCGGGCAGGCACTGCTGGGGCACGCACGGAATGCGGCCACCAAGAGCCGGGCCAAGGACAGGGATGACTTCAAGGTATGTGCCAGGGGCAGGAGGGACTGGGTGGAAGGGCCRGACACCTGGGCTGGTCCTCGCTGTGTCCTACAGGGACCCTGCAGAGCTTGCAGCCACCCAGCCTTGGTTCCCCATCTGTAGGTGGGCTGCCCTCCTTCGAGGGAGTTGGGGCTCTGTCACACCGATGGCAGGTTTCGCTGCTGCCAGCCCCGTGCTGTCCTTCCGAGCAGTGCCACTGAGGCCACTGACTTGACTGTGGTTCCTCCTCTGCTGACAGTAATGGGAAGCCAGCGGTGGAGACCTGAGAAGGGAGCCCATCCGCCCAGCACCTTCTCCAGTGCTCCGCCTGCCCTTCCTGGCCAGGTCTCCCACAGCCCTTGCACAGTAGGGTCATTCTCCTTCCCAATGCACAGATGGGAAAGCTGAGGCTCATGACTGGGCAAGACAGGTGTGAGTCCTCCAGATAGAGGGTGACCAGGTGGAGGCCAGAGCCGAGACTCCCAAGGCTGAGGTGGGTTTGCAGACCCTTGAGCTGTGRGGCTTGTGGTGGGACGTGGTGGCACCTCAGCCCCTCTCTGAGAGTCCTTCCACTTGGGCAAATGAGTTGCCCTGCTAATCCACGCCTRAGGTTGGCCCCACCTCCTGGTCCCTCAGAGGCTGGGGCAGTGCCCGGCAGGTGACATTGGGAAGGTCGCTCCCATGCCCTAAAATCCTCCTGCCCTACCTAGTGAGTGCTGCTGTGTGAACGTGGGCGGGGTGATCGGCAGGCGCATTTGGTCCTGGTGTCCAGAGTTCYGCTCACCCCAGAGGATGGCATGGTGCTGGGTTTCTAGAGGAGGCTGGCTGGCTCTCTGGGTGGACGGGCCATGTGGCAGGAAGGCAGGTGGGTGGCTGACCCAAGCAGAGACGGTAGGGGACTTCCTGCCTCCCAGAATCCAGAGAAGGCCACCAGCTGTCAGCCACAGGTCCTGCTGGGCCCCGATGCCGATGTGGAAGCCTTCGGGGCGGTGGCTGGTGACAGGACGGGGAGGCCCACTGAGCCCTGCTCCCCACAGCCCAGGTTCTGCACCTGTAAGGTCAGGCGCCTTTCACAGACGGTGCTGGGGGAGGAGCGCAGGGCGCAGCCTGAGCAGAACGCTCAGTACTAAGTGGGSGTCATTTCTTGGCCGAAGCCTGGCCCTGCCCATACATGTCTGTCGATGAGGACACTTGAGGCTRACTCCTGCCTGCTGCCCGTCATCTGAGGAAGAAAAGGACGGTGACTTGGTCAGTGCACGACCAGCACATTCCCTGGGCAGGGCTCAGCACGTCCCTTCCTYTCTACTTTGGCCTGAGTGTGTCACTCAGAAGTGTCATAGCTGCAAATAACAGGTGCCCTGCAGTGGCTCAGGTGGGCAGAAGTCACACACYCAGGTGCATTCGTCCCTCAGCATCACACAGCACATACCCGGGCTCATTCTTTAAACACAGGGCTGGGCCAAGCTCACAGTCTGGRACGCTGGCATCCTGGCTCAGGCTCTGGCCACGCCACACCCTGGCTGTGTGATCTCGTGGTGGGTGGCCGTGGTGGCAGTGCATTGTGGGGGAGGAACCCTGCCTCAAAGAGGAAGCCATGGCCTGGGGAAGGAGCTGRGCTTGCTCCCTGAGTGCTGACCCTCTGGGAGGACTAGCTCAGGCTCCCACACGACCTCCCCAGTCCCTTGCAAGGACAGGTCCCCAGTGACCAAGGACCCTTGGCCTCCCCTCCTGTGGTTTCACAGCTCAGTGTTCCCACTCTGGGACCACACTTACAGACCACGGGCCTTGGGGACAGACCACGGGCCTTGGGGGACAGACCACAGCCAGACGACAGTACCGCGTGATGAGAAATGTGGAGGGAGCGCTTCCAGCCAGCAGTGTCTGTGCTGGGACCTGGGACCCAGGACTGGGCTCTTTCCAACCCATGCTTCTGGCCGTTGTTGTCACTGTCATCGTCATCCTCATTAGCGTCCCACATGACTGTTGCTGCTCCAGGTCTGCATTCCAGACAGGAGGAGGGAGGTGGCAGAGTCTCCCCCATCAGGCCTCTGCCTGTTCAGGGAGGCAAGGCCCCCAGCAGACTCTGCCCGACTTTGCATCTTAGGACCAGAACGAGGCCATCGCGCCCGTAGTAGGCCATCCTGACCTGGGACAGTAAGATTATTGACCAGCCATGCGCCCTCTGCCTGCTCCCTGCCACTCCAGGTTGGGAGTGAGAGGTCAGCCAGGCGGGGAGGCTAGGCCCCCACTGGGCACGGCGGCTGCACCTGTGACTTCCTGACCGCTCCGTCCTTCTCTCCTGCCCACAGGGGACGCTGGTGGAGACGGTGGTGGAGAGCGTCTATGCCACCAGCGCTGGCGTCGGCCCCCTGGTGCAGGCCTATTACCAGCAAGTCGGGAGGGTGATGCAGGACCAGGAAGAGAGGAAGCTACAGCTCCTGAAGACCCTGCAGGGTACGCAGCCCKGCCCCGGGACCAAGGTGGCCCACGTGGGGGGATGCGCGTGCCAAGCTGGGGGTTAATTCTGAAGTGTCTTGATGTATTTATTCACCCCTCTTCTTAAACCCAAAATGATTTTTTAAAGTCACGTAAAGAAACATACATGAATACAATAAGGTTTGTACAGCAGAGAGTCGGAGGCGGGCAGGACCCCGAGGTGACAGGGCAAGGTCATCGTCTGGACCAGCTGGGGGCCTCCTTGGAGGTGAATGATTCTGTCTCTGGGTTCTTGGTGGCCAGAGATGGAGCCACTCAAAGGCACTGCCATGCCCAGGGGTGAGGAGAGGGCAGCAGCCACCGTGACATTCCTGAGACCCTGAGACCCCCTCATAAAAGGCCACCAGGTGATGGAGCAAACAGTGTCCCCGTTGCAGTGACAACAGATAATGACATGGAGAGCCAGCTTCTCAAGGGCCATCCGCACACCCTCCCTCCTGCCGGAGCTCAGGACAGGGCGGYGCTCCTGGATCTCGGACACTCTGCCTTTGGGAGCTGCTCTCKGCTGCCCTGTCCTGGGGACTCGGGGGAACCTGGCCCACACCCAGAGACGGGCAGAGGCTCTGGATTCCCCGTCATGGCTCTCCAGAGACAGCTGGGTTCCTTTAGCAGGAGACAGATGTGCCCGTGAGCCACCGCAGGATGGGGGCACGGCCCCTCCCTCCCTGGCCTCAGYTCCCACTCTGTGGGAGGGGGCTGGGCTGGCCCCAGGCACCTCTGAGCTCTCCCTGCCCTTCCTGACCCCTGACCCTCACACAGTGAGTGCTGGGGACCCTGGAAACCCCTCCCCATCCAGCCCACCCTTCATGGGAGCCACAGAGGGTGGCCCGAGCTCATCCCAGGTCAGCCTTTCTGTGCTCCCACGCAGGTCCACGGCCTGGAGGGGGGCCGGGAGGCAAAGCACCCATGTCCCCCCAGAACTACTGCTGGGCATTGGGCKACTTGGCCAGCAGGGCCTTGAAGCAGGTGCCCATGGCTGGAAGTGCAAACCTGCCCCTGCTGGGGTGGGGCGCTGGAATAACCCTGCTGGGGACAGGTGTACACGGGCTGCCCAGGGACCCAGGGACCCAGGGCACCTCACACTCCACCTGAAGTTTCTACCTTAACCTGCGTTTCCTGAGCATCTGAATCTGCCAACAGGAAAGGGCTGGGGGAAGGGCGCTGCTCCAGCTCCTGGGGCAGCCTAGGCCCGCCCAGCACCCCKGCTCCCTGCTGGGTGCGTCCACCTGCCTGTTCCCCGCCCTGYGCTGTCCCCAGGGTCCTCGCACACCTCTGCCTGTCCCAGCGCTGGGGCGAGTGGTGCACTGTGGGTGCAGGTGTGTCCTGCTCGGCCTCGGGCGCGGCCAGCCCAGCCCGCAGAGCTGTGCTCTCCCTGTGACRTGACCCGCCTCGTGTCTCCCATGGTCCAGGCCACAGAATGGACAGCTCCAAGCTACGGAGGAAGCAAGAACTCGGGGACCCCGGGCCGGAGGACCAGATGACAGGCGGCGCTCAGGGAGCCTCCCAGGCTGTCCACCAGAGGTGAGGCTCACGGTGGACAGTGGGTCCCCCACGCAGGGATGTCCTCTGCCCCCCACACCTAGTGTGGAAGCCCCTGAGCCTCTGCCCACACCCTGTTCCCAGCAGCACCCACACTAGCGCCCAGCACAAGGGAGGGTGAGTCAGGGTGTGGCGGCCACCCTGTGTCCAGCTTCAGGTGGCAGCTRCAGCCCTAACGGGGCTCCTCCACCCCTGCTCATGCTCTTGGTTCCCTCAGGAGCAGACCTCGGGGTGGGGGTGGGTGTCCACCTAGAGGGACCCAGGGAGCCGGAAGGGAGGCAGAGGCAGTGTGTCCCATGACAGTGGCCGTTACCGTGGCCACAGACTCACAGGCGGAGGCCACTGTGTGTCCTCCCACGGTCTGTGGTTAGGAGGTCGGTTCTCTGCTTCTCTGGATCTCAAGGGGGGAGGCAGGGCATCACCGCGGGGCTCTCCCGGGAGGCCTGGGGGRATTCATTTCTGAGCTTGACGGGGTTGCTGTGGAACAAGGTCCCATTTGCTGGCCGGCTGTCACGTGGGCCACCCTCACCCCCAGGGCCTCTCTCTGGTCCTTGCTCTGGGCCCCAGGGCCGGCAACCAGCAGCAGTGATAGCACCTGGGGTCACGCCTGCTGGCCCTGTGCCTTCTTCCCACYTGGGAGAGGTTTCTCTGCCCTCAGGGGCTCAGCCGCTGTGGACAGGACCCACCCGGTCACCGGGACCTTGCAGCCTATGGCCCTGGTCACACCTCAGATCTCCCTTGCCATCTGCAAGGGCTCCGGGATCTGAGCGTGTTTGGGGACACGGCCTGGGATGTGGCCAGCTCTGGGGACGTCGTGTGGCCCAGCACAGTGGAGGGAAGGCCTCGAGGGCAGCGAGGCTGTGCCCACCCTGGAGCTTCAGAGAGCTGTGCAGACAGTGCTTTCCAGGGAGGCCAYGGGGCAAGGGTCTCTGCTCCCCTCTCCAGGGCTGGGGGGTCCAGCCTGGAGRGCTGACTCGCCTGCCCGTCCAGTGCCCCGGGTAGGCCCCACACAGCCCTGCGGCCAGAGAGAGCCCTGGGCCACAGGCAGGTGCTTGGCATAGGGTCCCTGGGCCTTGGGGAACTACTGTGGCATCAGCAGCCTCCGTGGGCTATGGGGTGGAGCCCCTGTAAGTGCCCGCTGTTTGCTTGGCCACTAGGTGGGTACCAGGGCAGTTCCTGCCCTCTGTCCAGGAGCTCCGAGCCTGGAGGGAGAGTAAAGAATCAGCRATCAATCAGTGGGGGTGCCGGGGGGCAGGGCTGGACCACAGGGGAGGATCCCTTGCCTTGTCCTGCCACCAAAGGTGGTAGAAAGACAACAGYCATGCAGTCGAGCAGAGGGAGCCTGTCACAAGCACAGTCTGGCCCCCCGCACGTCGGCAGCCCRTGTAGATGACGAGCACTGCAGCACCTGGATCAAGCTGAGCCTGACACTCCCACTGTGAATTCTCCAACTGGTCATTAGCCGTGGTCAGCAAAGGCCCTGCTATTGCACTGCAAGGTCTGGGYTTGCCCCGACTCTCCACACCGTGCTCGGCAGTGCCCGGACTTGGGCACAGGAGCATCAGGGGGCTTTCSCACTAAACCTGCTGCACCTGGGACTCAGGGAGCTGGAGGGGAGCCCGGGCACTAAATTGTTCACACATGCACACAGACACGCCCAGGGACTCAGATGGCTGTGGCCCAAGGACTCCACTTTGACCCAGGTGATCTAAAGGGGGCCCTGGCCCAGCCCCACCTGGTGTAGGGAAGAGGAAAGTCAGGCCTGGTGTGTTGGGGTGAGCGCTGGCACAGCCTCTGCAGGGTGGGGAGGGCCTGCCTCCTTGTCAGGGGCTCCTGCCTTCACCTCCCGCCCTCCCCACCCTAGGCAGAGCTGGGGGGGGGGGCGGCCAGTCTCCCATCTCCCTGTATCCCAACCTAGTGCCTCCCCRGCGGGCAGGAGAACAGCGAGGGGCCACAGGAGGTGGATGGGACAGATGGCGTGGCACAGAGGAAGGTCAGGGGCTGGCGGGGTGGTGAACAGACGGGGTGGACGTTGCAGCAGACAAGACATGAAGCCAGGTGGCTCTGTGTGCCTTGGGGGCCCCCATGTGGGCAGCTGCTTGCCGATGCTGCAGGTGGCATCTGCCTTCAGTTCCAGAAACTCAGCCCTTTCCAAAAATCCAGCCTGGGAGATGAAGGGGGCGGGGGGTAGTGGAGCCGGGGGTCTGAGTGATCCTGTGGGCCCAGGGGAGGCAGGAGTCTGCGCCCCAGAGGGAGGTGGGCTCAGGATCAGAGGGAGCCTCTGCCCCAGCTGTCCCCCTGCCTCTCAGGGTAAAGGGGCTGCCTCATTCCGGATTTTTCCGGAGGAGAAAGCCTCCTGTTTCACAGGGAGGGGCCAGGGCCGTTCTGAGATCTAATCAGGATGCAGCCGGGCCCTGGGCCTTTGTGGAGAATGTTCCTCCCTGGGTAAGATGGCTTGCTCAGGAGAAGAGGCCACTTCCTGCCCAGCCCTGTGGCAGCTGTGTGTCCACAGGCAAGCCGTGCCTCTCCGCCTCTCTGCCTTTTCCTCTCTGTCCTGCTGATGTCCCCAAGCCCACCCCAAGGATCGAGACAAGAGTGCCTGTAGAATCTTGTCGACTCCTTGGTGTTCGGGGCCTTGACAATGTCCCCAGTGTGTGGCTGCTGGACACTGGGCCCATGCTCCTCTCGGGTACCCGGGGCCCAGGCGGTCACTAATCCCACGGCACCGTGGGCCCTTTGGGAAGGTTCACRTGGGGGCTCCGAATGACTGTGGCCAGGGCAGTGCTGACCTTCTCCCTCCCCCACCAGGTTGCTGTCGCAGCAGAGGCGGCTCCTGGCCCAGTTCACRGAGCACCAGCGGCTCCGCCTGGAGGCACAGAGGCAGAAGGCCCGGGTCCTGGACCAACTGGAGGCCCAGCTGGAGACGCAGCTGCAGGTGAGAGTCTAGGAGCGGCCTCCGCAGGCAGGGCTTCAAGGGGAGCAGAGGCGGGGAAGGCAGAGGCCAGGTCATCCCAGGCCAGTGTGGGCCGGTGTGGGGGTGGTGGGCAGGTCCAGAGCCTTCGCCTCTGCACCTCGCTGTCTGCACGGTCACCTTGTCCGCTGGCTGGTGCTGCACAGCTGCACAAGACATCAGGGTCCCCGTGGCCTCAGGCCAACTCCAGGCAGGCTGCCGAGAATCAGCCTCTCCGTGTGTGCAGATCCCCACCAGGYGGCTGCTCAGAGTCAGGATGGACGTCCGTCCTGCTGGCCGTGGGGGGCAACCGAGCCTGCTCTGTACCTGGAGCACTCAGGACTCACCCAGCACAGAGTCATGGCAGGGAAGGCTCGGTCCCGAGTGTGGCCAATGGCTGCCACAAATGCCTGGCATTCCCAAGTGGAAGCCACAGACAGTGTGGGCCCTGCCAGAGATCTCCCCACAGTGGGCAGCGATTAGAGGGACAAGGACAGGTGTGCCCAGGTCTGTGTGGGCTGGCGCCAGGCGCGAGGTCCTGTCCTGCTGCCACCWCCTCCGTGCAGGCCACCATGCCTCCCACCCTGTGTCATCTGTGAACGGGCTCCACAGCAGAGCTGGAGAGGATGCCCAGTCGCCTGGCAGGAGGTGCCCACCCTGCGTTCTGCCCTGCYTGGGCCTCTCCAGGGCACTTCAGGAAACCCTCCTCCCTTCTGGGGACGCGTCCGCCAGCCTCCTGGACAGCGTCAGGCCCTGTTGGGGGGGGGYTCGGGGAGGGACCGCTGACCCTCCCCCACTTGCACAACAGGACGCRGAGCAGACCTTCATCTCGGAGCTGGCAGCCTTGGCCCGCGTGCCCCTGGCAGAGAACAAASCGCTCTCCAGTAAGCGCGGGCTGCCAGGTAAGTCCTGGTGTCCCCGCCACAGGGGCAGAGCCTCTGCGCTGAGACTGATGTCCACCTCCCGTCCACCGCTGACCAGCTCTGGGGCCTCRGGCTCAGCCTCTCTGGGCTTCATGTCCGTGTCTGTAATGGGGCAGGCTCAGGGCACCCGGGACCTGGCTCTCCAGCCAGGGCYATCCCAGCCCCTGGGTCGGCTGCCCCCCAGCTGTGTCTCCGACTCTGTTCCTACTTGTTTAGTGGGAAGATGAGTCCCCTCCCCTGCCAGTGAGGGAATCGGGGACGTCCCAGGCGGTGGTAGCTCTGAAGGCCAGCACACAGACCCCTGAAGGCAGACGCTCCGTGCCAGCTGATCTCGGCACCCTAAGTCCCGAAGGCCCCTGGGTGCAGTAGGAACACGGCCTGGCAGGACTGGTCCGGTCCCAGCTCTGCCACTGATCGGCTGTGCTGGCCTGGGAAAGCACGTGGCTCCTGGGCCTCGGTTTCCTCGTCCGTGGAGTGGGTGCCACGCMGTGACGCAGCAGGGCCCACCTGGCCACCGGGTGCTGGAGAACAGTCAGGCCTGGTTGGCCCAAGGCCGGAGGAGCTGTCCGAAGTCCCAGACCAGGGTCCTCTCTCTTCCGCAGAGAAGCCTCTACGGACCAAAAAGAAGAAGCCCCTGCCTCGGGAGAGAGGGGACCCAGGACTGCCCAGCGATGGTGACCCTGCCTCGGGGGACCACGCCTCAGGGCCCCTCAGGTACAGCAGGTCCCCGTCTCTCACCTCTGTGCTACCCACTGTGCCTGGTGTCTGGGTGGGAGGCCGCCCCTTCTCCAAGGCCCTTGGAGGCCCAAGAACAAGGGGTGTGAGCGTGATTGGGGGCAGGAGCCGGGGCCACTCGGTGGCAGCTGGCGTCACTGCGGCTATCGCTTTGGCCCATCTGGCTAGGACGGGACATGGCCTCCAGGCCCTGTTGGCATCCAGCCAGAGCCACGCACCCAGCCCTCCTCCTCCAGGGCCAGCACTGGCCGCCACCTGTGTGAGCTGCCGTCAGCTGGCAGCCCCAGGGTCGGAGGAACCAGTGCGTCCCTGTTGTGGCACCTGGGTGATCGATCGCCCACCTGGAAGGGCACCCTGGGGCTCCACTTGCCACTTCACCACGCGTGTCACCGTGTAGACCACCTCGGTCACTGTGCTGACACCTCACTGAGTGGCATCACTGAGCCTGGCCTCAGGCAGGGCACTGACCGCTGGCCTCTTCCCACTTTCAGCAGCCAAAGGCCAGGTCAGCAAGAAGCCGAGGCTGGTGTCGGYGAGGACGGGAGGCAGGTGCTGAAGAGGAGCCATCTGTAGCTCCAGGCTGCTGGGCAGGCCTGTGCCTGGGTGTGCCAGGCCTGTCCCCGCCACACCCTGGGGGACATGGGGGCGGTTGTGAGAGAGGACGGAGGAGGGGGGACTGGCCAGACGGCCACACCTGAGATGGTTGGGAGCTCCTCCTAGCCGGTTTMCAGCCCGCTCAGCTCCCTGACGAGGAGGCCTCCTGTGCCCAGCTCTGCCCGTGTCCTGAGGCTACCAGAACCTGYCTCCCACAAGCTGAGGTCACCTGGCACAGCCCTGGGCACTCTGCTCCCCAGCTTCTCCGCCCAGTGCTCCCAGGAGGGCCTCTCAGACTTGCTGTATTTCCTGGATCTGAGGCCATTCCCTGGTCCCTCCATCCCCCTCCACCCGCCAGTGGCTGCCCAGCATGCCCATGAGGACCACGTCCTTGCTTGGTACTTTCTGTCCTTCGACTCAGCCAGCACCAAGAACTGGTCACCAAGACAGTGCCTGCATCCCGGGGCCAGCAACCCAGGACAGGCTGCTTCCTCAGCGCTTCCCGCTGTGACTAAAAGACCTGATGAGAACRATTTTATGGRAGAATTTATTGGGGGCTCACGGTTTCAGAGGCTCAGTCYGTAGACACTGGCTCCACCTCGGGCTGCAGGTGAGGGGGACATCATGGGGAAGAGTRTGGTGGAGGGCAGYAGCTCACACGATGACCAGGAGGCAGAGAGAGACTCCGCTCTCCAGACACAAATATACACCCAGCGCCCCCTCCAGCCGCACCCACCTGCCGACAGGGAACACTCACCAATCCCCTCAGGTGGGTGATTCACTGATGGGGTTCGGGCTCTCATAACCCAATCGTTCTCTGCTCCTTCTTGCATTGTCTCACAGTGAGCTTTTGGGGACACCTCACCTCCAAACCATTACACGGACCATGGAATCCTGGTCCCCAGGCCTCTCCTGACCCATGTGGGCCCCATGTCATGGACACCTGTCAACCACAGCAGGGCCTCTTCRGAGCCCAGGGAAGTGCACAAAGTCTTCCTTGGGCTTCACAGGGGAGGGTGAGTTCTTCCCCCTGACACAGACCCCAAGGAGAAGTGTCCCTGGGGGATGGATCCTGAGAACATCCAGAGGCTCCCAGACCAGCCACACATACGCCATGGAGGGAGGCCTTTCCCCCCAGAGAGAAGCCTGCTCTTGAGAGGTTCCCGCAGTGCCACAGTGGACACTGGCGAGGTCACCCCTTGTTTGGGGTTGAAAGCTGCTGGTAGAAAAATGGGGTCACGTGTTTCAGAACCACATCAAAGCAGAGTCAGGGGCCATGGGTCAGGAGCTCTGGCTGGCCCGTCAGAGGAGAGCTGTCTGTCACAAGGCCATGCAGCAGGGAGCCCCAGGCCAATGGTGCTACCAACCACAACCCAGCTGGCTGGGCGCCTCCATGACCAAGGAACTTGGTTCTCACGGTGCCCGGGCTCCACCTGCTCTTCACAGCTCCCCCAGACCTCGACCTCCCTGGAGGCATGTGTGACCGTCCTCACAGGTGTGCCCAGGTCACAGTGTCCTGCAGTCCTGAGTAAACCCATAGATGTGGAGAGCAGCTCTGCTGTGTCACTCTGGGCTGATGGGCAGGTGCTGTCCTGTGCATGGTGGGGTGTTTAGCAGCACCCCCGGACTTGACCATGAGACCACAGGACCAACCCCAGGATGTCTCCAGCACTGCCCAGTGTCCCCAGGGTCGTTGTCCATRGGCTAAGGAAACGGGTGCCTGTCCTGGTCAAGCCCAGGACGTGACAGCTGTGCTTCCACAAACTTCCAGAACATGATGGGCCCTGGTTTGGGGACTGGGTGGCTCAGGGACCCTGACTGGGGGATTTTCTGGGCTATGAGTTTTGCTTTCTCAAAACCTAAGTTRGACTCTGCTGGTGCAGGTGCGGCTCCTTCCTGGAAGCGGCTGCTGAGTCCTGTTAACTAATCAGGAGGTGGAGACCCTTGAGCCCTGGACGCGGGTGGGATTTCTAAAGTTACCCAACAGTGCCCTCTGGTGGCCTGAGGAGACGCTGCGTCGGTCTGCAGGGTCCTGTAGGCTGCTGCATTCTCAGGGCACAGTTTGCACAGACATCACTTCTGTGTTGTCTGTCACAAGGGTCCTTGCACAGAGGTGCCCTAAGGCAGATGGTGCCTGTGTCCTGGATGCCCAGTTTGGTGGCAGGTGTGCCCAGTGCAGACCCCACCCCCACCCCCATAGCAGCAGGACTGGCCAATTAACCTGAGATTAATTAGGTCTTGGAAACGTCGCAGGCCAACTGTGAGTGCCAATTTCAGGATATCAGGCCCAGCCACACCTGCTCCCCACCCCACCCTGCAGGTGGCCTTCATGGCTGCCCTGGGTCAKCAGATCCTGGATTTGTTCTCAGGTRTGGCTTCCTCGGCCCAAGGGGACGTGTCYTGCCCCACCCTACTGCCCACCTGTCCTGCTTGGCATGGCTTTGGCCATGTGACTCCATAGACTTGGGGACCATGCTTGGGGACACCCTGAGGTGAGGGGCTGGAGGGGTGGGCTGAGTCAGGCACAGGAGGACGGGCGAGGAAGCCCCAGGATGCCCTCCATGGCCCTGGCCCGGCCATGGTGGCCTCCAGTTCTCAGTATGGGATGCAGGTGGCTATGGTGGTGGATGGAGGTGGAGCTGGCAGGGGACGTGGGTGATAGCATCAGGGGCTGGTCACCTTCTCTGACGGTGGTYTCCTAGGACCTGAGCTGGGGACTCCAGGATGTGGCCAGTGGGGTTCCCCTCCACAGACTCCTCTGGCCTGCGTGGTGCCAGGGATGTATTTGATTCCTCCTGAAACCAGGGCCAGGAGGGCCGGCAGCAGCTGCTCCAGAAGTCTCCCCCCGCTCTTTCCCCCCCACACCCTTTCCCCTTGGAGGAAATTCCACCTAATACAYTCTTACACACACAGAACCCAGCCTTAGTGCTGGTCACAGAGGACCTGGACAGGGCAGTGGCCATCCCAACCTCAGCAACCTTTTGGCACCCTAGAACCCCGGGCCTGGCCCATCTGGAGAGSAGCCCGTGCCCGTAGTCTAGAAGCCACCTGTGAGCAAGACCGTCCCCCTGTGGCCAGGGGCCACGGCCTGGGTCCCCTCCTTTGGGAACCTCCGCAGATCTGCAGAGAAAGACGAAGCCCATCTGCTGAGTCCCTGTGGGTTCAYGATGCTCTTTTCTGGCTCTTGCTCCCCTGGTGGACCTGACGGGAGAAGCTCTGGGTGAAGGACCTTCTAAACGCACATGGCGCGGCCCACGCCTTCCCTGGGAAGAGAACGTGGAGGGTCTCTGTGCTTTTGTGGGGACAGTAGCTCTGCTCAGCTGTGACATCTGTGACTGAGGTGACCCAACGGCCTTGGGGTGAGCAGCGAGCTGGGCGGCACGGGAACCCGGGACAACCCGGGCGCAGGCAGTGGGGCGCACCAAGGAGGCCGGTCTGCCTCGCTTTTTCAGACTCCATATTTGGTCTGGGGGTGAGGAGACACGCAAACCAACCCAGGAGGGCCGGAGTGGCCTTCCTGGGACAGCAGAACTGACTCAAGTGTTAAGGACTCCCAGCTGGTGGGCCTCATGTGGGTGACATGGCTGTGGGGAGATTGCCGCMGTGGAAATCAGCAAACACTAGGCCAGGGCCTTCCGGCCTCACCTGCAGCCGCATCTGTTTTCCTGCAGGTCCCTGACCACCAGGTCACAGAAGGCCCACGTGGACTGACACGTGTATTTAATATCTATCATTGTGATGGACGAGAGAGTCATTGCCACTGACTGGGGAAACGTGAGGGGTCCAGTAACACTGTGAGCTCTCGCATGTCACGGGAAAGTATGACCCTGGGGACCCGCCCCTCAGTACACAGGAGCATCCTCCAGGCAGGGCTCATAGGCCTCAAAGCGAGAGATAARACCTCAAGAAGAAACTTAGAGGACTACCCGGTGGGTAGCTTCATGCCCGCCCCTCTAGCACCCAGGGCCAGGGTCCTGCTCCCTGGAGCCTGTGAGGCGCTGGCTGTGGGGAAGGAACCAGTGGCCACTCCTGCAGCTTCCTGAGAAACTCAGGCCCCAAGAACTGCCATGCCTTGCCCGACCCCATCCCCTGTCCCCTGCAGCAGGGCCCCTTRGAGAGGCAGGTGGTGGGCTCCAGGACCAGAGGGTCGGGAAGAGGCCCCATCAGTCTTCTAGGGAACAGGATGTCAGGACAGATCCTGCTTCTGCTTCTCCCCCCGTGGGACTCGGGCCCTGAGGCCACAGGCAGGTGCACACCACTGCCACCAGCTGCACTCTCCAGAAGCTTCCTGTGCAGCCCTTGGACAGTCCAACCGGGTCAAGACCGAACACCCATAAGGCCTACGTCCATTCTTGACCTCTCTGAGCCTTTAGCTTTGTCTCAAGAATCTGCCATGGGCCAGCGTCAGCACCTCTCTGGACCTCACCAAGGTATCCTCACCAAGTTGAGGGGCGGGGAGGGCAGGGCCACCCAAAGCCATGGCCTCCAGGGACAGTCAGGCTCGGGAGTTAGGGGCAGGAGCCTGGGCTCTGACACTGGGATCTWGGAGAAGCCGTTGAGGTCCGACTCKGTTTCCCCACTGTAAATGGGGTGCTAGGGTTTGGTACAGTTTGGGTGTCCCCAACGCTTCAGGTGTTGCCGTGTATGCCCACTGTGAGGCACGGAGAGGGCGGAGACCGTCCCACCATGGAGTGCAGAGCCGGGGCCATCTGGAGGTGATGAGATGGGAGCAGGGCATGGACTCAGGTGAGCTTTATAGKAAAAGGCAAGAAGCCAGCAAAGCGTTATGTCCTTCCAGTCCCTGGCCACGTGATGCCTTGCACCACCTTGGGCCAGCCAGTAGGAAGGCCATCGCCAGAGGCCCGTCAGCCTTGCACACCCCACTCGACTCAGGAGAGAACTCCTAAAGTTGACTGTCGGAGACATCCCATTATAGTAATTAGAACAGACTCATTCAYGAAAGTCAGTCACACTGCACATAGCCCGACTTGGAGCAAGCGGAGATAGGTGCGACCTGCGTCCTCCTCATCATCATCCTCTACTTACAGCTCGGGGAGGCAAGCACCTTTGCCAAGTTTTTGCTCCTCCTTAGAACGTGTGTGTGCGCGCGCGCGCATGTGCGCGTGCATTTCCTGGGAATGGAGGGAAGGGCCCAGCYGCTGGCCATACCCCGTATCTTCCCATCCAGGGCTCTCTGCCTAGACCGAAGCCTTCAGAGACGGCTCTCCTCCCTCCCTGCCTCCCCCAGTATCCTGGGCATCGTCCACCACTCAGTTATCCCAGGGCTGCGGGACCCCAGCGCTTCACCCACCCCAAGCGAACAYGCCAGCCAGGTCTGTGGGTGGTTTATTTTATTTTTTCACAAGCTTTGAATTCAGAAATAAGAGCCACGATTAGTCAGTTATTAAGTAAAAATGGGGGTGATTGATTACAAAGGAAAACTGTACAAAACTTTAAAAATCTGACTGCCCCGTCGACCTCCTGGAGGGACCAGGTGGCAGGCAACCCGGGGGCAGCCTTCAGCACACCGTCACTGGCCCCGTGGGGACGCAGACCCCTGTGAACCTGGCTGGGTCTCAAGCCCAGAGCTGGCTGAAGAACACACAGACTGGAAGGGCATCATGGTGAGTCACAAGCGTCACAGAGACCGGCTGACGCAGGACGGGGAGGGTGTTTCTCGTGACCAAGGGGAAGGCTTCCCTGCCGTTCTGAGAGCCACAAACCTCGACGGGGTGGGCTGGGGCGGACGGGCTTCTCTCTGGTGGGCTCRGGCGGGGGCAGTGAGGACACAGCTTCATCTTGGGAGTCCGGGAACTGCCCCGAGGGCTGCGGTCCACATCAGTCCCTGGCGGTGTTCCCGCGGACACTCTCACGGGCTCGGGTGCAGAACTCAGCAACATGCACAGACTATCCTAGAACTGCTACAAGGGCGCAAAGGAACCACCGCTCAGGGCATCGCAGAGCCGTCGGGAGTGGAGGGGACAGGACAAGAGGACGCCACACCTGTGGTTCACTAGGGAGGGGATGAAAACACCATGCTGAGGTGACTCGGAGGGACGCGCAAACACACCACACTAGTACCACTTCTTCCTAAATAAAAAAGGGAAGAACATCATTCGGTTTCCCCCGTATCAGCACCAACTAAAACCGTGGGCTCCAGAAACATGGACAGGGAGAGGATGGGCACGATTCCAGAATCCTTCACTCGCCGTCCGCTCGTCCACGTCAGCCCAGGCTGGTGATGTTGGCACGGCCACCAGGGGGCGCCACGATGCGATGGCCGGTACGCCTGGGGTTGTTGTCATCTATCTGGGCACCTACGAGAGACAGAGTCATCACTTCCGGACGAGATCTGCTAACCTCAGCTCAACTTGCTGATTCTGAAGGCTGAGTGTTCTGCACTGTCCCCACCTGGTGCACACTGTGTTCTGTCTTGAAATGTCCAAGTCACCTCTGGGCAGCCTCCCGGGCCCCCAGAGCAGACCACTCTCTCCTCTCCCCTCTCCGTCCCTGGGTCACCCTCCTACAGCCCTGTCCACTTGTGCATGAACAGGAGAAWTTGACATTCTTGAAACAGGTGAACACCCACTTATTGTCTGCCTACTGTATGCAGGCACAGGCTCAGTGCTTTAGCCAATATCACTGTGTTTGGAGCACATGACAATACAGTGAGGGTGTGCTTTGTCCCTCTGTAGAGGAGGAATTGAGGCTCAAGGTGCGCACCGTGAGGCACAGCTAGCGGCAGGGAAGCCAGGATTCAAGGCCTAGCMGGTCTGTCTCCAAAGTCCCCACTCCTCTGCATGGTACTCCCTGCTCCTAAAGTACTCCATGGATGGCGTGGCGGGGTGGCTACATAAGTGTGCATGGGCATGTGCAGGAGCACATTCATCATCCAGAGCTGGTTTACCCCTTCATTTGTAATGGGCAAATCTGCTTGTGGGGAGCAGTATTTTGTTTTAAATCTTCAAAGCCGACTTCTAATATTATGCATTCTCTTTCAGTCAAACACAGATTTAAAACTCCAGCGGCAAGCCCCATTCCTGGCACTCAATCAATATTCACTGAAAGAGARCAGTGAGCAATGTGTAGGCTGAAATGTGGGTGCTGTGACGCAGGCCTGAGGTCCAGTTGGAGACTCAAGTTTTAATACAGATGATGCTTTGATCTTGGGTAATTTGAAATAAATCATCCCCCGCACCCCTTGGCCTCATTTTCTTTTCTGAAAAACAAGATCATCAGCCCAGTTGAGGCCCCTCCTGTGACATTATATGGCCTCTCCGTGTAAGCCACTGGGAGCCAGGCTCAAGAGTACTGATTTTGTCTTCTCCCGTGGTTCCACTGGTGGACGCTTGTCTTCCTGGTAATTCACAAATCTGCTSGAGGGTCAGGAATCAGGAGTCAGTCAGCACGTAATACACCTTTCCTCCTCATGAYCATCTGTGCCTCGCTAGCTACACATCTGGGATCTGACAGTACTCACTGGACAAAGGACAATAACAAACCACGCTACGTCTGTATAACAAGACGCTCTGCTGAGCTGAGAGGCCCTCTGTGAAGCAGCTCCTGGTGCTAAAACATCTCGGCACCTGATTCCAAATGAAGTCGCTCATCAAGGTGCCGTGAGGCTGGCCCAGGGCGGTGCCAGGGCTTCAAAGAGGACCCAGAGCACAGCAGGGAAGGGCGGGTGTGGCGGGGCCCTTCCACAGCCTTCTGATCTCTTTGCTGTCCTTATCTAAAAGGAATCTCCTCCGCCTGTCCACCTGGAGTTGTCCAATGTCTCATTTCCTCTCTTGAGAACTGAGGTCCAGTCTGCCAGGTCCCTGAGAGGTGTGTGGTCCTCAGTGGCTCTTCCCAGCATCAAAACAGTCCCTGTACTGTGGACTGAGCACCCAGTGAGACCCTGGAGAGGCACCAGGGTCCACACGGTACATCAGTGACTATCTGTAAACCCTGGAACTCGTGTGGAGGCAGCTCTTCCGTGAGAGGCTCGTGGACAGGGAGGTGGCCTTGGGGCCCCGACRGCATCACCAAGGAGACCTGCTCTGGGCAGGGAGGCTCTGCCCCCACAGTTTAAACTGATGATTCACCGTCTCCCTCCGCCCTCCACTGCTGCCAAGCTGGTCTCCTTTCCGGACGGGAGTCGCACACTCTACCTCGTGAGCCCCATTCAGCCCATTCGTCACCTTGTTGTTTGTTCCTCAGTACTGGGGAGGAAACCCAGGGCTCTGCACACACGAGGCAAGCGCTCTACCATGAAGCTACRGCCCAACCCCTTTTTAYGTTATGTTGAGACAGGTCCGCCCACTGCCTGTGTTTATAGGGCTCATGAGCGTTTTTTACATCTTTAAAAAATGGTTGCAGTTTTAGTGGCTATTTAATACAACCACTGGAGTTTTGCCTGTGACTCACAAAGTCGGAAATATTTCCTATCTGGCCCTTTAACAGAAGTGTGCTAACTCCAGAGCTGAGTTGTGGCTGTCCATTTATCACCACCCTGGCTTCCTGGCACCCGCACAGCAGGCGCTGACACCTCCCAGTCTGTGGACAGTTCCCATCTTGGCTCCCAGCGTGCACGTGGGCGCCCTCATGTGGCCGGCTGATGAAACAGCAGGCACATGCCCCAGGGCCTTCAGGAAAAAACGCCAGAGTCTTGATTTTGGAGCACTGAGTTCTGGGATCTTGACACCAAATTTTCTGGGACCTCAGTTTCTTCTCTAAATAGGAAAACRATCATGGACCACACAGGCGATTGTGAGGATAAAATAAAACCACAGAAGATGGCACTGCTTCCTCGCCGCGACGGACTGCCCATCTGGGCCCTGCGCCCACATCTCAACTCACAGGTACAGTGCACAGACCCCAAGGGTGCAAACGCTCATAAACAAGGTCAGAAACAACCTGCTGGCCCCAAGGACCTCCCTGCCCACGCTGCCTGCCCAGGACAGGGGAAGGGTGCCCCAGCGCTGCTCGCCTGAGCAGGAAGGTCCCGGTGACCAGGGGACCCGCGCCTACCTGACAAGCTGAAGTTGGACTGGTGGAGGTTCCTGATGGGCGGCGGCTGGTGTTTGGAAGGCGAGGATTTGGCAGAAGGAGCCGGAGTGGCATATTTGGGTGTAGCTGGCACCTCGTACACAGGACCGTCGTACATGCCCCTGGAGACCCCTTGCAGGGCAGAAACCTAGACAGAGGGAGCAGGTGACCCCCATGGTGAGCACATGCCCTCCTGTGCCCCCTGCTCAGACCGGGCTATGCCCTGCTGCAGGACAGGAACCTGAGATCCCAGGCCTCATGTACGCGTGTGCACACACTCACCTGAGCCCCACTGGCCACACACACACCACACTAGTGCACACACATAAGACACGCACGGGCATGCTCCTGGACACGGGTATGCTCCCAGGGACGCGAACAGGCACTTGCTGGCTCTGCCTCGCTGCTTCCCCAGGTCCACGTTCCCACCTGATGGCAGCATCTGTGCAATGTGGTGTCTCTGAACTGGCACGGYCCCTCCTGGGAGACGCAGGGGGCCAGCAGGTGGATGGGGAGCAGCCCTGGGTGCTGGGGGTCTGGGAGGAGGGGTCCGGACTGTTCCGTGGAGCAACAGTGGTGAAGCCACTGGTGGTGCCATTGATGAAGACCAGGGAGAGGGGGAGCCCGCACATCCCCAGCACATTATGCACGATGCACGCGCACACACGCATGTTCACACGCACAGACACACACAACTGGCCCTCCTGGTGCACAGCCTTTGCTGGCTCCTGTGGGAAGCAGGTTGCCATGGTGATGGGATGTGTGGCAGGGAAACCACCACAGAGGGTCCACCTGGCTGTGAGTTTCCCCTCTGGGCTGCACAGAGGTGGGGACAGAGCCCACTCAGTGCCTGTTCCAGGACCTCCCAAAGTCAGGGCTGAGTCTTCAGGACGGAGGGAAAGGCAGACGCAAAACCTGCCAGGAAGGGGCGGAGGAGCCAGACCGGGAGGACACGGGGCTATTTATGCCCAGTAGATGGCCTGGCCCGAGGGCTGCCCAACTGTGTGCCTGGTGAGTCCTGCACGGCTCTGGGCCGCAGGGTTCTGGTCTGAGAACTGAGGCTCCCGATACCTCCAGCAGGGGCGAGAGTCCCCAGAGGACACAGGACGGAGCCCAGAGCAGCTCAGGAGTGTCCCTCCACAGCCCTCCCGTGCCCACAGTGCACCCCTCTTTACAGTCTGCACGGCCTCATCTGGACCTCACTGCTGTCCTGAGACAAGAACCCGCCTGGATGAAGACAGGGAGGCACACGTCTGTGACCTCGCTCAACTCCCCAAGAAAGTGTGTCGCTCTGATCCCATGCTGAGTCCCCCAGACCCGCTCACCTTGTTCCTGATCTTGACGCGCTGGTAGAGGTACTCAGGGAAGGGCTTCCGCGGGATGAAGCGGCCCACGCCCTTGTTGACGTTGATGTTTCCGTCTTCGAAGACGATCTTGCCCTGGCTGATGACCACCAGCGGCGAGCCGTGGCACTCCATGCCCTCGAAGATGTTGTACTCCACGGCCTGCAGGCCAAGAGCACAGCTGTACCCACCGTGGCTCCAAGGGTTTTCTCCACGGGAACCCGTCACGGAACAGCCAGGTTGCCTAGCCTTAGGTCCCCAGCATCTCCTGGGGTCCTCCCACTCCGAAAACACCCCTGTCAGGGCTGGGCACTGTTCCAYGCAGTCACACAGCGTGTGCGACCTGCACCTTGTCCCGGGGCACTGAGCCTGCTGGTGGCCTTGTGTCATCAGTCCTAAGGTCCTGGGGCTTGGTGCCTGAGACTGGTGTCCTGGGAGTTGGCCCCGGGCAGCTCCACCTACAGTGGGCGTTCTGGGTCCTTTTTTAAATTACCTTTTTAGGGTCGCTTTCTAAAATTTAACTTACTAGATCAAAGGACACAGGATGCATATCACCAAACCATTTTCCAAAGGGGTCAGACCAGGTGACACCACCAGGGCCATGGGCAGGAGGCCTCTCATGTCACCCCGGAGCGGGGTGACGACGTGCTGTGGTTACTAGGTAGAAACGCCCCTTCTCTCCCTCCTCCTGAAGGGAGCCTGGACCCAGCTGGCCACCGCCTCCAGCCGGCTGCTGTCCARCGTGATTTTAAGTAGGCCATGTGCGGGGTTGGAAAAAAAGAATCAAGCAGGGCAAAGGGAATTCATGGCAGGGGTTCTCCAGCGCTGCTCAGAGGCTAGCACCTTGGGGAACTTCTCGGTCCCCAGACGTCTCTATTCATGAACCCCTGCCTCACGCAGGTGTCCACGATTTTTCAGGTGCGCTTTGGTTTTTCTCCTGAGCCCAGAGACCGTCCCACATGCGCGCACGCGGTCTGAAGTGCTCCTCCTGTGCTGTGAACMGCCACACCACCTCCCACGGACACACCCAGGTCCCACGGAGGGACAGCGTCATTTCTGTTTCTGCTAAAGCCACAGTGAAATACCTCGCTGTATGTGCCCCACCCACAGTGTGCCCCTCTCCAGATGTGGAGCCCAGGGCCAAGGAACGTGGGTCTGCGCCCCTGGTGGATCTGCCTTCCAAGAACAACAGCACTGGTCCCTTCCCCACCAGCACTCAGCCCGCACCCAGCCCGCATCCAGCCGGCTCGCCAGTTCCCAGTTCCACCACTTTGGCACCATGGACTCTTGGTCAGGGTCCCTTGACACCCTAGTGCTGTAGGCAGGTGAGATCGGGCCTTTCTGAAGATCAGACTCCATTTCTACATCCTTCACGGGGCCACTGCTGTCTTTTAACACTGCTCTGTTGACCAGGGCCTTGGTATTTTCCTGATTTCCAAGTACACATTAGATGGTGAAGAGTCTCTCCTGCATTATGTGTGGGGCACTGGCCACTGTCTTTTTTTTTTKGGGGGGGGGAGTGGGGTACCGGGGATTGAACTCAGGGGCACTAGACCACCGAGCCACACCCCCAGCCCTATTTTGTACTTTATTTAGACACAGGGTCTCACTGAGTTGCTTAGTGCCTCGCCTTGCTGAGGCTGGCTTTGAACTCACCATCCTCCTGTCTCAGCCTCCTGAGCCTCTGGGATTACAGATGTGTGCCATGGGCCTGTCTTGCCCACTATCTTTGGTTCTCATATGAAGCAAATTTTGGGGGGCCATATAGAAGGTTATTGGTTTGGGGCCATATAGAAGGTTCATTTTTATGTTGTCAGTGGTCAAAAAGACCAATCAATGTATTCCTTTATAATTTCTAAGTCTCATGTCTGATTTCTTCTTCAAAATTGTCATTTTTAAAAGGGATGCTTTCTTTTTGTTCCTTTCAGTTTTACTTCAATCTTTGATGACTTGGAGGTTTTTTGTTTTTATTTTATATTTTGTGTGTGATAACAAGTGCAGCAGAGGTCAAACCTTCTGAGCTGCTATTCTAACAGAATTGGCTGATAACTATTTTCTCCTAACTAATTGTAAGTGCCTCCTTCATTGGAAACCAATTTCTCATCTGTGGTCGGTCTACTTCTTRTCTCTCTCTCCTTTCACACAATTCCAGGCTGTTGGGATCCCTGTGGCTTTGTAACATGTCTTTATACCTGAGATGACTGACAGCCCTACATCAATGTCCCTTTGTCCAGAAATACTTTGATTTCTCTAACATCTACCATCAAGAAAAAATAACCTGTTGGGATTTCTGACGGGATTACTTCAAATTTATAGGCTACATTAGAAAGAACTGCCRAGCCCCTATATTGAAGCTTCTTAGTGTACAAGTCCTTGCATTTATGCAAGTCTTACAGCAGTTTTTTTTTAATAACGGACCACCTGATGATAAACATTTTTTTAATATTCATTTTTTGGTCTTAGGTGGACACAGTATCTTCATTTTTCTGTGCTGCTGAGGATGGAACCCAGTGCCTCATGCATGCTAGGCAAGTGCGCCACCACTGAGCCCCAGCCCCGGCCCCTAAAGCCGTTTTTCTAAGAGCAATTTTACTTCTATCAGAAGCAGGAATTTCATGTCCATTCTATTGTCCAAAGTGGTTTTCAATTATTTCTAAGGAAAGCTATCGATTCTTCATACGGACTTATCATCAGCTGACAGACTCATTCCCATAGATCTGAGGACTGTGGGGGCTCACAGGGGGTTCCAGGCACAGTGGCCCCTCCCCACAGCTGGGAACGCGCGAGGCGCTCTGGGATGACCGCTGTCCCCAGAGACAGGCACCTCTGCCTTTGCGTTCAGGCTGCTCCTCCAACTCTTCCCGGCTCCCACAGCGCCCCCTGCTGGGCAGTAGTTCATAACCGCAGAAGCACAAACCAGGACACTGCCGTCACCCAAGAAGCCGGCCACTCTCCCACCGGCTGACAGTGGCCACCTACACCTGCACCCAGAGGGGTCCACTGCTCCCACTCAGTCCAAGGAAATGACCCGCCAAGGCGGTGTTCAGGCAGGGATCCTATACTTTAGGACTGCCCAGAATTCCGCCTGCTGTCACTTCCTAGCTTAAGGCAGTCCGTGAACAAGGTTCAGAATTCGCATAGTACTAAGGACCATGACAGAAGGTTCTCCTGCCCATCAGAGAGCCCCAGTTCCCCAGAGCCCTCCTATGGTGCCTGTTGTGAGGGGTCTTCTACTTCCCTTCACAAGCACCGTCTGCTGATGGACACTTGGACAGAATGTGGAGCGGCCAGGTGCCAAGAGGATTCACCTTTAACAGGAACCAAGTACCCAGCCAAGCCTCGGCTTGGACGAGCCCCTAAACATGCCAAGCAAGAGCAGCCAGTCCCAACAGGTCACACGGGCACGATTCCATTTATGAAGTGCCCAGAATAAGAAAAAGTAGGTTAGTGGTTGCCGGGGGCTGGGAGAAAGCAGAACGGGGAGCCACCATTAATGGGCACAGGGTTTCTTTGGAGCAAAGAAAACATTTTGGAATTAATAATGACTGTAGAACCTTCTGCAAACAGTAAACCCACTGCACTGGACACTGTAGTTCCATTGTCAAGGTCTTGAGACCCAGACCCACACCCAGACATGCATGTGACCCTGTGACGTGCACTTGGAAGCAACCACATTTTGTACCAAGGTATAAACAACAGAAGTTATAGTCTTTTCATAGGAAAGATTTTAAAAAGTTGATCACTGTGGTGTGTAAAAAGTGGTCTCTTTTTAGTTGGAAAGAGTAACATGTTTTTTAAAACCTAAAAATAAAGCTAGGCGCTGGCCCGGCACTTCTCAGCCCACGTTCTGAGCAGCATGCCCTTCCTGCGTGCCTGATGTCCTTGCCTCAGAGAAGGGGACATACAAAACCCTCGGCCACACTGCCCTGGAATCCCGAACTGTCCTGCTGTGAGGGAACTCAGGTGGGGCCTGGCACCGGAGGGGGGGGACATGACCCCGAGTTTACCTGCTCTGGACCACACTTCCCAGGTGGGGAGCCCCAGGCTCGGGACTCACTGCTGTGGGTTGGACAGGGAGGTCACCTCACTGGAAATGGGGTCGCTGGGACGTGACTGGTGGAGAGGTCACCCTGGAGCAGGGTGGGCCCTGAATCCAATGGCTGGTGCCTGTGTAAGGAGATGCCTTGTGGGGACAGAGGCTGAAGGTGGGGTAAGGACACCCCCATGCCCAGGAACATGGAGGACAGCTAGGGACAGCAGTCRCTCAGGACAGGGCAGGGTCCTCCCCAGGGCCTTGCAGGAGCACAGCCCTGCCAACAGCTTGATGCTGCACCTCTGGTCTCCAGAACAGGGAGAAGACATTTCTGTCGAGTAAGCCACCCTATTGTGCCACTTGGCAGGACAGCCACAGGGAGCCAACGCACCTCCCTGGCTGTCCCTCTTCTTACTTATGAGTGACACACACCTCACCTAGAAGGCGGCTGTGAGGACAACGAGACGATGCATGGAAAGCACAGGGCACAGACCAACGGCAAAGTCACGCTGGCTGGGTCACGACCAGGCTGGCACCCGGCCACTGACTGGCGTGACCTCACGAGAACCCAAGGCCTTCCTGAGCCGTGGGTGTGCTCCCGACAGTCCTCACCACGGCCTGGGGAGGCGACATCCTCTCAGGATTAGGATCACCCTGGGCAGGAAGTGGCAGCTCCAGCAGTCGGGAGGAGGTAGGGGGGAGGGTGCACGCTCTCGCCTGCGAGACCTTCTGGAACATTCTCCCACGGCCACTACAGTGTGCACAGCCTAATCAATGAAGGTACATCTGCATGCCCTGCAGGGCCGTGGGTGTACAGAGCAGCACGCACTTCTCCCAGCAGCAAGACGACCTCAGCCTTATTTCCTCCTGGCTCTGATCYGGGGAGCTGGAGGGGGAGCCCAGGGGTACTGCTTATCTTGAGAATGACCCTGCGTTGGTGAGCTGGACAAGACCACGACCAACCACCCAAACTTCTGCTTTCCACGCAATGCCTCCAGCAGCTGGGCAGGGACCTGGGGCGACGCCACGAGCTGCTGCCAGTGGTTCCTGTGGCCTCCTTAGGAGACTTGCCTGTGCTGCTGTCTTGCCCCCATGCACCTGGCCTCATCCCTGGCCAGGGAGTCACCCGGAGGCAGGGAGGATCCCACRGCAGACCAACACTGTGCCCAGCTCTGCTAACGGCTTGTGCCTCTAACCGACTGCAGTGTGCCTCTGAGTGTGCCTCTGGACTGGAGACCACAGAGGGTGACTCAGACTGGGTGCTGGAGGCAGCACCCTACTCCCCCTGAGTGGGTGCGCTGGGTGAGCAGAGAAATCCAGGGCATGGAAGATGCAAAACAGAGACGCCCCACACCACAGGCTGGGGATGCACACAGAACATGGTATGCAACCTGAGGCTGTGCTAGACACGGTGCCCTGGGCCAGCCCCTCCTGCTGCTGAAGCAGCAGGCCACAAGGCTACGTGGGAGGTTCTCATGCACCTGGTCAGCTCCTTCCCAGTTTGACAGTGGAGTTGGAGAGAGGATCATGGGCCTGGTAGTCCCCCTCTCTGATCCCAGTGGCGCACCACATGGAATTAGGAGCAGCAGTGTCAGAGGGCTGAGAACACACCTGTGGGCAGGGGCTGGGGGTAGGATGACCCCGAGATCTCAGGAGCAGCCTGCTCAAAGCCCTCCCTCAATCTCTCCAATGGAGGGGAAATCTGAGTGACAGGGTCGTGCTAGAGGACAGATTTGGAAAGTTCACAATTCATTTTTAACCCGACGCTTCTAGAATGATCGCGGGGACRAACCCCTCAGGCAGCCAGAGGCGTGGCGGGGCCAGGACTTACCGACTTGTGGCTCTTGGCTGTTATGGTCTTCACCTTGTCAGGGTCCCAGATGACCACGTCAGCGTCGGAGCCCACGGCGATCCGCCCTTTCCTCGGGTACAAGTTGAAGATCTTGGCTGCGTTCGTGCTGGTCACGGCCACAAACTGATTCTCGTCCATTTTGCCTGTAGCCTAAAGGAAGAGCCCCCCGATGAGCAGACAACCTGACGGGCAGGGGGGAGGGCAGATCTGAACCCGCGACGGGGTCCGCACGGGTTGGCTGAGCTCTCCTCCCCCACTGAGAACACACCGCCCTTGGAGAGGTCAGGCCTGACCCCAGAGCAAACTGAGTGACGCTGCCGAGAGCCTTGTGACAGCCATCAGTGTCACCGGGCCCCAGGTTCAGTGAAAAGAAGACCTGAGTCAGGTCACGGCTCACAGTGACCCGGCTCCCTCTGCAATGAGAACTCTCGACCCCCACCTGGCGCCCCAGCTTCCAGCCCCACGCGCACGTGCAGAACCTGCAGAGCCACCTCTACGGAGCTACAGTGTGGCTCACAACCAAACAAACCTTCCTCGTCGTCAGTGTGCCGAGGACCACGGCGACACTGGGAACGCAGAGGATCCGGAGGACTTGTRCTGCTGCTCTCTCACGAGCAGGTGTCCCTGTGCCCCTGCACATCTACCCCGGTCTCCAGTAAGGAGGGCTGACAGTATGGAGTGCACAGTGCCCTGGGCCTTGCTGGGCCAGGCAGGGGGCTTCTAGAATGTTCCTGGGGAAAGGTGGGGGCACCTTACCACTGCCTTGTCCCAGACAACTGTCATCCGCTCCTCGATGCCGTTGACGCCCTCGGGGATCAGGGTGAAGTTGTCCTTGCCCACCGCTTTCTGGGCAGTGCTGTAGGGACAGTGGCCGCTGCCTGTGACCTGCAGGTCTCCACTGGCAAGGACACAAGAGGGTGGGGTTCAGACCTGGGTTCACTCCCCAGGGCCAACCCCAACTTCAGTCACCAACGGGAGCCCCGGGAGGGACCTRACGCTCAGGAGGCTTTAGGAGGAGGCCTCTGAAGGGCGTGCCAGAGGTGGTGAGCTTCACCTCTGTTGAAAGAAAACCCTGGGCGACTGATAAGCAGGTGGACACACAGGCGGGCAGTGATCCCAGAGCCCGCGCCAGCCTGTGTGTCAGGAGCCCCATTCACAGCCCTGGCCTCGCGTCTCTGCCCCACAGGACATTCACCCCTGCCAGGGACTGACCGCCCACCTGAGCCACTGGCCACAACAGGGGCTCGGGCCCCACAGCCTGTCGGGAATGCACTGTCCTCAGGGAGCACCACGCCCAGGCCTGTCCACGCCAGTCTGGCCCAGTCTGCGCCTCCCGCCCAGCCACTCTGTCCCCAAAGGCCCCTGGCTGCACCCGGGCTCTCACCAGGCCAGCAGGGAGGTCAGGTAGTCAGGCGTGGTGGGGTCTGGGCTCAGGGGCGGGGAGGTGACAAACGCCGCTGCTTTGGCCCAGTTCTTGCTCCAGTAGTGGGTGCCGTCSGTCCCCAGGCTGGCAGCRATGGGCTCCCCAAAAACCAGGGGACCTTGGGAGGGACGAACACAACGAGCATGGTTACCGCGAGCAGTGCCCGCAGGAGGGGCTGGTGCAGGGGGACCCTGTCATGGCCACCCCTGCCAGGCGCCACCCCGTACTGCCAAGCGCTCTACAGAGACTCAGTGGCCGAGCCGCCCAGTACATGCTCGGGGGCCGTCACCGACTTTGGCATCTGAACACTGTTATCTCCTTTCACAGAGGGACAGAGGCACAGAGGTCCTGGGGCCACGGGACCAGGGGTTTCAGGCCCACTGTGCGATGCCCCGCCCTCTCCTCTTCCTCCTGTCTGTCCCTCTGAGCTTGGTCCCCAGTGTCACAGTGTTGACATGGTGGGACCTCTGAGAAGTGTGTGCGGCTGTGAGGGACCTGCCCTTATGCACAGAGTAATGTCTTCCTGCAGAGCCTGGGCTGGTTCTCTGGAGGCCAGAAAGGGTCTCGTGGCACTGGACTGGATACCATGAGAACCTGGAGCTGGCCAGGACATGGCCTGACACCTACTCAGCACTTGGACGTGCCAAGGCTGCTGCCAAGGCTTCACTCACTGGCTTGAAGGGCCCCTCTGAGAGGAGGAGTCAGAGGGTCAAAGAGGTGAAGGACGTCCACTCTTGGAGCTGGGCGGCTGACATCCTAAACCAACACTGTTCATATGCTGGACATGCTGTTCTCAGGCCCCGGCCCTGGGAAACCACCTTCCTCCTTCCCCAGCCACAGCTGACCCTCTTCCTATCCCCGTGGACCCCRGGGGTAGGAGCCAACCATGAGGCCCTGCAGGGGGACTAGGAGGCCCACCAGGGTGACGTGCTCAGCAAGTGGACCAGGAGGTCAGGCAGGAGGCAGGGCCTCTACTACCAGCTTCCGGGGGACAGCTGCCAGTGCTCCACCCACGGCCTCTTGCCCTGACAGCCGGGACCACTGCCCACCCCAAGTGAGGAAGCTGAGGCTCAGGACATGCCAGGGACTTGCCCGAGGTCACCCAGGTGGCACCTGGCACACCCAGAATCACACCTAAAACTGACTGCACGCACGGGGTTCTGCCTGCCCCTCCCCATGTCCCCTCCACTCCTGAGTGGGCTGGAGGCCCCGGCTCCCGTCTGGTCCTGGATGTGGCTGGGCCTATGGGACACGCAGGGCCCCTTAGGAGRCCCGGCCACCGCCTACCCTTCTTCCTGGCCAGGGTGATGATGTCCGCCGCGCTCTTGCTCATGACCTTGGTGATGTACACGGGGCAGTTGATCCGGCCGGCAATGGTGATGGCCCGGAATACAGCCTCGGCCTCCAGCTGGGGACAGCAGACACAGGGTCACGAGAGGGAGGCGGGGAGCCTGCCCCACCCCAAACTCCCAGGGCTCTGTGAACCCGTGTGCTCTGACTTTCCTCAGTCAACTGTGGCAGAGGGAAATCTACCAAGTCAAGGGGTCAAGTAGAGCAGCTGGTCTTAAAAGAAGGCAGAGCGAGCCTGGGTGGAGGTCGGAGGCCGACGTGAGCTCCTGTGTGTMTGGGAGAGTTCTGCACCCGCTACAGCCAAAGGCGGCAGACAGAATCAGGAAGCTCGGGAGGTGGTCTGTGGTATGCAAAGGCTGTGCCAAGCACATGCCCATGTCCACCCACCCCCTGCCCACCCTGCCCACTGGCTCATTCCCTCACCAAGTAAACCCGGGAGCACCCGAGGTCTCTTCAGTCTCCTCACCCTCCAGCCCAGCCAACGCGAGGGGAGTCAGCCAACCCGAGGACTGGTTGGTTGGTTTTTGTGGTACTTGGGACCAAACTCAAGGTGCTCGGTCACTGAGCTACACCCTCAGCCCTTTTTATTATTAATTTTTAATTTCTAGAGGAGTCTCCCCAAGTTGCTGAGGCTGGCCTCAAATTTGTGATCCTTCTGTCTCAGCCTCCCGAGGGAAGATCACACGCACGCGCCCTGTGCCCAGCTGTACTTCTTTTTCTTCTTAGGGTGGTGTGGCTCCAGGTGGGCCCTGCTGGAGTCTGACACCTGATGGGGCCCCACCTACTCTCAGGGGCAAAGCCATTGGTCATAAGCCCTGATGTGGCAGCCACATTCAGGTGCTATGAAAGCTTATAAATTGTTCCTAATCCTGTCCTGATGTCCCCACGGGCCAGAAACACACAGCTCATGGCCTGCTCACTACTCCTGTGTGTCCCTAGTGTGGAGAAGGGCCAGGGCTGGGGGAGGTTCAGGACACTCATTCGTGACTTCCCAGGGGCAGGGAAAMACCCTCAACTCGAGTCCCAGGCATATGTGCCCTCTGGGCCTCCCTCCACAGAGCGGGCAGGGTGGCTGTCTCCTGGGTGCCAGCTTGGGGCCCGTGGCTCCCCGTYCCTGACACCCAGGGCACAGTCCTTGGCAGACTCTTATCCAGTTTGGACACTGAAGTGTGCGCAGGGCCCGTGTGGAATTCCTGGCAGGGCCTCTTCCTGGCCCTCGCTGACTGGCCTGCGGCCTTCCCAGGAGGGAAGGGAATAGGAGGAGCTGGACACAGGCTGGGTGCAGCAGGAAGGCCATCAGGATGAGCGCCCAGCAACGCCGGGGACACGCCAAGTCCTCACCTCTTCAGGTCTACTCAGAGCGTGGCCCTCGGGGCCCGTGATGCCCATCTCCAAGATTCGCTTTTGTTCCTACAACAGAAACAAATGAGTCAGCGATGATGGCCGGTCAGAGCTGGACTAAGTTGCTCCTCTAACCTCCTGCCAGAGGGACAGGGCAGCTGAGGCCCAGCAGGTGGGGTGAGCCACCGCCCTCCCACTTCATCCATCCTTTCACTTTGCAATAAGGCTGCCTGGCCCCACCCCACACCTGGCTCCTCCCCACAAGCCTGGCTCCACCCCCACACCTGGCTCTACCCCACAAGCCTGGCTCCACCCCCATACCTGGCTCCGCCCCACAAGCCTGGCTCCACCCCCACACCTGGCTCCGCCCCACAAGCCTGCCTCCTCATCTGCTTTAATCTCCCAGGATGTTTGAAAGAAGCAGGGTGCTGTAGTGGGAATAGGGTTTGTACCACCAACACTCGCATGGAGACTTGGTCCCCAACGTGATGGCGTGGAGAGGTGCTGAGGTGATTAGGTCCCCAAGAGACAWGAATGCTTTTCTTGTGGGAGTGGGTGCCGCTCTCAGGAATGGCTTCATCCTTGCAAGGAGGAATGTTACCAAGCGAGCCTCCCCAGGTGTCCTGCACGMGAGCTGCCTAAGGCCCGGTCCCCATTCCAGTGCCACCCTGCACAGAGGGGCACGTGGCCCGCAGCAGAAGCTGAGTAGTTGCCAGCACGATGTTCTGACCTCCAAAAATAAACTTCTCTTTGTACCCAGCCTCCAGTATTTTGTTACCACAACAGAAAATGGCCAAAGAGAAAACCAGTACCAAGAAGAGGGGTCACTGCTATAAAGATGCTGGCAACTGTGGAAATAGCTTTGGAATCAGGTAATGGCCAGAGAGTGGAAGAGTTCTGAGGAGCCAAGACAAAGACACCGTAMACACTGTGTTTAGGTGACTGTGAGGACTGGGAGCAGGGGAAGGCRGGGAAGGTGGAGCCTCTAGGGGACATGCTGGGGTCGTGCCTAGACCACCRTCCATGGGCACTGGACGGTAACAGCCACTCCAGTGAAGCCTCACATGGAAATGAGATGGCCTTGGCCACTGGAGCAAGGCCACCCTTGCTATGAGGGAGCAAAGCCGCCGTCTGATGGTGTCCGTGCCCCAGGCCTCTACCCAACACTGAACCCAAGGCACAAACGAGAATTTCTGGCTGAAGAATTTTCTAAGCCAAATTAAAAGGAGCTGTGAGGTTCCTTAATCTCAACCACTAAGCTGAGATCAGGAAGAAGAAAAAGAAGCTCTTTAAAGACTGAGCTTATCACTCTAAAGGGAAGAGAGCACAAAAATTTGGAAAATCACAGATTATGTGACGAACTAAAAGCAGGTTGGAGAGGGCAAGTGTAGCCCAGCTCCAAGACTGGCACCAGGAGAGGAGGGAGGTGCCCAGCCAGACCTCGGAAGGGATCTCAGAGATCTCCTAGGATTCCCCTCAGCACAGGCTCGGACGCTAGGCCCTTAATGGCAGCAGGGGTGAGCCAACCAGGGCAGCACTGGGCCAGCCAGGGCTCAATAGGYCAGTGTGCCCAGGCCACTGCTCCAGAGGGTGCAGGTGGCAAGCCCCAGGGGTCTGCAGATGTGCAGAGTGCAGGCTCGGCAGGGTCACAGCGGCTCCCGGGGAAGTCAAAGACGAACCACCACAGGGCCCGGAGGAGACCAGCCCCGAGGACTGAGCGCCACAGAGGCTTCCCACAAGGCAATGCCCAGTGAGCCTTGGGAGGGGCCTTCACCTCTGGATCCCGGCACGGAAGTGCCAGTGGGGACCTGTAACATGCCTGGGAAAGGCACRGGCACCTGGCCAACCCCAGGGAGCAGCCACAGGGCAGAAGGGACTGGTGTGCCTAGGAGAGGCGCATGGAGTGGAAGACCGTCTTCCAGTTTAAGATTCATCATCTTCCCTGCCGTTTTGGATTTGCTCTGAGCCAATGACTCCTTTCTTTAAAAAAAAAAAAAAAAATATATATATATGTATATATATACACACACACACACATAAATATATATAATATTACGTGTATATTTTATATACAATTATATAYGTGTGTTACATATATATTTTAGTTGTAGTAGGACACAATACCTTAATTTTTTACTTATTTATTTTTAGGTGGTGCTGGGGCTCGAACCCAGGACCCCCAAGTGCTAGGCAAGTGCTCTGCCGCTAAGCCCCAGCTCAGCCCCCGTTACTCCTTTCTTTTGGAGCACTTCCACCTTGGGCCAGCAATGGTGACCCCGCTGTGCCACCCGTGTCACCACTGGATCTTGGAAGTGGAGGACTGGGTGTTGATTTTGCAGGCTCACAGCCGGAAGTCGCCTCGTTTTAGACTTTGGAGTTGATGTTGACAAGTTAGGGCTCTGGGCTAGGGGACAGGGTGTATTTCGTATGTGAGGGGGACACAGGCCGGGCAGGGCCAGAGTGCTACAGCTGGAACATGGTCTGTCCCTCCACAAGTCGAGCTGAGGATTGGGCCCCAGTGTCATGGTGTTGAGAGGTGCCTGGGCCTTCCASTGTGACCCGGTCACTCAGGGATCAACACTTTCAGGGGTGGGCTCCCATCTCGTCTCAGGGAGCCRGAGTGGTGACTGTGAGAGCGGCCTTTTATACAACAAGCTGGCACCTCCCYTCGGACTCTCTGGCATCTGTGCTCCTTCCACAGGCACCTGCTGCCCTCTTCCAGTTTTCCGCCACACACAGAGAGTACATGGCTGTCCTCAGAGGCAAGCAGATGCTGGCATCATGCTCTTGGAACTTCAGAACAGTGAGCCAAATAAACCTCTTTTCTTTATAAATTACCCAGACATGGGTATGCTGTTACAGCTCCATGGGGAGGGGAGGAAGGAGCCAGGGAGGAACAATGGGAAGAGGAGGGGGTCTAATGGTACCCGGCTGAGCACAGGTGTTGTTTTCAGTTCTCTTCTGACCCTACTCAAGTGACAAAAGATATACAAAGATCACACACACACATTAAGAAATGCAGAGAGAAGAGGAAGTTTTAGAAGCTGGGAGCGGATGTACAGAGCCCTGGAGCTGGTCACTGCCTTGGGTCGGCTGGGAGGAGCACTGGAAGGCCCCCCGCGGGCTCCTCACACACTGGAGGGAGCGGAGAGCGGGGCACCATGGAAATCTACAAAAGCCGGATCACAGAGATCCTGAGCTCAGCAGCCCCACTCCTAGGTGTATATCAACAACACGTGGACCCACGTTCAACAAGACTCTTCGAGAACGCTCGAAGGACCAGGCGGTCTCTGGCCTGCAGCAGCCACGAGCAGGGGCAGCAGTCTGACAGTCTGCAAGAAACCGAACCCTCAGCACCACCCTCTGCCAGGAGATGCCCCCACCTGGACCAACACCTTGGTTCAGCCTGGGAGAGGTCTGAGCCACCACGGACCCAGGCACCTTTGCATTCCTGACCCACAGGAAGAGGAGAAGACAAATGTTGATGTTTCAAGATGCAGGCTGAGCGCTGGGTAAGTTTTTCTGCAGCCACAGACAACAAACACAGATTCAGGGATCAGAGCAGAGTGTTAGAATAACATTTACCTAAAAATGTGGAAGTGGCTTTGGAACCAGGGAGGGGAGGTCGGGAGAATTTCAAGGACATGACAGGTGGCCTTGAGCAGACTGTTTACAGAGACGCAGACTTTGAGGACACTGCCTGTGAGCTCTCGAAAGGAAATGAGGCAATGAAGGAAGGAGGCCCACACTTCACAGCAGCAGAGACTCCACGCTGTCTTCTGCAGCCCTGGGGAAAACCTGATGGGCCGGGTCTAGCTCAGGAGGTCTCCCACACAGTGTGGAAGGAACTGCCTGGTTCTTCTCACTGCTTAAAATGTTACATGGGAGAGACTAATGGGGAGAAGAACCATGAAATCAGAAAGAACCAGGCCAGGTGGGGTGGTGGACACCTGCAATCCTAGAGACTTAGGAGGCTGAGGCAGGAGGATTGCAAGTTTGACGCCAGCCTACGCAACTTAGCAAGAGCCTAAGCAACTTGTGAGACCCTCTCTCAAAAAAGGGCTGCAGGATGTGGCTCAGTGGYTGAGTGACCCTTAGGTACCMAAACAAACAACAACAAAAAAYATAAACAACAACTCAYRTCATGTACAACCACAAGAATGGGATCAAAATTGGAATGGGTTGCACTCCACGTAGGTAAATGTGTCACAACACACCCTACTGTCACGTATATCTAAAAACACTAAGTGAAAAAGAAAGAAAGAAAAGAACTGGGACATTCGAAGGCTTTGCTCTCCAAAGGCAAAAGATTCAAATTAAGGAATGGCTTCAGAGCCCCTCTCAGATTCAGGATATTGCCAGATAAATAACTCCTGGTACTCAAGAGTGGGATCCCACAGACTTTGTTAGAATCCCTAAAGATGAGGGCGGTGCCTCCAAGCACTAGTCAGTCAGTCGTAAAGAGAAAGAAATCCTCTGAAGAGCTTCGCCTCCGGGTGCCCAGCATCTCCTCAATCAAGCAGCAGGACGGCGGGAAGGTCAAGGTGCACTCCTCGGTCCTGGGGGGGGGGGCTCACCTGGGAGAAATGGGTGGGGTCTTTCCTCTGAGGCAGTGAACCCCGCCCAGTGAGCTTCCCAGGAGGCCACAGGGTTTTGAGGGAACTACTTTAGCAGAACCCTGGCAGCTCAGGCGGCCTGGCCCCAAGGCACGGGAACGGAAGGCAGGGAGCCCCAGATCTGCTGGGCAGGAAGCAGGAGGCCACACAAGCAAGGCCTCCGTCCTGAGAGGATGGAGAGGTGCAGGAATGGCCAGCCGAGGTGGAGCCGAGAGCCAGGAGACCTGTCCCTGGGTTAGGCTCCCCAGGCCTTCAGACCAGAGGCCCCAGCAGGGCACCTCCCACCCCAGCCCCGAGGCCCCCTCCTGACCCCAAGACAGTGAGCAATGCCAGCTTCTGTGTGCACGGCCCTGGCACCCCCACACGTGAAACCCCAATGCCCCCAGGTGTGCGAGGCCCAGCATTCCCAGGTGGGCAAGGCCCCGGCACCCGTAGGTGCACAAGGCATTTCTGTTGGGTTCTCACTTGCCCTTGTGCACACCCCTCAAGGCCACCGATGGTTAGGACATCCCCACTGCATGTTTGAGGAAACCGAGTCTCAAGAAGCACCCTGGCCTGCCAGTGGCCACACTGCTGAGAGTGTGGGTGACCGTGTGTCCGAGAYGACATCCGTTCCTGGCCTGGCCTTTCACTGTCCAGCCTTCTCACTAATSAAGCCAGGAGCCCCTCCTGTGGACCCTTCTGACAGGGGGGCAAAGACTGGGGGCAAGGACAGAATTGGCACCACTCACCTGAGCTATCAAGTCTCCGTTTTCCGCGTGGACCAAGATCAGAGCTCCCAGCCCCTTGAGGAAGGTGAAGGCTTCGTAGAGCTGAGGAGGGACACGAGGGGTGGGTGTGAGAAGGGAGCACCAGCACACAGTGGTCCGCGGCAACAGGGGTGCTCCACTCCCCACTGGACGAGAGGCGCTTCCCTTGGCCCTGACGCCTTCCAGACCAGAAAGCAGGAGCTGGGGTGAGGCAGAAGCTACGGCCTGGGGACGCCCCTGGCCTCCTGCCTTGGGCCTCCCCCCAGCTGGCCCCTGGGGCTGCCTGTGCTCCTGGGGACAGCTGGTGCAGGGCAGTCCTCTTTGGTTTCACGGAGATGGTGTACCTGAGCCTGCTCGGCCTGTGCCGCAGGAGATGTGCGAACCTTTTCAAAAACTCCAGCACCTGCCRTGCAGGGAGGGAACTCTGAACTCAGACAACAGAGGCTGGGCCAGCATCCTGCCTGTCCACCAAGGAGGCCTTGCCYCTGCCTGACATCTCCCTACCCAAGAAGGGCCCACCCTGCTGAGGACCAAGGCCACCAAGCTCCCTCTCCAGGACACCTGAATCTCAACTCTGTTCTCCATGAACAAGACAACACCCAGGAACACCCTTCTGGATGCAGACAGCAGGTGGGGGGCACTCCTGGGGGTTCGAGGGGCTTTTGAGGACCCTGGTCCAGAGGCCACAGGACTCCATCCACGCCCAGGGCTTCAGTGGAACCAGTGTTGGGCCGAAACAGCTGAGAATCAGCTACCTGGTGCGTCACGTGCCCCTCTTTCCACGACAGAACCAACCTTCAGCTTTCGGAACACCCTCTGCAGGCTGCAAAGGCCTCCGGGCATCCTGGGCAAGTTATTTTCTAACCCCCCATGTGCTTATTTGAAGCCTGTTGTCCATTTAGCTCCAGGGCAATAAGGAGCGATCACCTCCCAACACCTGGGTCATGCTGCTGTGCGTTAGGCCCAGTCCTGGCAGTTCTCCTGTCTGCGTCACTCAATCCTCCACAACCTCCACCAGGCAGGTGCTATTATGAGCTTGAAGCCCAGAGAGGCTGGGAAAGCGGCTCCAGGCTGCGCAGCAAGGGCCACGGTGGCTCTACCGTCCATGGTTCCCTCTGCCACACTAGCACGCAGGAAGAGGGAAAGGAGAGGAAACCAAGCCAAGAGATCCCGCAGTGAGAAGTCCAGGTGGCTGGTAAGCAGTCCCCAGTCCCTGCAAACAGCTTGTGGCAGCACCCCGCTCTGTTYCTGGCACCCACATAATGACCAAAACCGGCAGGCCTAAGGCTTTGCACCTTCTGGATGAGAAAACTGAAAGGAAGTTACGTGTCCAACATCTCGGTTGGCTTGAGGGAAGCCATCGTCCCCAGCCTTGCTCGAGCCAGAGCCAGCCAGGGGCTTCCAGGAAGCACATTTCCCGAGCCCCTCCGCCTGTGTGCCCAGCTCTGCAGGCTAATGGCACTGAGATGAGCCAATATGAGGAACCATCGACCAGGGCTCCTGTTCCACTCCAGAGTCAGAAAGGAACCAAGACCTGAGGGGCAAATACACTTAGTGCCACCGGCAGGGCCTGAGCCCTGGCCTCCCTGCCAGCCCTGTCTCCTCTGTCCTGTGCCAGGTGACAGGCTGGGGTGGCCCAGAGCTGCCAGGTGAAGAGGAGTGGGGCCTACCTGGCTGTCGGACATCTGGTAGAGGTCCTTATACGCCATGTAGACTTGGAAGGAGTTGACACCTGTTACAAGATAAGAAGGAAGAGAGAAAAGGCATGTCGAAGAGAAAGAAGCAAGGTCTCCCACGGAACCACGATTTCCCGCGCAGCGGGAGCTCTCAGAGAGAAGCCACCATGGGGACCGCTGTGGGGGCGGCCAACAGGGAGCCGAGCGTGCAGGTGAAGGAAGGGACGGGGAGGCAGGGGAGGGGGCAGAGAGAATGAGACCTCCAGACATTAGAAGTAGGAATGCAGTAAAGCAGAAATGATGAATTAGTAAGCTGTGGCCAAATTATCACCTGTACCCTGGCGCTTGTTCCCAGAGCGGGGATGTAGGGCAGCGCTGTCTTAGGTTAGAAACTACCACTAAAAAGTCGAGGTAGGTTTGACTCGTTACAAATGGGAACCTACACGTTAGTTAATTCCTAAATACTTCAAAATAAAATAACAAAGAACCAACATGATAAATATACCAGCAGCAAATTCAACAGCTTTTTAAAATCAAGAGACAGTGGTCACTTTGAGGGGAAGGAGMCGTCACTGCGAGGAGGAAGGAAAGAGCCCATGGGACGGTGGCAGAGCCCCACTTGTCTGGGCGGGTGAGCTGGGAGCAATTCGCAAAGTCWCGTGTTTCCTCTATCTACTCTATGAAAAAAGACCAAAACAAAAGCAAAGGAGCCMAAAAWCAAAATCCAAAAGCCAACTGTTATTTTTGGACAGTTTAAGGAGAAAGCTCATGCCTGGCTAATAAAGMAAAGATTCAGTCCTCAACCAAACCTCCAGACGCCGCCAACGCCAGCCCTGCTCCAGGCTCCGTGTGGGCTCAGCTCTGAGGCAGCCGGAGCTCCTCTGGGCGGTCAGCTSGCTCCCCTGCCCTCCAGTTCTCCTTTCCTCCTCCCCCAGCCACACAGCAACCCTGGCAACCGCCACCTTCATGCGATGGGACCCTGAATCACATCCAGGGCTGAGCACCTGGCAGACACTAGGCTGAGCCAGGAGGGACTGAGTCCGAAGGACTCAAAGGACACCTGATGACCTCTAACACGGAGACAAAGCAGGGGCCAAGCCAAGAGAGGTCCGGGGGACAGGAAGGGACAGCTGGCTCATGGAGGAGGACGAGACAAGCAGGGAGGAGAGGCCTGGGCACAGGGTCCTGGGCCSGTCTCCAGCACTGAGGCGAACCTGCTCCAGGGGCCCAGCGCAGCTCCAGGAGGACCTGCCGTCGTTCACACAGAGGGYGGCTGACGTCTCTGGGACACACTGGACTCTCCAGCAGTACCCAGTCTCCCTCCCAAGGTCTTCCCGCAGCTTTTGACAAGATCACGTGCATCAAGACACTCAAGAGGAGAAGCAGGAGCGCCCCCCAGGGGTCCCGGAGCCTTCTCCACGGAGTGCTTATGTTCTCACTCGCACATCATTACTGAGTACCTCTGTGTGCACACTAGAGCTAGACACTCCTGTGGACAGGCAGGCTGGGCCTGTCCGCCTTCTAGTGGGAATGATGGGCAATGGGCAACGACATCAATGATCCTGCCAGGCCGAGACGTCCAGTCTGTCATGTCTTGGAAACTCACAAAGCTTTCACRGCAACGCCCATCGAGAATCAGATCTACCTCCCACCCTAGAACTGGGTGGTCGCACGACTTGCTCTGACCCACTTCACGAGTTCCTGGCACAGGCCACAAGGACTAGCCACTGGCCCAGCTGCCCCAGCAGAGGCCGAGGCACAAACAAGACAGGTGTGAACAGCAGAACTGTCCAACTGAGCCCCGACCAACGTGCCCACCCATGGAGTGGGAGCAAATGAACACTTGCTGCCTTTCATTACCTGTGGTTCCGCCGTGGTTTGGAGGTGAGGTGTCTCCCAAAAGCTCAGGTGTTAGGCAATGCAGGAATGCGGCTGAAATGATTAGGTTATGAAAGCTGCCTCACCAGTGGATTAATCCATTTAGTGGATTAATCATCTGAATGGACTTGTGAGTGGTAACTRTAGGCAGGTGAAGTGTGGCTGGAGAAAGTAGGTCACTGGGGCATGTCCACGGGGATCATATTGTGTGCCTGGATCCCTGTCCCTCTCCAGTTCTTGGCTGCCCTGAGCTGAGCAGCTTTGYTGCACCACGCCCTTCCACCGTGATGTTCGCCTCACCTCACCCAGAGGAATGGAGTCAGCCAGCCATGGACTGAGCCTTGACACTGCGAGCCCGAGGGACTTTCTCCTCCTCTAACTTATTGGGTCAGGCACTTTGACTTCAGGGGAAAGAGCAGAGTGACACAGACACAGCTCAGACACAGCAGAACGCTGACGAAAAGGGAAACCCTGCCCTCTGGACAGCATGGATGGAACTAGAGGTCACATGTTAGATGAAGTAAACCAGGTACAGAGACAAGCCCACGGACCACACCCTCAGGTGACCTTGCAGCAGTTACAGAGAACAGTAGTTGCCAGGAACTGGGGTAAAATGGTGAGATTTTGGTCAAAGGACACAGAACCTCCGTTAGACAGGTGGCATCCATTCTGGAGGTCTGTCACCCAGTGTGGGACCACAGTGGATAATGTCTTATGCACTGTAGAGTTGCCAAGGGGATAGATCGTGAATGCTGAGCAGGTGAGGTGGTGGACATGGGAACTGGGCTTCCTGACAGAGCCGGAGAGGGCAAAAATCCCCCCAATCCTGATTTTTGGGGGGCCCGTGGTTGGTGATGCTGTATGAAGGTCCGCAGCAGCCCTGCCCACACCTTGGCGTTAGTCCTGGAAGACCTCCAAAACTGTAAGACCACACCTGTGTGTTGTTTAAAGTGGGTGGCTTTGTTGTAGTAGCAAAACAAAACTAATACATACTCCTGTGCTGCAGGCTCACCTCAGCCTCAGTGTTTCCTGTCCTCAGACACAAGTTTTCTAAATTCACCAAGAGGCAACAGACCAATATGCTCCTCCTTAACATGGACACCCTGGAGGTCTAGAGAAACACACACTGCCCGGAATGACAGCGAAAGTCACGACCCATGCATGACACAAAGCCCTTACCTGGGCCAGCCCATCTAGGCACCTGTCACATGTCCTCTCATTTCACCTTCAAAACCACCTTTTAATTGCCTCCATGTACTCACAGGGGAAGTGGGACACTTGAATGAGGGGCCCAGGCGAGACAGGTCCTGAGTGGTGGGGGCTGGCTCTCCATATTTTATTGAGTAAGAAAAAAAAAACATAGTGCAGAATATAATGCCTATTAGAGTTCCGTTTATATAAAAACTATATATACAGTGTCTATACATATGCAAGTAGTATATGTATAATTCAAACTCTCTCTATAAATATGAGAGACTCTTGTATCTCTCTCTATAAATATGGAGACTCTAGAAAGTCAAATTCCAAATTATCACTTTTAATTTTAGACACTTCCACGTTGTTTCGATGAACAAGTACGAATGCGGAGACCGAGATCTACAGAAAGCACTGCACACTCTGAGACACTCACACACCTGGAGGGCACCACCCAGGGGAAGAAAACGCCTCTCTGCACTCCAGAGGGCAACACCACAAATACCAGGAGCCCAACAGATGTCCCTGCCCGAGCGGAGCGTGGCACCGTCCCCCACAGTGACGTGCCCCAGGGATCCCGCCCCACGGCCAGGCAGTAGAAGCTGGCGTGGTGAAGTCCACGGGGAGACGTGGGAAACTGCTCAGGACCTCAGGTCAGGTGGGAGAGCAAGACAGGACCCGTGAACGTGCTCGGATTTCGATTCCGCGTGGTCACCACGGGGGTCACAGCAACCACAGGGAGGGACGACGCCCTCTGGACAGAAGGTCACATGACATCACAGAAGGACACGAGGGGTCTCACACAGAGAAAACTAYACAGAGAGTGCAAATGAGACAAAAGAGTGTGCGGAAGACCACAGCAGCCACGCCCTGCAGCCACCGGCAGCAGGGACTCCGCAGACACACAGGGGACTCCGCAGACACGCGGGCAGACACGCAGGCAGACACCCCGCGGGGCCAGGGGAGTGCGGGTGGGCACACTGTGCAGGTGGTCCACCTGGCCAGAAGGGTCATGATCTCAAAGGTGACAAAACCTTTGACTTTGTGATTTCCACTTCTAGGAATCCAAGAAAATACTTAGAAATGCAAATACATGCTGAGAAATGAAGACGTTCACCGTAACACAATCCATAATAAACCCAATCTAAAGAAAGGAGCTGAGCAAAGYAGTCACTGTGTTCCTCATGAGGGTCATTAGAAAGTCGCTGATGCAGAGCAGCTCTGCTCCTAAGACCCCACGTGAGAAGGAGAGAGAGACCCCAAGACCAAGGCTGGAGCAGGCAAGGAACRCCGGGAAGGAGGAGCCCCACCTCGGACACCCGGAGGAGGCAGAGAGCGCACACGCCGCTTTCCTCCTCCCGACTTCCCCATGGTCGACGGGCTGAGGGGACCGTGCCTTYGCGAGAACACAGGGCACACCCCTCCACACTCCTCGAAGCCCCTCCACCCGGGCTGCCCCCTCCAGGCTGGGCTCTCCTCCGCTGGCTCCTCACTTCCTGTCTGTGCAACCTGCCTCCCCCCATACCCTGTCAGAGTGCAACCCTGCAGAGGGAGCCACGGGGGACACATCGCAGAGCTCAGGGGCTCTCAGAAGAGCCAGACAGAAAACCAACATCCCCCAATCCAACAGCAGAAAACGTGCCCCCAGGAGACCCAGGGACCGCCTTGGAGGAAGGCAGCAGTTCTGATGGAGATGTGGGGAGGTGATTGCGGAGCTGGGGCAGGAAGGAGAGGAGCCTGTTACAGGCAGAGACAAGGCCACCCCCTGCAGGGGAACAGCTCGAGCAAAGGCCCAGCAGTGCCTGGTCGTAGTRCAGGGGTGGCACCCAGGATGGGTCATGGCCCTTGCCTGCCAAGCCACAGAAACTGGGCCTGGGGACAGCCTGCCCACTGTCCCGGCGGCAGCGTGCAGTTCATGACGGGAGTCACAGCAGATGTGGAGAAAGGGTTTTAGCTCCACATTTCCCCTGGATCCACCAAGAAACCAGGGATTCCAGAGCCCCGTTCTGGGGCTTTAACTGACCTTTGTCCTGTACCAGCACCTCCAGCTCCTCCCGAATACCATCGTACCAGCTTGTGATGTCCACATGGAGGGAGTAGTCACAGCAGGACTTGGTGTCGGCCGCTTCATGCCACTTCTCAAAGGAAGTCAGCAGGCTGGACCCAGGTTCAGGAACAACATGGTCGACTGGGACAGAGAAAAGTTGTCACGATGCTTAGGACCCACATTCTCCCATCTGCATCACCTCCTTCACCACCCCACACCCCATYAGCATCACCCCACCACTGTTACCATGACTACCACCACCTCCATCACCCCAACAACCCATCAGCATCACCCTACCACTGTTACCATGACCACCATCACCTCCATCACCCCCACCACCCCATCAGCATCACCTCACCACTGTTACCATAACTACCATCACCTCCATCACCCCCCATCATCCCCATCAGCATCACCTCACCACTGTTAGTTACCATTACCACCATCACCTCCATCACCCCCACCACCCCCTCAGCATCACCCCACCA